GAAATAATCTAAATAAGCAAATGTTCAGTAGACAAATGTTTTATCACTTTTAAGTTTTGAAGTTTTAGTGAAACTGAAACTCTTCCAATATAATATTATAAACAGTCGTGTGTCAACTCATTGTGTTTTTTTTAATACAATTATCAGTGCTGGATTAGAAATTCTCCTGTATAAATATCGCACTGCTGAAATTCAAAACAAATTTCTGTTGACTATGAACAATGAACAACGACGCCATTGATTACAAAATTTGCTCTTTATTTCACAACTTTACTCGACTGTTTGCACGTTGTAAATGCACGGTTGCACGACTGCACTGTTTTATTTCTAACATTTAATGTTAGTGAAATTGAATTTGTTAATACACAGAAGTAGTTTTTTTTACCTCTGATATCTTACATGCGACTGCCTGAATTAAATTTTACGACTGTTGGAATTCTTAAGAACTCTTTTGATCTGATTTATGAGAAATAAAATTATGTTTTCGATGATTAGAACACCTGACAATATTTAGGCATTATGTAGGCAAGTAAATTTATCTTCAGTACTTTAAACTAATTCACGACTTTAAATGGTTTTATTCTTGTTATTTGTTATAACTTTGTGTACAAAAGTTATTTGGTTATTGATTTTAAACTACTAATTCACGACTTCAAATGATTATTTTATTTAATTTTTTTGATTTACGATGCGACCGACTTATTCACGATTGTAATTATCAGCATTTTTATTGCGATAATTGGCTTTAAAAGGAAATTCTAACAATTTGTTTCAAAAGTTTATAATTTTTTCGGTAAAGAACATCTTGTTGAGTCATTCATCTGATATCAATATTGTCGTAACTTGTGACGCAATAAGATAAATAAAAAAAGTTATCAAAGAAATAAGTTACGCGTCTGAAAACAGAGACTCATTCATCCAAGTAATTTGATGGTTGACTCATAAAAAGTTCTTTCCGTCGAATGTTTTGATCACTGTAAAATAATGTCATCAATTAAACGTGTCGAAATCAGTATTAATGTCAATAAATTTAGTAAAAACTTGTCTAGAAGCTTGATGGAAGAGAAAGACATGAAAAGCTGTGATAAGTCTCAAGAACAAAGAGTCATTATTCATGTTTCGAAATAAAACAAAAGCCATTGGCCTCTTAAAATTTATTTTGAAAATTGAAGCCTCTCAAATATCTCAAAATTTCAATCAAATGATCACCTCAATTAAGTGGCTTCTCAAGTGTTGCTTGATAACTTCAAGATTCCTTATCATGTTTGCACATTCAACTTGAATGTCTCCTAAAATATTCATTTTCATTCTTAAATGTCGTAAAATGTAAACTATGATGCAAGAGTGAAGAAAGCTTTCTCAAATATTAGATGATAACAGCACAACGTGCACTTGCTTAGATGTGTTGTATGTGTTGGTTGTTGAGAGATTTTGAGCTGCTGAGATGTTTAGCAATGCGAATAGAGAAAAGAATTCAGTTTGCGAATCGAGTTTGTTGAAGTAAGATGTGTCGGTTCATTCATCATCATTAACAAAAGTTATTTTAATGTATTCAACTTCGATTACTTAAAACCACATTTAGTTCATTCATAAAGTTTAATGAAAATTTCATTGCCATAGTTTACGATTAATAATAATAATAAAAGAAGTAAAGTTAATGAAATTATAATAACATTTTTGACATATCTCGTAAAAAAAATCGAGTTAAAAGTGAAAATGAAATTTGCAAAGTTTTAAAAACAAATCAAGACCATGCAACAAGCTGAGTGACCCAATTTAATTCTTTTATGCAATCTCACATCAAATGAAATCGTGTGAGTATTTACAAAGTTTTTGAATAAAACGAGATTAATTTCTTTAGAAATATATTAAAAAAATTTATTATGAAAGGAGTTTTTTAATATTGAAGAAAAAGTGTTGAAAGGATCTGATCGTGCATTTCATTACGATGTCTGCTTCGTTCTTTATTATTTAATTTAATTAAAGAGATGAAGTTGAGAAGCTTGATTAATTGCTTCACCTCCATCATTTTCTTCTTATATTCAATTTGTGCAGTCAGTAGAAGTAAAATTTTGATTCCAAGGTGTGAATGTGAAGACGTAAAAATCAAAAATAAATTGAGCGAAAAATGGTTATCATCAAAATTAATGTTCTTCGGTTTATCATAGTTAGAAGAGCTCAAAGACATTAATCAACAATTTTGAAGCTTCTCACGTAACATTAACTGCTGAACAAGAACATTTACAAAGTTCATCAACTGACGATTATTTTGCTTTTTATTCATTCAACCAGTTGGTAACCTTGAATCAGCTGCAATCTAATAAAAGGTTCATCGAAAACAGCAACATTATTTTCATTGCTTTCGATTTCTTGCAATATAAAGAAGCATAAAATTTATATGCTTCAAAAACCTGTTCTCGTGATTGTGTCCATTTATGTAGAAGCAAAAAAGATAAATAAAATCATAGGCAACATAATGAATTTGTATTCGTATTGGATAACAGTTACATAGTTGCATCTCCAAGAGAACTGCACGTGATTTTATGTTTCTGTTTTTACGAGCTTTCCGATATTTCAAGTTCAAAGAATTCTGTTTTTATGTCATCTCATTTCACGAAGGTTGTCAATGCTGAACTGAATCAGCAATAAATGTATTTAAATCCAAGATAAATGAACAAGTTGCTCGAATTACTGAAGGTTTGTTTTAAAATCATCGGGCTTTGCTTAAAGCTACGCTAAGTAAATTCAAAGAAAATAAAACTGAATCAACAAATCAAACCATCTTTCATTCAATATTCGACTCGCTCAAGAAAAATTTAACTTGTTAAGGAATTAAGTGAACGAGTCATTTTGTTCTTGTTTGACTTCCTATGACTTCCGTTTCCTTAGGTTACCAAATTTTCATTCCAATACGTGATGTGAATTTTTTATTAAAAAACGTTCGATGAAAGTTAATTTGAAGAAAATTTCTTTTGACATACGAGCGAATAAATTGTTTCAGATACAATAAAAGCTTCTTACTTTGATATTTGAATTTATTTCATGCTTAATGAGATCTCAAGAACTAATGGAACAGCAACTTTATTTAAGTGATGCAATTAAATTCTTTCATGACTCATAAGCGCAGAAATAAATGAAACGTAATTAACTTTTGTTGGCATGCATTGTGAGAATATTTATGATTGAGTACATGTGCAAGTTGCAGAAGATGCCAAAAGTGAAAATATTTGCTCCTGATTGATCTGACCATTAATTTACTTAATGGAATGAGTGACGCTTTGAAAAGGGCAATGAAATTAATGATTTTTCTTGTTTTCGTCTTTCAAGACTCTTGACCCGAGCCTAACTTTTCACATAAATAAATAACTCACACCCCGGAAACGTTTTCATCTTGAAAAAGATTTTCTTTTTATTTTATGTTTCTTGTAGTTGTCTCTTTGTGATATTCTAGCCCCGTTGGCTCTCTCGCTTTATTCTAACTATTGTTATGTTGTTTACATTAGCAAATGCAGGAAGTTCGAAATATACGAGCTGATAAACATGTAAACATAAAACCACTGACAATTTCATGACTTCTTTTATCTGTTTCCCCATAAACGAAACGCTAAACACTGAAAGTTTATATTTTCTCTCATCAATGAGGGTCGATAATTTTATCAAATTAAACTGTTGATCTAGATGGAAATAATCTGATTTTAATCGAGAGGGTTTAACAGTTTATTAAAAGCAGAAACTTACATTAATTCAAAATTAATATATTTCATGCTCATTGAAGCTTTAAATTTCTCATTCATCAATTTGAATCGTCTCTGCCAAATAAATTTACGAGAAATGCTGTCACTCAAATTTAATTGTTTTAAATTTTAAAATCAATCGAGTGAAAGTCCTTGACATATTATAAGCAACAGAGAAGTATTTTTGTTAAAATTTCGACGTATTCTTTATCTCGTTTGAAGTACTTGACATTGTTTCGAAATTCAAGTAAACAATTAAAGTTTGAGAAGACAAAAAAGTATTTTAAACAAGTCACCTCTTTGGTGAGTGTTAAATTCTTTTCTGATATATTTTCATTAACATTTTGTTTGATGAATGAGTTGATTTTGCATGAAAAATTGAAGAAAAGTTAGAATTCTAAGAAAAGTTAGTTCAGAAACGCCTCAGGTTAGTTGTTTAACTAATTTGAAACTTTGTTGAAAAATATTTAATTAAATGTTACAAAAATGAAAAATATTCACAAAACGGCTTTTAAATAGAAATTTCCAAAAAATTTTACAAACCACACTTAGATGTCTCATAAATTTTCATAGCATAAATAATATAAATAGAAATCTTAAAATAGAACGAAAATGTTTGAGCCAAATTATTTGCGAGGTTTTTGACCATCATCTGGTTGAGAATTTTTCATCTTCGAATTTAAATATAAAAAGAGTTGAGAAATTAATTAGAACCGCTGATAAATATTTATTCAGTTTATATGTAAATGAAAGATTAGAAAATATTTTAAGATATCGTCTTCAAGTGTTTGTTCATTTCTAATTTCTAAATCTCAATTAATTCTCAACTCAGACACTTGAAATGAAAGCAAAAATTTCTTACAGACGTTTTTCTAATAAATCGTTGGCAATGAGACTCTGTAATAGAAAACTGCATAATTCCCGTTAGACAATTGAATATTTAATCGAACTTTCATTATCTCGTCTCCAATGCTTTGTAGCTTGTTAGTTATTCATTAGTTGCTGTCAAAAGAATTGCAATAGAAGTGCACATCCAATTTCAGACATTCTTTTTATAAATTCTGTGTGGATGATAAATCAATAACGTGATTCGAAAATTAAAATCCAAATGCTGTCAACAATTTATTTGTTTTAATCAGTGACAAGTTGTAAATGAAAGGCGCTAACTTCAGATATAATTGAATGATAAAAAATAAATAAAAGGAAGCTTTTATATGAAAATGAAATGATTGAGTTATGTAGAGTGATATTAAGCATCAAAATATTCCGAAATAAAAGTTTTATGATTCGAAGAAGATGAAAATGAAGGAAAATCGTTCGTCGTAATGAGATTTGAGCTTTTATAAAACAGAACCTGAATATAACCATGAAATCAAACGAACCTTAAGTAACTGAAAATCAATGAATGAGAATTTTCAGATGACTCATGAATTTTATGAGATAAAAAATATTTTGACAGGATATTTCAATGCACACTTATATGAAGTTATCGATTCAAATCATATTGAAAAATGACAGAAATGGCTCTAATGAAGATTATCGAATCACTTTGTTACTCTCAGAAGCTTTTATAACATTTTAAAAGTTTCAACGTCAGCACATTTCTTATAAATAAATTATGATGCAGACTAGTTAAGATATCTAAAGTTCAAAAAAACTGTCATGATTAAATATTTTTGAGGTTTATTTTAACATCATAAAGGAAATGAAATCAATTACAAGAATTGTTTATATCGTTGCATGAATGACAATGAATGTGTTTAAACGTGTTTGGAAGTCTCAATGCAAGAAAAAAAATTAATTTGTTATATTTTAAAAGTTATCAATTTAAATATTGTTCGCTTATGACAACGATTGACACTCGAATCGTTTAGTATTTAATGGAACTGCATGCCAATGTTTATGTTCATATTGAAACGTTCACAAATGTATTAAAACTTGGTCACAAAAAGCTAATAAAATATGAAATTTATTAATTCAATTAAAATTCTTAAATTTGCATTCAATGTTCAAACTTTTATGCATTTGTTAAAATATTTTTCAAATTTTCATCTCAAAATTAGAAGGTCAACTTTTCTTTTCATTCGTCAGCTGATATCAACATCAGTCAGTTATGTGAATACTCACAGCAGACATCAACATAGTTGAGAGAGAAAACTTGTGAGATTTGTGAGCGATAAACGGAGATGAACAAGCTCAATTAAAATTCGCTTAGTTTGCTAAACAACTTTGTTGTAGAAAGATGTGTGGCAAAGATATTCATAAAATATGTGGTAAAAATATTTCACTGCCATTACCTTTTAATTAAAAACTTGTGACGATTGTTGATTTACAAAAATAATTTTTATTCGTGAGTCGCAAAAAGTTTTTCTTATTGACATCAAATTGTGTTGAAAGTGAAAAAGGAAAATGAAAAGAAAATTAAATTAGCAATGAAGAGAATGCAACAAGCGGATTGACCTAATTCGAGCAATTATGCTCCCCCACTCTTCATTAAATTGAACTTCTATAAAGATGAAAGAGTAATTAAGAGAATTTGATTTAAATTCCCTAGGAATGGTTTCTGATGATTTAAAATGGAAAATTCATCACAAAATGCATTCAGATGTAATTTAAGACCACAAGTGTCAAGATTAATGTGAACGTTGTTTGCAAATATCTACATTTGCAGAGCTTAGCAATCATTTCGAAGCAAAATGAATGGATTGAGATAAGTTCTTGATTCATCGCTGTGCTTTAAGTCAATTTTGTTGAAATGTGATCTGAACTTCCTTTAAAGTTTCAATGAGTTTAAAAGATTTCCAAGAAAAATTAAATGAGGAAAACTACAAGGTTTCAAATGCAATGTTGAAAGATTTTGCAATTCTCGTAATGTCGGAAAAAAATTTAAAATCTGATTTATTGAATTTTGTATACAAAAAAGAATTTCGTCTTTGAAACAGATTCTAAAATTAAGTTTTGAGACGAATCAGATGTTAACAAGGCAAGGAAAATTCTAATTGCATCAATTGTTTGTTTACATTCATCGTCATTACATTTGGACAGTTGAATTGAAAGATTGAATGCATTTATAAAATTAATCGAGTCTCTAAGAATTGCACGTGATCAGATTTGTTGTAACAACATCGATGAGACTTCAAGTTCAAAGTTTTCCACATTCATTTCAACACATTGAACAAGTGTTTACGATGTTAAACTAAACAGTGAGATGTAAGCTCAAGCAAGTCAGGTTCCATGTCCATATAAATGACATTTGGAATAAAATCTCGTAATAAACTTCGATAATTTAATTGAAACACCGCAGAAAAAAATATTAATTATATAAATTAGAGAAAAATTCAGCTTGAACATTGGAATATCAGATCCAAATGTTTGACAACAACAAACTTTACGATTTGCGTAAAAATTAGCATAGAAAATTTTTTGCTGTCGTGACAATTTTCTTCCCTTATCAAAATTCTATTCTTGTGCTTTTGAGTTATCGTAGAGAAGATTATAAATCAAATTATACATAGACGAGTTCAGATTAGTAAGCAGAATAATAACAAAACTTTCACAGTCATGCGGGATATTTAGATCTGCTAGCACAACAAAAGAATTCCGATTAGTAATCAAATTTTACTCCCATCTAAACAATCTAATTAAAAATAAATTCAGAATGCTTTCGACTAGAGAAATACAAAGTTACTGCTTAAACTCATATTTGAATCTGTTTACTTATGAAATAGAAATCTGCATTCCTTGCAATTGACTTGACGTGAGTGATCCTCCTTGATCCGCTATGAACGCGACACGAACGTCATTAAAACGAGGCTTACTCGTATTTGTTTCTTAAAAGCGGGAGAGAATAAACGCAATTTTGCTTTTATTATGTTAATTCGATCTCAATTTGAATAAATTAATTACCGTGTCGTTATTAATGTGTCAATAAAATTTTCTGACAGATTTGCTTCTCATGCGCTGTTTTGCGATTTATTTTTTGTAGTTTTCCAACTTTTTTCCATATATTTATTGCTTCTACTTCCTTTGAAGAAAAAAACAAACGATTCAAATGCCTTGACACAATAACAATCAGAAACTTATCGACGTAATACTTAAGCCATAAATTCTTATCTCAAATTGAGTCATTTGCAAGCGAGTCGAGAGACAAAACGCTTTGCATTTAAAAATTTACGAGAGAAAAAAACTTCACGTGTTTGCATAGAAAGAAAAGCTTTCATTCATAAATTCGCCGGCACAACGTGCTCAGTTTGAATGTGTGAGTGCTTAGAGAGAAAGAATTAAAAAAACTTTTTGAGCGAGAGAAATATTTGGAGTCAGTTGAATAATAAATATTTTTGCACAAAGCTGGTTTTTCTCAGTTGATCGTTGCGCTTCATTTTGTTGAGTCAAAAAAATAATTATTAAGCGTGAATTAGTCATTATCAAACAGTTCAAGTAAAAAGTAAATAATAAATTTTATGGTAAAGTTCAGAAATTAAATCCGACAGAAAGCTTCAAGTTCAAGCGAATAAATTTTATTCTAAATATGTAAAGTTCAATGCTTTTTGATTACAAAATTTATTAACAGACACGGAGTAAAATGCTTGCTTCAAAGCAGTGAAAACATTTTTTTTGTCTTTTGTTGTGTCAAGGCTGTTTCTTTTAAAGTACGACCCTCTTAAATATCTCAAGACATATTTGTGCAATGTGCTGTTCAAAATGACTTAAGCTTCAATATTTTGTGGTGTTTATTCATCGATTTTATCAGCCTTTCTTGGGTACTTTTAAAGTTTTTTGAATTAAATTTAATAAGAACGATAAGAATGCCGTCAAGGAATATTTATTTGTGTCCCTTGTGCAAGTGAAAATAGCTTTTTCACGCCTATCATAACATTAAAAATTGCGACGTTATCGTTAAGTTATTGCTTTGCAACAGGAAAAAAAGTTATGTGTGCCGACTTTAAAAGAACTTCAAGTAAACTTTTATCGCCTATAATATTAAAGAAAAAGCTTTCCATGAACTCTTTGATAAAAAAGTGTTTGTTCCCTTGTGCTGCGCTATAAAAATATTTAAACACATTTGAAAGCATGTAAAGAAAAATATTTCATGGAACATGTTGAAAAGCAAGAAAAAATTGAACTTTAAGTTGCGATAAAATCAGTTAACCGCAAAAGCTCATAAACATTATTTTCAAACAGTTTCCGAAGTGCGAAATATCGAAAACATTTTACGCTTTTCACACAAGATGGAATTTCAATGAATTTTATCAGAAAGAATGTTTCCTGTCTGAAGTTCGCTTCTTGACTTATTGAATAAATCTTTTTTTAATGGAATGATTCTTTAGAAAAACAGCTCGTGTTATCAATAAGCTTTCACCGAAACTTTCTTCCCATCATGAATTGATTTGAAAAATGTTTTCCTTTTTTACTTCCCGCTAACATTTAAGTGCATAAAGTTGTTCATTGTGTGGTTCGATTTGACAACCTAAAGAGTAAATGTGAACGTTTTATTTCTGTGCTAATAGTGAACTCGATGTTCGTAAAGCTCTGAAATATAAAAAACATATTGCTGCGTTAAAATGACATATCACTTGCTTGTGCTTGCTCCACTTTTGACACTATTCACTGAGTCATGTAGAATTGAAAACTATAAAGACTTTGAGGGCTTTCCTCACAGCGACAACATATGAAAGGAATTCATCATGTTTCTTCCTTTTTTGTTGTCACAATGAAATGAAAGATGAAAATCAAACCAAATCAAAAGGAAAATAAAAGAAAAGTTTCGAGGAAATGAGTAGATAAATATCTTCATGATAAATTCAAGCTTTCAAGATGTAATTTCGACATCATCACGTAAACTGATACGGATGCTAATGCCATTTATTTTCGTCTTGACTGCAGATACTCCCAGACATCAAAAAAGTTGGGGAACATGATATCCAGAAAATGTCCATTCATGTACTTAAAGTTTCCTTCAATATCTAAAGAAAGAGAAAGTCAAGACGAAAACTTCTTTTGTTTGCATATTTTCAAATGTCGGGAAACTCTTCAAATCTGGGTTAAAAAATAATATTTCAACTTCTTTTGATGATGCATCGAAAATCTTCTTACTCATAAAGCACGATTCAATCCACTCCACTCTGCAGAGATTTAAAACATAAGCTTTGAACTAATTTATGATTATCTTCTTCTTATTTCTCTTCTAGACTTCGTCTTAGAAATTTTTTCAACATTTGAAGTGATAAAAACGTTACACGACATCATAAAACTCTGCAATGATTAATTGCCCATCATTATTCTGATGAATTGCCTATTAATCTGTTCATCCATTACTATTCAGATTAATTTTGTCGGAGAATAATAAAAATAATAATAAAAAATCTTGCCGAAAAATATCAAAGTGCGTGGGCGTTAGAAAAGAAACTCAAAAGAAAAGTTTTCGCCTTTTTCCAAAGAGCTCCAAATGTGTAATGAAGTGGAATTTTACAATCAATCAAAAGTTTGTGTTTTTATTTAATTATTTCATCTTTCTAAACGCTTTTACATTGATAAGTTGTGATGTTTTTAAACTTGGATACTTAACTGGATCAGCACGTCGTCCTGGTGACTTGGAATATGAGCGACCGGGTGAGTAAATTAATTAATAAAGTTTGGTCAGTGTGTGAATAAATGAGAAAAACTTTCTCGTTCAACTCCTTACCGAGTGCTGTTCTTCTTTTATTTGATTTCATTTATAACAAAAAAAAGTTCTTTTCTCTATTGAACTTTCATTTCAAATGTTCAACGGCAATGAAACTCAAATACTAATTAATTGGTTACCACACACTTAACTTAATCTCATCCCTAAGATCATCATCACCAATTGAACTCAACATTTAACACTTCAAATGATATCAATTTATTGAATGATTTCCCAGACAGTTTCAATCTAATTGAATGAAAATATTCTCATCTAGTTCAATCATTTTTCATTAAAATTCTATTTCAATATTCACTAAACGAAAACGATTTATTAAATGTTAGAAATCCAACAATTCATTTCCATCAGCTTCTGACATAAATTGCACGTTACAACTAAAAGGAGGAATGGAAAAGAAAAGTTTTCCTTTATTCTGAATGAAATTTTCTTTGCTTTACGAGTTTTCGTATTCAATCCACTTACAATTCTATGGCTGTTGATAAAGGCATTAAGCTGCAATTGCCCTAATTCTCGTAGTAATTCTTACTGTTGGTGTTGACAGGCCTGACAATCTCCGGTGGACTTACATTGGCGAAAGAAGAAGTAAACAGAGAGAAGCTTGCAAGATTCAACCACAGTATTGACTTCATTGTTTCGGAGACTTATGGCGAAGAAATATCAAGCATTCGACAAACCGCATCATTATGGAAGCAAGAGATTTATGGATATATTGGACCACAAGAGACTTGCAATCATGAAGGACGAATGGCTGCAGCTTTCAATCTTCCAATGATTTCATACTTTTGCACCAATTATGAAACATCAAACAAGAAAGACTTCCCAACATTCGCTCGAACACGACCACCTGACACGCAAATCGCCAAATCTGTCGTCTCTCTACTACTTGCTTATAATTGGACGCAAGTGACATTCCTTCATGTCGATCACGAAAACAGTGAAATCGCGCCGATTGCAAAGACTGTGATAAAGACTTTAACACTGGCAGGAATTAAAATTAATGCTGTTAAAACATGGAACGATGATTATTATCATGGCTATCGAACGAATCCATTCGATGATATGGTTAGAGATTCTTACAGGGACACAAGAAGTAAGAAAGCAAGGTTCACATCAACATGACTTAACTAACTTATAATTCGCAGTTTACTTAATATTGGGGCAGTTTCACGAACACATTGGACTGATGTTAAGTCTACACAATCAAGGTTTACTTAATGCCGGTAATTAACATAAAAATTACGAGTGAAAAAAAAGGTTAATAGTTTAGTTTTTCATGCTGTGCTGTCGCTCTCAATGCAGGTGAATATTTTGTTGTTGGCATGGATATTGAACAGTATGATGCTTCCGATCCGGAAAAGTACTTGAAAGGAATTCTACACAATGAACAAGAGCCGTGGGTTGGAAGTGCTTATCGATCTTATCTCGCTGTTTTGCCATCTCCAACTGTTGGCTTTGACGACTTTGCCGGGAAGGTAAATTTTCTGACTTAAAAGTTTCATTTTTATTGTCACCACTAAAAGTTAGTTAAGTTTGAAACTTAAACGAGTTTTTAATTTTAAATCTTTCACACCACAGTGAATATAAAATTAGCTATAAAAATAGAAATATTGTAACTATTTTGAGATGCCAACTTTGTTATTTTTATGTTGGCACCCTTTTATTTGCTACAATGAAATTTGCATAAATTACCAAAAATAAACTCACGAAAAATTATTTTTGCAGGTGAACAAATTTTTGGAGTTGCCGCCGTTCGAGTATCCAAATCCATTGAAACAATTTAATAAGACAAAACAGGTGAGAATGTGAGAAGGTTTTTGTGTTTTGAAGTTGTGCGAAGCTTCAGCAAGTAAATTTAAGAAGAGAAAATTCGTTCATCGAATTTATGAGACGCGAGAAGCTTTTTATCACATTTGGAAATTGTTTGCAATTTCAAACCATCCAAGGGTTCATTTTCTCTTTCTACAGCGATAAATTTTGTCGCATTTTTGCAACGTATCATTGAGGGCAATTCTTTGGGTTTTCAGGGGGTTGTTTAGAAGTTTTGATACCAGAGACGGGGATCGTAATTAATTTAATTGTCAACGAGGGAAAGCTTCTTCCTTTCATCTGAGCTTTTAAATGTTCTTAAAGCTCTCATAGCATTGACAAATTCATCCCGAATGAAATATAAACCGATGGCGGTGGATGAATAATTTTCCTTCCTTTTCTTTTAAATTTACGAGCGAAATACTTAATGGAGTGAATTAACATGAAATTTTCAAATAATTTCAATAAAGTTTCAAACGAAAAACAAATTCGAATGAAGCAATAAGTTACATGCGACTGCGACTGTTCAATTGATTTTTTTAACATCCAACATGTTGTTCAACATTTTTGTGATTGAAAATAAAATGTTAGAAGAAAATTCATTTTATATTTGCAATTTATTCTCTCATGTGTATAATACAATAAAGAAATTAGTCTTGTTGTTCTCTTGGGAAGCATGGAAAAATTTACACATTTTTCGAGTCATAAATTTTTCTCCTTTGCATCTGAAAAGAATTTTTTGCTTTTCTTTTTGTGATTTCAGGAGCGAAATTCTTCACAAAATTTCTTCGTTTTTACAGTTCTTTAAGCTTAACGATCTTGGTTGTAATAAAATTGAGTAGAATAATTTAATGCTTTTCCTTTTACGTTATGATTTTGGGATGTTTATTCAGTGATGTCGTTTAAAGGTTCGTTCAAACTTTCCAAAAGTTGTTTACTAATGACAAAATCTTGCTTGCATTTTTGTTACATAAATTTTCAATCCTCCCAAGCAATATAAATATTTATGCAAAATTTGAATGACTTTTGTTAGAATCTACATTTGAAGTTCCCAACGAAAGTTATCACTTGTCTTGTTTGTTCCAAACACAACACTTCAACGCTATTTATTGCTTCAAGCGTCAATGCTATTCAAATGTAACCTCATATCGTGATGATCTTAACCACCTAATGGTGAAGTAATTTTAGTTATTGCTTCAAGAAAGAACCATGAAAGCTAATAATGACAAAACAAATGGTTTACATTCGTGTTTAGGTTAAAATTGCTTACAAGAATTTTCATTTTCTTTTTCGCATTTGTTCGCTTTCTTTCAAGCTTGTCACATAATAAATATTTTCATTTCTTTATTGCGAAAATAGTAAGAAAATGTCGAACATTGACCTTAGGCAAACAAGTTCAATTTAACTATGAACTTGAGTGAGAAGCGTGTTGCTTAAACTTAATAAATGATTGGCTCGTGTGATTAGATGTAAGTTATGCGTGCAGATTAAGTTGGAAAGTTTTCTACACCATTTTACGGACTTTACTTTATCAAATGTATTCGATCTGGAATGAAAAATTTAGCATGGTTTTCAACGTTGGTTAAGAAGTTGTCTGGGGCATCGCATCCTAAGACTTCTCATTGAAATCATCGACCACTTTGAACAATCCATTAAGTTAATTTCTCGTCCCAACAGATTCGAGCGGAAGCTGCTTACTTATACGATGCTGTTCATTTATACACTGATGCTTTAATCAATTGTTTAGAGAGCCACAGGGATCCTAGAAATGGAACTGAAATCATTAATGCCATTAAAGGGCGAAGCTATCAAAGTGCCATGGGGTACGAGAATGATTCACATTCAACATGATTTCCTTCATAAATATTTCTTTCATCTCATTAAAGCTTTTTGGTACACATTGATGAGAATGGCGATGCAGCTGGCAATTACACAATTTTAGGAGCAAAGTTGATTCATAACAGCTTCACAAACACAACAAGTTATGGTCTGTTTCCTTTTGGAACTTTCATAACAAAGGCGACTCATGAAGATGAGAATGCAACACAAAGTATTCCGGTAAGAAGCAAACAAATATTTTGTTGTGATGCTAACATTATCAAAGGAAAATACTTTGTTGTGGTTTTCATTGAAATCATTCAATGTTGAAATATTTCACATAAAAATTTCTCAATAGAAAAAAGAAAAATTGCATCAAAAAAGTTTTCAGTTTAATTGAAATTCAATTATTGAATTTATCAATCGATTGTCTTAAAATTACTTTGTAAAGATTGGACACAAATAATTTATTTCATTATATTTATAACTTTTCTCCTTCATCTCTTTTTCCACTTCAAAAACGAAATGAATAAAGTTTCGAGTTCAGGTAAGCTTCGTAGTTTGTTATGAAGTGTTTTTGTTTAGATCTCGTGATAAACTGCATGCAGTTTTTAATTAATTTGTTTCCTTTTTATCCAATGATACACAATTTGTGTTCACCCTTAGCATGATGAAAATCTTCCTTCCTTTCATTTTCAAATTAAAAATCATTTAATGAAACTTTTCTTTTTTCTAATTTCGATAAGGGTTTGCAATTGTTTGAAAAGTTGATGTGGGTGGGTGGAAAGCCACCGATTGCTGAACCTGAGTGTGGTTTCCGAGGAGAAAAATGCATCAGTTATGTGAGAGAAATTTCAGCAGCAGTTGCTGGAATTATTCTTCTCATTCTGACGATTGTTTCGCTCGTGCTGTACAGAAATTGGCGCTACGAACAAGAACTCGATAGTTTGTTGTGGAAAATCGACTTCAAAGACATTCAAATGCATGAAAACGACGCTAGCATTGGTCAAAAGCAAACTAGAGCAACACATCCTTTGATCAGAACAAGTCAAGTTTCATTAAGTTCAAATCCTGATGCCGATTTTCGTTACTCAACTATTTTCACTCCTATTGGATTATACAAAGGGCAGCTTTATGCTATAAAGAAAATTAGAAAGAAGTCAGTTGACATCACCAGGGAAATGAAAATGGAATTGAAAATTGTGAGCTAAATATTTGCTTATTGTTGAAAAACCCATTTAAGAATAAATTCATTTTCTCAACAGCTTCGAGACATTCGACATGACAACTTAAATGCATTTATTGGTGCATGCACTGAGCCACCGAACATTTGTATCATCACTGAATATTGTTCACGTGGGAGTCTCAAAGATGTTCTCGAGAATGACGATGTGAAATTGGACAACATGTTTATTGCATCATTAGTATTTGACTTGATAAGGGTATCGTACAAACCTTTTCCGACCTTTCCCTTGTTGACTATTTTTTCATCTCATTTCTTCACTTTTTTTATGAATCATGACTTGCAGGGTATGACCTATCTGCACGATTCACCCCTCCGATGTCATGGCAATCTCTGCACTGCAAATTGTCTCATCGATTCGCGATGGGTCGTAAAATTGAGTGATTTTGGTTTATATGCGTTCAAGAAAGGTGGCAACACTACGAATGACTGTGATAGTGGAAATAACAATAACTTACAAGACAATAACGAGCTTTACGAAGAAGATATGATGATACCCGTGAGACGAGGAAGCACCGATTCGAAGAAGTTTACGGTGAAATATGAAAGTAAGAAGAAAACGAAGGAAATTTGCAAAGTATTTTGCTTGTGATGTGAATATTGATCGTTGAGGGATTAGAGGAGCTTTCAAATAAGCTTCAAGATATCTAAATATTTATTTCTTTTCTTTAAAGTGCAAGCAACTTTCACTTTCGTTTAACAGAAAGAAATTTTCCTTTTATTGGATTTTCTGTTGATGCTTATGAAAGCTTTTAAAGCTTAGTGAAGCTTTTGAAAGCTTTTCTATTATATTAAGAAATCATTGATTCTGATTGTGAAGAGCCTTTTCTTCTTTTCATTATCAGAATTATTGTATAAGGCTCCCGAACTTTTGAGAACGGTCAACAACTTCAACACCATTTTAATACCTGGAACGCCCAAGGGTGATATTTATTCATTTGCGATTATTCTCTACGAGATTCATACAAGGTAAAAATCGTAATCTTTCCCCTTTCTGATCTTTCTTTTTTAATTAAAACGGAAAATTTTCTTAACAGAAATGGACCGTTTGGAGAGATTGACTGCACCTACATCGACTGCTTGAAACGACTGACAGTTCCTTTTGATGTTAGCATTCCGTTTCGTCCCTCGCTTCAACCCCTCGAAACGTCATTCGATTGTGTCAGAGAATGTATTCGTGAATGTTGGGCGGAAAATCCTGAAGTTCGACCAGAATTTAAAAGCATCAGAACAAAACTTCGTCCTTTGAGGAAAGGAATGAGACCGAACATCTTCGATAATATGATGGCAATGATGGAAAAATATGCGAATAATCTCGAACAACTTGTCGATGAACGAACAGATCAATTACAGGAAGAGAAAAAGAAAACTGAAGCGTTGTTGCTTGAAATGCTTCCGAGACCTGTCGCCGAACAATTGAAGCGTGGAAACAAAGTCGAAGCTGAAAGTTATGACATGGTCACGATTTATTTTTCCGACATCGTGGGATTTACAAGCATGAGTGCTGAATCGACACCGCTTCAAGTCGTTGATTTCCTTAACGATCTTTACACATGTTTTGATTCAATTATTGGAAATTACGATGTTTACAAGGTTGAGACAATTGGCGATGCTTACATGGTAGTGTCGGGTTTGCCGATAAGAAATGGTGACATACATGCTGGTGAAATTGCTTCTATGTCACTTCATCTGTTGGAAGCAATCCGTGAATTTAAAATACGACATCGACCAGATGACTCATTGAAGCTTCGAATAGGAATTCACAGTGGACCGGTTTGTGCTGGAGTTGTTGGATTGAAGATGCCTCGATATTGTTTATTTGGTGACACTGTCAACACATCATCGAGAATGGAATCAACAGGTGAAGCTTTAAAAATTCACTGCAGTGAAGAATGCAAGCAATTGCTTGATTCCCTCGGTGGATATTTGTTTGAAGATCGTGGGAAGATTCCAATCAAAGGAAAAGGCGAGCTCAATACTTATTGGCTTACCGGTGAACTGGAAGAGTACAAAATCAAAAGATATCAAGCAAGAACTGAACGAAGAGCGTCAAAAAACAGCGCAAGACAAATATCAAAGTTCCTACAAGCACAAAAAGAACTTCAGAAAAGCTCACTGAAAAGTGCGAAAAGCTTGATGAATCAGAATCGACTTGCACCGTTTAGTAATAATTTAATACGATCGACAAGTTTTGATTCACCTAAAAAGCTTCGTTTTGCTGCTGACATTCTTGATGCTCATAATCACAACAGCAGATATCTTCGATACAGCAACGATGCTTTAATGGAAGTCATCACAGATCAAATGCAAAGTCCAAAGAAAAATAACTCCGATGATTCAATGATTTTTGCTGTTGTTGATTCAAATGACAACGACGATGATGTCACAGCTTCTTGTCCTTGTATTAACAAGGAAATGACTGATTTCATTTGCAAAGGCGAAGATTTCTTCGACAACTTTGAGGAAAGCTCATTTCATGACAACCAATTAAAGAACACTTCCGAAAGACATAAATTATTGCACAAGAATAATACACCAACGATACAAATAACCAGCGTCACACCGTTGTTATCGGATAATTGAATCACTGCCAGTCGAATTATTCCTTAAATGTTTTCCAACGTTTAATTGCTTATGTCTCTTTCTCTCATTTCAGTTGTTGTAATGATAAGAAAACAATGTTCAACAACTTTAATTTCTAGTCATTTTGTCACGTTCAATTAAGTTTAATCATTGATGATTTTGTGGTTGTTTATCTATTAATTAGTGTAATGATTTGTTTTGCTCTTAAAAAAACTAAATCGATACGTCAATGGTTACGACATGAGTAATTAGAACGTAATTCTTGGATGTAAATATCCATGTTATCGAGGATGATAGAACGTAAAGGAAATGCTTTCAGTTTTCCATTATGAAAATCTTTCCTCGAAAACCTCAATAAAATTTCTTAAAATAATAATGTGAAGTATACAACAAACATAATCGAACAATCTCATAATAAGTGTCTGTAAACTTTTGTATGTTGTTAATGTGAAATGTGATTTATAAAAGAGATGACGTCTATTAAAATAAACAAACAAGAAATTTGTCTAAAATATATTTTGAATCTTTTATTTTTAATTTGAATCACATCACGAAACTTCATTTTCTAAGTGGAATGCCAGTGATCTCTGATATCCAATCCAAATATTTTCCTACTCGTGTGTAACCAGATGGATCGCCATATAAACAACCACGACTGCTTACAAACGAGACAATTCCGATCTGAGTTAAAATTCCGTCTTCGTCTTTCATTGCAAGTGGGCCACCAGAATCTTTTCAATGAAATTGTTTAATCTCTTGCTTGATCTAAATTGAATTAATAATTCACTCACCACCCATGCATGCATTCTCGTTACTGTCACTAAAACTTCTTGCACAAAGAACGTTGTTGGTCACAATTTTCGAACTGAAAATGCCTGCACATTCTCTATTTCCAATGACACGTAAGTCAGCGAAGCTTAAGCTTTTAGAAAGCTGAGCCGATTCATCAGAAAATCTTCCGAATCCAGACACAACTGCTTTCTGATTAATGTAACTTTCTGAAACTTGAGACCTCTTTGGAAGTTGAATTGGTGATATTTTTTTAGTGTATCGGACGAGTAATGGAAGTTTAATTAACGCGATATCCTAAAATATTTCTTGTCACTATCATCACTGAAATTCAACATCAAACTTACGTTTCGAAGAGACACAGACTCGAATTGTGGATGTTCAATACTGTCCCTTGAAGTCATCGTCGTCAGTGGACGCTCCAATAAGCTTGATCCGAATCCTAATTCAAAGCTTTTGAATCCTTTTGTGCAATGTGCAGCTGTGAGAACGTAACGAGATGAGATGATACTTCCACCACAGAACGATCCATTTGAACCATTGACAGCACGAATTGAAACTTGATATGGAAATTCTAGCACAATTGCATGATTACCTGCAACAATTCTTCCTGTCTTCTCGATTTTAAGTTGTGTTTGTTGAATGTCTTTTGGGGAAATCAACTTCACTACATGCTGATAAGAATTTTAATTCAACTTCATTCATTTATTCACCTAATTCCATTGAAAAAACTTACAGCACTGTTAACACAATTACAAACCAACAGGAAGAAATAAATCGAGAAGAATTTCATTCTCATTGATTTTCTGATTCAGGAGAAAAGACTGAACATTGCAATTGAAACTTCTACACTTTTATACTTAAAAAATTCTTATCTTATCAAAGCAACATTTCGCAATTAAAGTATCAGTGTATCTTGGAGTGATAAGATGATTACAGTTAACTCTTGCTGAAAGAAGGCTTTTGAGATATTCGATAGAAAATTAAATTAAACACACAAATGTTGATTTCCAGGTGAATATTCAAATGATTTATCTTTGAACTTGTTATGGATGTTGTGCGTTCGCAAGTAACGAATTTTTCATTCATTACGAACGCTTCCTGATTTTCTATCTAGATAATGTTTGGTCATGTTTGTGCAAATGGAAGACTTGTGTCCATTATTAATTAAATTGCAGTCAAAATATATTTGAAATATTCGGATTTTCGCTTACTTCATCATGTCTCATTTTCAGATATTTATGGGACATCCAATGGTGTTGTAAGTTACAACACTGAGTAAATCTAAAGCACAGATCATGTTTTGAAGAATTTAATTATAAACTCTGCAGAACCGCCAGCCACAATTCCTGTTAACATGGAATATCTCATAAGAATTTTCATTAGTGGCAATAACTCCAAAAAGCAGTCGCCGATAAACTTAATGAAGTAGATTAAAACAACTTTTCAATGCAAGTCTTTGAAATAATTTCGGATTTGAATTTATTACAGATTTCTTTTTTTCCATTGTACATTGAAGGAGTTAGAGTGACTTCATTGCTTCACATCATCTACCTTCATACATATTATTCCAATGCTAAGCGCCATATAACGATGAAAAAATATTCAAAGAATTCAAAAATTCAAGTTCCGTCATTCTCTTCAACAATAGTTTGACAATGTCAATTTACAATTGTCAGAGGTATTGGTTCAAAGGTATGTTATAATCACATATGTTTTCCTAACAGATGAACTTGTGAATTAATTTTAATTGGTTTTTGTTTAAGTTTAATATTTTTTTTCAAGTAGTGCATGATATTAATTTTAACGTTTACGGAGAAGATATAACTCAACCATGAGTTAAAAATTTAAATATCCGATTATTCTTAAGAAAATAAAAATAATACGTAAAACATTAAAATATTAAAATCTTATTCATTGACTTGTATATATTTCAAGTAAATTGTTGATGTTTGAAACTTCTGACGACGAATGAAGATTCAAAAACTTTACTCAATTGGGTTGCTTGACTTAATATAGTCGAGACACCTGACATTCATAGGAACTGTTCAGTAACATCCATATTTCAGTTATCTAAGTTAGATTTGTAACAGGTTTTTAAATTTCAAACATGAAACGATTTGGGATATGAAACAGACAGAAAGTGAATTTTTTAAATTCCAAATCATTCTTTTAAATTTTTAACAGGCATAGAAGTTAACACATTTCTGATTCAGATATTCAGTAAACAGCATCATCCATTTATGTGAAAAGTCAAAAAATGTATACACTCAAAAGCTTAAAGAGAATGAATTTTAATGTTTGCGTGGGTGGCAGATAACAATATCAAGTGGAATAGCAGAAAGGAGTTGGAGAAATAAAGCAAACAAAGAAATTATTTATAATTCAATTTAAATTCGCCTAACAAAATCCTGACAGAGAAAGGAATGAAAGAAAATAGATTTCATTGTTGATTTTCTTTAGTTGCTTTCTTTTTAATTTTCGTGCACCGCCAAAAGGAAAACTTATCTCTCCCTCAGTTTATTGTATTGTATGAAATGAATTTTAATTGCATTATAAATATTGAATTGAAAATAATTTCATTTCCCAATTACATATTTATGTTTGAACAAACAACGGCTCACTCAAATTTCTACTCTTCGTCATCCTCATAAATATTTTTCATTATTTTTTCTTCCAAGTCGTTGGTGGGTAAGTGCGAGTTGTAAAAGCCTCTTGATATTGAAGGAGACAAATGACTCCCCTCATAAAATATAACGAGAGCTTTAATTCATAGTCGCAAACTCCTTTTGCAGAGTGCGGATAATTGGTGAGATTGCCGGAAGAAGAATCTCTTACATTTGGGTCTCGTAAAATCGTAAGAACATGAATGTACTTACTAATAATTCCCTAATTTCATTATTCGTCCAAACATTGGTCGACGATGAAATTAATTTTTAATTTTTTCTTCCTGTTTCCATCCTTCAGAGGAAAATGCTTTCAAGACGCAGTTGAATATTTCTTCTCTTAAACATTTCCTTCCATCATTCTTTCAGCTTTCGATTCGGAAAGAAATGTTAACTGTTCAAATATTTATTGCAAAAAATGCTTCGAGAAACGATGAAGGAAAGAAAAACTTTTCCACGCGAAAGATGTTGAAAATTTCTTTTCTTTACTTGATGCGACATAAACTTTCGGATGACTGAAGTTATGAATTGCGCGTTATTTTTGTCTAGGAAGGATGAACGCAACACAATGACGTGAAGTTGCTGAAAAATATTTATCGTTGAAAAAGTGCCTGAAAAATATTAAAAATATTTCTCGATACAAGTTGGAAAAGCCCGTTTGTAAGTTGCTTTTAAGAGAAAATATTTCGGATGTTTATATAAACGAAATGAAATTTCTTTCAACGCAAATTTCAATTTTTTTCGCTATGAAAATTTTAACTTTGAAATAAGCAAACAGGAAGCACTTACAACGTTGGTCCCTGGTAAATACCAGGAAATGAAGAAATTCTTCAATTCGTCTGAACCTCCGGCTACGATTTTCCTCCCACCATCCGTTTAATTAAGCCAATCTGTAAGATGAGGAAAAATTCTCGTCTCGTCGTCGAACACTCTCAGTGAATGAAAATTTTATGAAATGTCTTTGAATGAATTTTAATTAGGAAATTTGCGACACATTAAAGTTCAAACTAAGCTTCGCTTTACTGTAAAAGTTTCTTTTTAAATATTTATACATATTTTGGTGTCATTGCACAACTTTTATTTTAATCTCGTGACTTTTCTGTAACCAATTCCAATGCAACTGTTACAAAGAATTTTCTTCGCGAATTGAGATTTCTTTGACTTTATAACGATGACTGCATAATTCATGCAACGAAATTATCTACATATAAACATTAAAAAAGTATGCAAATTAATTCGGCGCATATGTAATGTTGACTGCATATTTAAATCGTTGAATTTCATTCAACTTTTCAGGTGTTTTGCTTTGTTTCTTCTTTTGCAATTGCGATTTTTGTATTTTTGTTAAATACTGAAGGTGCAGCAACAGAAACTCCACGTGAAATTCAATGTTAAGAAAGTTTGTCGTAGTCCAAAAAACTTTTTTCATTGCTTTACAGTTTGTTTCATTGCATTTTATGCATAATTGATTCTTGCTGACATTCTCTCCCTTGGCTCTCTTTAATTTTATATTTTCGGAAACGAAATATGCTCAGAAGATTGCACTTTGAAATGAAAGGCAGCACTAAGCAACAGCAGTTCGAGAATTACATTAAAATTTAAATAAAAAAGGAAAAACGAGAAGCAGAGAAAAAGCGAAGCAAAAAAAGAACTTTTTGTGAAGTTTTTCGTTTCCTTTCACGTCGCGTTTTATTGAATGGAAAATTGAAATGCAAGGCATGAAGCCACTTTGCCAAGAACCATTTACGTCACCTCGATGTTTTCGGTGTCTTGGACTGCTTTTGAGTCTCTTCCACTTCTCTCTCGAATTTCTGATTACATTACCATATTTCGTAAATTAAATGACATTCAATTTTCACATTATTACTTCGAGAAGCGAAACAAAATGCAATCTCAGTCGTATGCTTCAACATAAAAATATTATTTACATTAAATTTGTTGCATTTACTACCTTAATATTGTCGCTGGTACATCGTCGTCGAGTAAAAAAATAACAAACATTAGGAGAAAAATAAAGTCGAGTGAAAATTATTTACATGTTTGCTGAGTTATTACGACAAGAAGTGGAAAGAACGCGATAAGGAAAATGCAATGCTTAGAGTCTCTTTTTTACATCGTTTAATAAAATGAAGTTGTTCATGCGATGCTTGAGAATTAAGTTTGAAGTAAAGCTCAAGGGGTTACTGAGGTGGTAGTTAAATGTTGTGAGATGAAGTGTTGATTAACTTCAGTGCCATTGGCTTGCAACATTTCTCATGGCAAACCTTTTATTCAAAAAAAAAAAAAAGAAACAAAACTTCGATAATAAAAAATGATCGTAAACTTTTCCTCGATTCAATAACAATAAATGAAAATCATAAAATCATTTTTTGTTTAGTTGATTACGATCTGAATTTATTTAAACTTTCAATAATCACGAAAACTTCCGTTGGCATTTAAACGAACGTTGGCACTTTCTGTTTACGATGACCCGGAAAGTCTTGAAAAGCGTTTCAAGCGTTATTTAAGTTAAATATTAATTAAGTCATCTGCTTCTTTTCCGTCCATCTTTTCTCATCCATAAATCGACAGAAAGAAAACATTTAACGCCCTTCAGATTACTTCATTGTTTCCTCTCTAATTATTGCGTCATAAACATAAAAAGTCAAAATAGCCAAAAGTTGGAAATGAAAACGAGCTGAAGCAGCTTGCATGAATGAAAGAATGAGTAAGTGAGAGGGAGAGAGGGAAAAAAAGGAGCGAACAATTAAAGGCGTGGGTGGAAGGGCAGAAACGAATGAAGAAGTAATTTCAATTTCAAGTCGCGACCCAAGCTCAGCTCTTTATTGTTTCTCGTGAAATTTTATTTCACTTTTAATTGCTTTCTAATTATTTATTCCAAAGTGGAAGTAGTTGAGGCACTTTTCTATTGAATTGTTGAACAAATTGGAAAACAGATTTGGTTCCGTTTTTTTTATTCACAATTCACTTCTAAATAATTTTAATTGGTTGAATTTGAATCGTGGAGTTAAAAGTTTTGTTAATGAAGAATTTTGCGTGGTTCAAGTCACGCGAAATTGAATGGAAACGAATTTAAAATCTTAAACTTTTACCGGAACTCATAAACGCCCCCAATAAGTTTCAAAGTACTTTTTTATAATTTAAGTTTACGTCGCAAAACTTTCCCTTCAACTAAAATAACGATTCTCATTAGCATTTCAAAAAATAAAAATAAAATTTTTGCCTTTTCGATTTGAATAATTTCGCGTGTTACGCCATGAATAATTTCCAAACGAATGGGGAATTTCTTGGGATCCGAACGAAATAAAAAGTTGGCGATGTCGCGCCAAACAAATAAGTAATCAGAAAGAATGAAACACGCTTGAAAACTTTGCATTACTCAAATGAATAATAAGTTAATGAGGGGAGAAGCTAATTAATCCATCCAATGAAACACAATGTGGAGAAATTAAAAACTTTATGCTTCAATTCAACGTGATGGAAAGGAATGTAAAAATATTGTAATGATGTTAACAAGACGGAGATGATTCGGAGAATTAAGAGCTTAATAAACGACTTTTCTTGTTAGCATTTTAACTTCACCACACTTGCTGATTTGTGACATCATCTTTGAACAAGCACATTCTGGTGTGCGATGTGATGCGATGACTCTCTTTATTATTAAACCAACCAAAAGATTTCCAACCGATAACAATGAAAGCGACGACTTAAAAGAATGAATGAGAAAAATATCGGACTTTAATCGTAAATCTTTGTCGACTGACCATAAATTTCTTTCCGTCTTCGTTCGTTGTTTTTGTTTCGCCTAAAATACGATTTAAGTAATCCCGACATCACTAAGCCTTGACATCAATATCTTCCCGAAATATTCTTTCGTTATATGCAAATTCACGTTGGTTTCTCATACAGACATCATTACATTAGCAGCAAACGAACGAATAAAGGAAGGAAGACTGCTAACATTTGCATTCACATTTAACGTTATCTTAAGTTGTTAGAGGAGAGTCGACGAAGAATTTTGCATAAAACATTCATTTGAATTAGAATTTCATGTCTTTCGGCATGCATTGATTGCTCAATTAGGAAGGTTGCCGATTAAGGTATGACGGCGATTTGATGAACACTTCAAAAAGATTTAAAGCTTTATACGATTTATGATTCGAAATTCTAATGAAGTTTATTTGATGTCAATTGTTTGTTTGTTTGTTTGTCTGCTTAAAGTGTAAACGTAATCGACACTACAATTTTGAAATAATTCAAAGACTCATTGACGTGAATCAAGGCTAAATATGCTTCTTTATTCAGCAACTCATCATTGACTGTGAGTGTCTGTCTCTGTCTGATGTTTATGGGAATTTATGAAAAGTCGTTGATTATTTTGCATTCTTTCTTTTACTGTTCAGTTTCGTGGCTTTGAAAAGTCATGAAGTCTCTCGTTTTATTTTTATATTTACTACTCACTAACTTATTTGTGGTTTGGTCACACTTTGTGAATATTATGAATGATCTTGATGTTGGCACCGGACGACGGAATCTTTGGGAATAAAACGAAGTCGATTACGAAAGTAACAAGGCCTTTCAGCATTAACAAGATTGGATGAAGATTACTGTCCGAATGGCTTGTAAATATTTATGTCGCTCTCGTTATGGAACTGAAGTGTCTGACAACTGATGGAAGCTTTCTTTAGCCTCAGCATTTTCTCACTTTTCATTTCGCATTCATCTTGATGCTTTGTCATGAACGTGTCGCCATTCGGGTGGTTATGTAAAGCAGATTGGACCTAAACGAGACAAAGACAATGATAAATGACAAATAAGTCAACGACGGTTGGACTTTTGTTGGGCTGGGCTGGGTGGAGAAAGATGCAAACTCTGATTGGAAATTGTTGCTCTAAATTTGCTTTCTCAATTCTTCGAAGCATAGTCAAAACATAAACATCGCCTAAAGTCAAAAAACTTGACTAATGATTCAGGAAAATGTTGAATATGTTAACAAAATTCTTCTGATTTCATAAATTTTACGAGACATTATTAAATTGTGGATCGAGAGAGAAAGACAAAGTTAATATGCTGCCCGCGGATGTTCAAAAAAGCAACACAATGTCTTCTTTTTCTTAATTAAGGCTTCAACAAAAAAAAAAGTTGGAAAGAAGGATTTTTAATCATTTTGGGATGAAATAAAAAAGCGTCAGAAAACATTCAGAAAGTCGAGAAAGTCAAGACCAATTACCGATTTCATTTTTCTCTTTAACATTTTCATGCAGTTACAGCGATCTGCATTTATTTATATCACGGAATTACTTGCTACTCCAATCATTTTTTTATTTTAGTTAAGAATTTATGTAAAATCATAAATTACACATTGAAAGAGACTCTCAATGAGTTTTCTTTTTGTCGGTGTCGTGAGAGATTTACTCTTGGACATGACTAGAGGGCGATTGTTCGCACAAGAATAACTCGTGTTATGTTATTAAGATGGTTTCATGATAAGCCAAGCACAGTTTACTGGACAGAAGAAAAAAAAGTTCAGAAGTTATGTAAATTCTTTTAAGAATTTCTTTCTCTATTGTTGTCTTAAAGCGCGTTTACTTAACTATCACAAAAACAAATCATTTAACTTAATTTCATTTCTTCTTTCTCTTCTCTCACAATATCCAAGCAAACATCATAAATTTCCCTGACTTAATTAATCTCGAATGGGACTACAATGAGCGAGTAAAAACTGCGGTGTTGTAGACGTCAAATGAATGAAGTTGGTGGAAAAAAATATTTCCGCAGCGTTCTTGCAAAGAAACTTGTAAGTGCACTTCGTTATACTCGTATAAAAATGTTTTTCATTTTATCCTTGGTAGCAAAAAAGGTTGAAATACTACAAAATAAAGAAGAACTCATTCGTCAAAAGAACGAGAAGCACTTTCAATCCTTTTATTTGCTTCTAGCAAAACTATGAGAAAGAGAAAAGTTTGTTTGCGGTTTTTTCTTTCTTTCAATGTTTTTTCTTTCTTCGCTGCTCGATTCGAATGATGAAACGATTTTTATTCAACAGCAATGAGTTGTGCAACAGTTTTGGAGCGGAAGTTTTAAGAGCGATTCGAGTTTCCAGCGGATTTCCTTGAGAATTATTGTGCATTTTTAAGTTGGAAGAACTCAATTTATCTTCATTACGTTCTGGAAATCTTCAATGAGAAGTTTCATGAAGCTTTAACAACTTGGAAATTAATAAAAAAATATATTAGTGAATTAGGAACGGTGTAGATAGATAATTATAGTTCGTTTCTTTCTTTCTTTATTTTATTTATTTACACGAACTTCAAGTGCTGCAAAATCGTGACTTGAAATTTAAAAATATTTTTACTAAAGTTCATCATCATCTCACATTGCCAACTCGCGATATTTTTATTGTAAATTGCATAGGAAAATATTTTTCAGGTTCTTTCGGAAGTTTTTCATTAAAATTCTTCACATTTATCCACTTTAAAGCAGAATTTTCTCATTAATGTAATGAAATTTGAATCATTGTTCATTAAAGATGAAGAGATGAAGAAGGAAAGTGGTTTGAAGAAATTCAAATGAGACAGATTGACATTAAATGTTATGTTAAATGGAAAGAGGGTGGGAAAAGCTCATCCATAACTTAACGACAATGATTTTTCCAAACGACTTTTCCAGCTTTTTCTCATATTTTCATTGTTGAAAGTGAACGATAACTAAACAGACACTTGAAGCTTCGTTTTAAGATTTTCAAAATCATTATAAATGTCATTCATAAAATTTTAATTCTTCAACATGTTCTCTCCCGAGAATTTCATTCGAAGACGTTGAAAAAGTTTTTCTAAAGACCCAAAGTCGTTTTATCGGCATGCGAAGCGAATTTTTAGCAATAAAATTCTATCGCTCTTTAAATTCTTTAATGTTACCACAAGGGATGTCTTTGAAGAATTGAAGATGCTCGGAAGAATATTCTGGTTTTGAATGGAAGATCTAAAATCTCCCACCATGAAGATGTTGTAGGTGAAATCGAAAATGAAACCACTTCTCATTCCCACAAAACATTGTCGGTGAATCAGTGCAAAAAATATATAAAAAAAGACAACAAATAAACACAACAACAAAAAAAAATTTCTTCCTTTCAATTGAATTCGGAAAGTTGTAAGCGGTGCTTTGATTGCGTCATTTGTTTGGATTTGTCACTTAGCAGGGTGGCCTCGAACTCATGCTCTATGCTGACTGTATGCTCTTCTCACAAAAGAATTTCTTTCTTTGGAGATGGTTGAACGAGTGTGCAAAGGACATGACGAATTGAGTACTAACAAGGCTTAAAATGATATTTTTTCACGCATCATTTCAACTTCATAATTGACTTTGACAAAAATTCTTTTCATGTGTTGTTTCGTCTTTTGCCTCCCGGCCTTTTCATTCTTTTGTCACACGAAGTCTTTAAATGCGAGTATTTCTTAGACTTGTCGCTTATTCTCTGTCATCTTCGTTGTGTCTGCATTGGAGGTCCAGTTTCTTGTTTTTGCTTTCCCTTAATAATATTTTTGCTTTTTTTGCTAAGTAATATGGTCCATGACATTGAAATTGTTTACTCATTAAGGAAGAATGAGAGAAGGTAAGGAAGAATAAGTGCGAACAGGTACTTTTCACCTTGAGACTCTTCTCGTATCATTGAACACTGATTCAATTACGTTTGTTGATATTCAAGGACATTTTATGAGAAACTTGAAGGTTCATTTCTTCACTGCTTGAGTTATTAGCATGAAATTTATCAAATATTTGCATTATTTCTATTCATATTAATGATTTGATATCCCGAGGTTTGGTTAGATATTTGTTGAATATCAAAAGATTTCTTATGTTTCTAACTTTAAACATTTTGAAAGCGAATGTTGCCCTTGTAAAACGTTTTACGATCCTTTTCTGTAATAAAATATGTGTGTGTGGGTAGTGGGAACAAATTACTTGTCAAAATTATAAAAAGGTAAATATTTTCAAAAGCAATTTACATGGTAAAATATCCTGCCATGATTGCTTGCTTTCTTGACTGGCAACAATAAAGTCTCTTAGGACGTCGGTGTTTCTTTATAACTAACATTCTTTTAACTTTACGTTTGCCTTTTCACAGAGTAATAAAATTTATAACATTGCAACATAAAATGAAGTTAAAAAGTTACTTCGGTTGAAAATTTCTTCATTTCTTAGTTTCGTTGTTCTTATAAATTTTAACTTCATTTCTTGCTCAACTATCGCACTCGTTGCTTTAAGAGAAGAATGAAAAAAAATCTTTTATGACTTTCTTAAAGCCAATATTAACAAATTTCAGATGGAGAAACGAATATTCCGCTTATTGTAAGATTATTTAATCCGTTCAGTATTGCATAAAATTTGTAAATTTCCCTCAAATTATCTTAGCAGAATTTTCCACTTTCAAACTTAAAATACAAAGCAAGAAATCGTTTTGTAATCCTGCAAAATTTCGATAACAGAATAAAAAGAGAGAAAATGTGGAACAAATTTTTGCCCTTTCTTGGTTATCCTTCCCTCACTTTCAATTCTGTAATTGAATTTTTCCATTCACTGAGATTTTCCTAAAGGAACTTTCCACATGCAAAAAGAAAAGAAAGAATTGAAAATCCCTGAAAACGAGGCATTGGTGCAATTGGTGGTTTTTCTTCTTAAATCTTTAAATCTTTCTCTCGAGAATTAGCAAAGCTTTTTCTGCATATTTCAAAGCCACTGGAAAATCCAACTGCATAGAAAATTTTCTGCTGTTATCTCCAGAAAATGTCGTAAGAAAAGTTCACTTCCGAAGTTTTTCCAAGCTGTATGTTTTTTTTGTCGATATAGTTTAGTAGCAACTAGAAGCACATTACCATCTCCACCCCCACATAACATTGAACGGATGCTCTTACCACACCATCACGATAAATTAGTTGCAAGCAATGAAGCATTACTAATCCCCATAAAATGTTTTACAGCAAATTTTCTCTATCATGAAAAGAATTCGAAAAATTTCCCTGAACATTCATTCCATTTAAGATTGCAATTTGCATTAGAAAAACTCATCCAAGGAATTTTCCAACTGGGATCTGAAATGTTTTATGGCTTATTTCTCACTTAATTTTTGTTTCAATGCACGAACATTGCATGGACATTTCATTTGCAGTAAATTTCCATTTTTTCCTACAAATTAAAAGCTCGAAACATTCAAAAAAAAATTGTAAATGAAAGTACAGAAACAAAAAAAAAGTTACCGAAAATGTCACATAAATAAATTCAAAAGATTCTCGTGTTATGAATGTCTGAGCCATTGCTTTAAATTCTGAACTTTCTGAGAATGATAAGCAAGATTTTTGCAGAGTTTTGGAGTTTCAGACTACCTCAACAACTATTTAACCTACTTTAGAGACAAAAATAAATGTGCTGGTTCTCTGGGGATTTTTTACAACCATCGTCACAACATGTATCACTCATTATTCTTCAAACTTCTTCCACAAGATCTCAGATTATTTTTTTCTGTTCTTCATGTTATCTTTTTATCTAAATTTCTGCATGATGCTCGTCAGCACAAAAAAATGAGTGAAACTAAAAACTTTCAACCCTCAAAATTAAGCAAACAAGAAAAGCAAAAGAAAAGTTTTCTTTTTCTCACAACAATTATCGTTGCGTCGTCTATTTGCTCTGTAAATGATTAGTCTTCAGGGTAAAATAAGGTTGAATGAAGCAAGAAGTATAATGGAATTCATTTGATTTTGGTAAATTGATGTTGTTGTGGCGAAGGTTCTCATAATTATATCTCGTTAATAAATAATATTTTATGTTTACATTTTCCCAGCATTTTCGATGTCATTTAAAACAAAGTTTGCAAGCAAATAAAAGAAATTATTTTGAGAAGTGCTAACTTGCTGGTATGAAAAAGAAAAATTTAATTTTTTTACTGCAACATTGATTTGTTCGCTTGAGAAGTTAAATTTTAACAGCTGAAAATTATGTTTTCCGATTTTTTCAATGTCTGAATTGGTCTTTAAGTTGCCTTTCAGTCAGCAGTGATCAATATCGACATTTCATGTTGGAAAAAGTTTTATTTAAAATCTCATTCATGCACTTCCTCCCAAGCGACTCTACAAGTTCCCCATCGAAATAAATATCACAACAAAAATTATTTTTGCTTTGTTTTTCGAGAATCAATGTAGAAAGTTTTTGCAGCAACAGCGAAATAAAACTTTTTTATTTGTCTGATTTCCGTTTCCCGCTTCAAATAGGATTATGAAGTCTTTTCTCCCTCCTAGAAAATGGAAAATTCTCCCCACAATATTTTTTTTTGCAATATTCGATTTTTTTCTTCCTTCTGCGAATTCATCCAGTAAGCGAAAAGTTTTCGTCGTTCTTCTTATGACGATTATAATAAAAACGTTTTTCTATTCATTTTTCCATCTTTTCTCGCAACTAGAACATTAGTTTGGGGGGAAAGGAACATTGAATACAGAACAGCATAAAGCTTCCATTTTCAGTAATTTGCTTGCTTAAGAAAACATAATCGCATAATAAAGTTATGAGCTTCTGTTTGTTTGCATAAACATTTCTCCCTTTTACACACATCCCAACATCATCTCTGAGTTTAAATTCTTTCACTAAATGTGTAACGTCATAATTCCTTTCCTTCCCTTGTTATTTTTTTTAATGCAATGAAGTAACATCGTGAAAGTTTTCTTCATGTTCTTGTAACAACTTTAACGTTTCATCCTTCGTGTTGTAATTGTGGGCGGATTTACGACGACATTTCCCGATGTGAATATGCTGGTGGTAAAGTCAGAAAGAAAAAAAGTTAAAAATCTACAACTTAATGACTTTGCAAATTAAAATTTGTGGCTTACTCAAGGAAGCACGTGTGTCGTTTCACTTCGCAAGGATAAACATTTTTTTCTCTGTTCTATTTTCCTTTTAATTTTTCTCATAACAAGTTTTTCTTTTTTATTGTACAATGTTCATTAGAGTTATGTTCTGTTGAAGATTTTGAGAAACGTGACGTATGAAAAAATTAAAATTCAACGCTATTGTGCAGTGTTGTGTAGCAGAAACAGAAGCAGAAGCAGAATGAAAGTAATAAATAAATGTAAGAACATCGGAGCTATTGAAATGCAAGCAAAATTCTCTTGCGTTTGTGTCTAAAAATCACAAATATTTTTTGCATAAATTTTCCATCCTCTCACCTGGAAAACAAAGGCGAATAGCTAACAACATAGATAACAACATATGAACAAGGATGATCCTAATATGTTTAACATCTAACATGCTATCATGTAGATAGCTTTACTCGATGAATGCTTCTTGCTTTCATGTATGTCGACTGAGATCGATAAATTCAAGATTAGTGTCATCACCTTTAAACCTTCCACAGACGTGACATCTTGAGCTTTTGCAATCATCATTCATTGTCTTCTTCTCGGATATTGATTGTCAATTTTCGAACCCAATTGATGGCAGAAAGTCAAAGCTACGTTCTTATTGTTGTCAGCGTGATTTTCATCTTCACATTCTCATCGTCCAACTGATCGAGACAATTATTCAAGGATTTTCACCTTTCGATGTTCATTTCTCGGTTGAAGAACGAATTTCATTCCGCCATCGTGCCTCTCAGCATGACCTCAAAAAGAAAATGCAGCTTCGAATATCTGGAAATGATAAAAAGGTTTGACTGACTGTTATCAGAACATATTTTTCCATTTTCCTTTCTCTTCGATCCCATTGCTCGCTTCAAAGGAGAAATTTTCCTTTTGTTTTCCTTTATTTTCCCTCTCAATGTTTACTTGTTGGTTTTGTTTTTTTACCAATTCAATTTTCCACTAAAAATATTCTCATCGTTTCTTTCCACTTTGTGCAGTTGTTGTTGATTCTGTTACCAATTGAACAAACATTTTTCTATTGAATAGAAAGAATGAAAGATGAAACAACAAGAAGCAGAAAGGACGACTGTCTTGTTTTGTTCTCATTCTATTACAACCTCATCAATGATGCGATAACAAGCAGAAAATAAACAAAGCTCTTTGCTGTCGTCAAAGTTGAGGGTATCAAAGCGCAACCTAAATAAGCAAAGGGAGAAGAAGACGCTTTTTAATCATGATTACACCCACATAGTTTCAAGCCTTGTTATGTCCAAGCTTCTGAGCTGTCTTTGCGTATTTTACTCTAAATATTTTCCATTTCAACTAAATTAATTGCCACGTCATTTTTCTCTTCTGATAACGTTCTGTGCGATAAAATTTTTCCTTTCATTCTCTCTTTGACTTTTCTGAACTAAATAGTAAAGGAAAACTTAATTGTTTTAATTATTCATGAACTTCGCTTTCCTTTGTTTTGTAACAGTTTGTCGGAGGAAAAGAACTTTCCTTTAACCCTTAGTTTATGCGACATAAAAGCTGGTTTTCCAGCCTTGCCAAGTTGGAATAGTTAATTTTTTATGTTGGCTATAGAGCGATGAATTTTCTTATGAAAAAAAGAGAAAAAAGGGAAAACTATGTGAATAATGAAAAGCATTTAATTAATAAAATCTAAACGAAAACAGTCCAATTTTCTTAATTTCTTCGCGTTCATTCCGAAGGGCGCTCATAATTTATTCAATGTCAACACGCAATTTTTTTTCTTTTTCCGAGGCTTTTACTCCTAAAAGCGTTTCGAGATAATAGCGTGGCTTTAAGAAGCAGAAATGTCACTCGATATTTGAAATTCAGATTTGCAAAATTATGCGTCAATTATTCTTTATCAAGGAAAATAAAACAATTTTCGTTTTTGTGCTTAATGTTGCAAGTAAAAAATATTCACGAAGGTCATGAAAGTTTCTTCCGTTTGCCATTTGGTTGCTAGTGACATCACTAACTTTATTTATGGATCACTAAGAGACGCACTAAACGCCATTTAAATACTGTGCGACATTAATCTCTAGCGACGTTCTAACTTTTCTTTTTTATATAAATATAAACAAAACAGCAAAAGAACGAGAAATGAGACCATCAATTCTCGAAATTAATTCACTTGATAGTTTCTTGTTCTCTCTCTCGTCTTAAGTCTTGTTATGTGTGTGCTTAGTTAGTTTCTTGTATCGTTTTTTGTTGCTGTTGTTGAAGCATTTGGATGGCATTTCATGGCTCATAAATTTTTAAGTGGACCATTTTATTTATTTCAATTAATAGAAGAAACGAACGAGAACTCGACAAACGACGCAACAGAAGCATTTTCATTGTTTTCGTTTTCAAGAGAAAAATTTTCTAGTCGGCTCATCGTAACTTTCATCATGTGTCATCACAGAGCGAGAAAAAGATTTTGTGATTGGAAAATTTATGGTTTTATAATGAATTACGGTGAAAAAGAAAAGTTATTCATGGGAAAAAGAATAAATTCAAGTAAGAAACGGGATCGTTAATGTGTTAAGTGGGCGTTGTTGGGCGAGACAGTTCATTATTTACTTGGTTAGTTTAGCGAGGCGTTTAACTAAATTATCGACATTAAAATTGATTTTTGGTGATCTCAGCAACAGAATATTCTTTGCTTGAACGAAACTAGATTCACCGAGACTGTAATTTGTATGTCACATGTCAAGTGTGAGTTTCATTCATACAAAACATTTCATTCCATTGCCGCCACATTTGGCAACAGAACAACTTGTAATTTGATAGTTTTCTAACCATTTTTGTTATACTTGCTCCTTCTTTTCCTCGTCGTGTTCCGATTGCATGTTTTTGTGGCACCGATTTAAAAAGGAACAAAAAAAGAATTTGATTCTTGCAATGCGAAACAGGAAGAGATCTTGAGAAGCATTTCATCTGTCGTATTTAATTTTTAACATCGTTTCAAAGAGACAACATGCAGCAACAAAAAGAAAAAAAACCACTTAAGAGATTGCATTGTCTTTCCACTTCTTAAATACTTTTCCATCAGCTTCCGCTTTATTCATCTTGTTGCTACTCATGTTCTGCAGCACTTTGGAATGTCCTCCCGTCTTTTTTTATTTATTGCCATCCTAGATGATTTCTTTTAAAGTTTCCTCCTCGATGTCCTTTGAATTTTGTTGTAAAGGAAAGATTGGACAGTATCTTGTAAGAAATTTTTTACAAACATCCAAATAATCTTGTAGAAAATAAGATTAATGGAATGTTGCAGTTTCATCCTTAAAGTTATCCATTTAATAAAAAAATCTCAAAGATGAAAGAAAAGTTTCGGAGTTAAATTAAAATCAAATAAATTCCAGGAAATGTTGACAAAGCTTTGAGAATTTCCAGCCATAAAAATGACTCATCTTTAATTGCGCAAGTAAGATTTTCTTCCTTTGATATGTTCTCATTTTCCTTAATCAAATTTGTGCTTCGAAATAATCTTTGCATCTCAGTGCAGTTTTATGGCTTTCCACAAGCTCTTTCAGTTTCTTTGTGCTGGCAAAATTCTCATCTTTTAACTTGAGGCTGCCGTTGATTTAATTTTAGTTAAGCAAAGAAATAACTAAGAGAGGTAAGCAAGTCTTCATTGAAAATCATAACAAAATGCTTTCGAAAATTCTTCTTTTTTCCTGCTTTTATTGTGCATAAATATTTCATTCATTTTGAAATATCCCGAGTGGCTTTTTAAGCTTCGAGAAGTTAAGCAGAAAGTTTGACCTGATTGTGGTTGAACTGATGTTAAATTGGGGATATGAACAACTTTTTTTCTGTGGAATAAAAACTTGAAAGAATATTTATGTAATAGCGAAATAAAGATTAAGAATTTCCACCCACCTGATTCCATAATTGATTGCTATTTAGTTGGAAGTTCTACAAACATACTTCTTCGTAATTATATTTTGTTAATAATTTCACGATCGATTGCGCAGACCTAAATTTTATTTCACAACATAAAAGAACTTCAACTTCCTCAGTTAAAATCTTTCAATTACATAAAAGCGACGAAAATATTGAAGCAACTTAAAATCAATTTCCAAATGAGAAATGATTATTAGCTGCGATGTGAAATGGGTTATGAATTACGACTATGATGGGGCATGGTGAGTGAACTTGGAATGGAAAAATTTAATAAAGTTTTTAAAGAGATGAAATATTTAATATCCTGTGATGCCACATGTAGTGGCTTTAAATTTATTTACTTCAATGTTATTTTTAAATGAAGACTTTTAAAAATGTTTTATCAATTAAGTCTTTAAATATTTGAGAATTTCTTAAAACATTTCAATATGCAAAAGATTTTCTGTTAAGTGGCACGCACATCTGTGCGGGATTGCGATGTCCAATAATTCAAACGAATTCCATTACTGAAAATATTCGAATGCTTTTAATTGCTGAATGTTGGTTGTGGCACACTACTCGACACTCATTTCATTCCTCAATTTAACCAGTTGGGTTCTTGTGATGTTTGTTTTGTGATAATTCAATTAATTTCATTTCTTCTCCTTCGTTTGCTTATTCACACATTTAATGTCATTAAAATTTATAGCACGAAGGCTGTCAAAATAAAGTCTCGTTGAAAATGACTTTTATCGTTTGCTAGGGTCGAACTGTTGGTTGTTTTTAAGTGAGACACTCAAATATTTCCGGCAAGTCGATTTTAAAGTAAGGCAGAAATTTTCTTTCCTTTCAACTCTCATGTTAGAGAAAGCAAAGATGGGCGTCGTAAAAATCGATGTTTATGCTATTAATTTGAATGGTTTTAGTTCACAACGATGCTTCTGATGATGATGACGACGATTCTCTTCATTCCAATACAGTCCTTAAGTGATGGTCGAAAATCTTTTTAAAACGAGATTTTAATTAAAAAAATCTTCACTCATTCACATCTGGTTTGTTTTGATATTCAGAAAAAGAAAAGTTTTGATGTTTGTCGTCGTTAAAGAAATGTGACTTGTTAATGGAAATTGTGATTAAATACAAAAAGTCATCTGAATATTTAAAGCATTCTATTTAGTTAACAAGTTGATGTTTCAATAAAGTTCTCATATTAACCGTCGTTCTGACTAATTCTGACGCAATATAATGACGCTGAGATCGAGTTTTGTTCTCTTTTCTCCATCTTTTCTTTCAATAATTTAAATTCAACTCGATAGCTTGTCAAAAGTCAAGAATAACAGCAGCAGATGAAGATTGGTTTGTATGTAAATGAGATCAGATGGTCAAAGAACAAAATATATTTAAATATATGTCTCTGTTCATGTACACATGTTCGTCGGGTTCTCTCGTTTCTCATGTTGTAATTTTTGTTCGAATATCTGTCGCATTTATTGGCACTCAATATAATATAATCCTCGTGTTTGTTGTCTTGTTATGGGCTGTGTTGTTGTCCGTGTTCTTTTCCTTTTTCGGCCACTCTCTTTTGCTTGCTAATTTTAATTTTTGCTTCGTGTTGTTTATGTGTCGTTTGCTACTTTGTCGTTTTTACTCCCAACTTTATGATGGGGCAACGGCAATGACAATAAGGAAACTTCTGTTAACTGCTTCTGATTTTTTATTATTTTATTAAAACCTTTTATTTTGACTTCTCTTTGCTTTTTTTTTCGGACGGGTTCTCTAGGACTGAAATAGTGTTGCAGAATAGAATATAAAACATTTTTATTACTTTATAAGCAGTTGCCAATAAAAAATCTTTTCTAGATATTTATGTAGGTTAAAAACAGTAGAATTTTGTTTTATTATCTTTGTTGCACATCGGTAACTACCGAGAAGGAAGTTTCACTTCATTCTTCTCAGGGAGTTTTCTCTAAAATTTTATTTAGCCATTCCAGCGAAAAATGATGAAACTTTATTGCACTTTAACTGTGGTACAATCTTCAAAGTTTTGCATCTAAAAAGAAAAGACTTTTTATTTTTTATATCTTTATAACTCTTAGTAGCAATTTCACTGCCACTCGCTCCTTTATTGTTAGTTGCTGCACCATTTTCTTCCTATTTCTACCTAGGAATGTTGTCAGTCTCCCTTTCCGTTCACTATGACTGAAAATAAATATGCTGTGAAATTTAAATGTGCATAATAAAATGTTCTAGCATTTGCAATTTATTGACGGAGTGCTCAATAAACTTTAACTTCTGCAGGCACATTAAAGTCCTACAAATTAGTTATGCTTCTTTTTTATGCGTTAAGTTATTGCAAATAAATCTACTTTAACTGTTTGCATTTAATTTTTGCTTCTTTCTCTAAGCAAAAAAATCATTTCTTGTTGATTTGTTACGATTTCAATTTTTAAAACTGTAATTATTGTAGTACAAACGCATAAAGTTTCAATAAATAACAGAAAGACCGAATGTCTAATTACCATTGGCGTTTAATAACTTCAACAGTTTGAAATTCAATTATGAAGTCGTTTTAATCATTTAAAACTCAACAAAACCTAATCGAGTAAGTGTTTCAATTAGCATCAGTAAGTGAAACAGCAACAAAGCGAAGCATAAAGTTATTAAGCATATGAATGGCCTCGCTTATTCAAAAGCGCATTAAAAACTCCCCAAAAAATCAACAAATCTTCAATGCTCTCGGTAGCACTTTTAACAAAGACGTGTTAAATAATTTATTTCGACAATACCATGCATAAATCACCAAAAACACAAACGCCAATTGATCCCAGTTGAAGATTATAACTGCCGTATTGAGAGATTGTTTGACTTCGAGCATCATAAAAGCAATTTGAATGAAAGTAGCGTCTTTGACTGAGAAGTGTGAAAAATCTGCTTTTGTGTTTCGCAATTGAATTGAAGTCTTTATACTTTTACACGCACTCCCCATGACACATATTTTAGACAGAAAGTGTCGCATGAGGTGATAAGACAAAAGAAAGCCATAAAAATAAATCGTAAAGCGATAAAGAACGCGACTGCGAGGTAAATATTAGAAGTAAGTAAAGAAAGGTAAATAAAACTGTTTAAAAACGGGTAGAAGCGTCAATTGCGTCTTCTAATACTTAAATAGCAACAAGTTGAAGCTTTAGAAATTCACAAATCTTCAGACACTTTAAATCCGATTAAAATCATTTCAACTTTCTTCTTGCATTTCAATTAATCTTGCACAATTTCATTTGAACAGAAAAGTTGAAGCTTCTTAATCGTCGGTTATGAGTCACAGTCGTTAGCTGTAATTTTAATAAAGCAAAACAAACACTGTAAAAATTATATTCACGTCAAGCGATGAAAAGAATCATAAAAGGCATTATTTTCGGGGCTTGGCGGTTCTTTCCGCTCAACGACTTGTAGAAACGCGACTTGTTGCTGCTTTTGAGATAAGCGCTCAGCTTTGTTTTCTTTTGCTTCGTGTTTAGTGCGTTCTTTATGTTCCCCCCTCAATTTTTATGACTTTCAATACGTTTTCGCATAATCATAAAGATGTGGAAAGTACTTAAAAGCCCACCTTCATCATGTCGATAATTCTTTCAATTCTGGCTGCGGATTTAACGGGAATATCAACATTCACTCATGAATCTAACTGGTACATAGAAATCCAACAAAAAACGATGAATAACGTGAACTGTAAAGTGGACTCAACGTAATCCATTGTGAAATGTTTTGATTCTGTTTTATGCAAATTCGAACCCCACCACCTCAACCATAAAAAACATGCGTGCCTTTCTATCCAAAAGCAGAGTCGTCGTCAAGTAATCCAAATTAATATGTGAAAAGACGTTCCAGATTTTCAATGACTTTATCTTTTTTGTTCACCGACCCCATCGAGAAGTCTGAAACGAGAGAGAAATTTGAATAACAGAAGGAAAAAAGAAAAATCGTAAAACAAATTTAAATTTTATTAAAGCAAAGATTCTTTATGACAATGTTTATTGCTTCGGAAACAGATTGCTAAGTCCGCGTGTTGATTTAAGCTGGATTTCACATTTTTGGCGTTTCCCTAAGTGAAATCTATCGAAGCGAACGATTAAGAAGAATGGATGTGAAAGAGATCAACGATGAAAGACATTACAGCACCCAGAATTGTCGAGAAAACATAAAAATAAAAATTTAATTTGAATATCGTTTCGTTTCTCAACTGAAATGATCTGCTTTTCGAGATTGTTTTTAAGTTATTTTGGAAATTAATTAGAATTAAATGAGCTCTGAACGTTGTTTGTTTATTATAAGATTTCCTTTTTTTTTACTCTTATAAAGTCTGAAAGTGCTGATCGTGAATTAAGTTAGATATCTTGATTGAAATTCTTCTTCATTACTTCACATTTAATTTTTGTTGTGTCAGTGAAAGAACTTTTCTGCTTATGATAGCTTTGAAAATCAGGAAATCCAACTGAAATCACTTAAATGATTCCGAATAAAATTATATGAACACAAATTTATGTTAATCAAAATGCTTCTGATTGTAACAATATTTTATGAGTAATTAGCAAATATTGTGACCCAATTTCATTAAAATCAATAAAGTTTTGAATTTACATCGATTCAACATGCAAATATTGAGGACAGAAATGATTTTTGGCAATGCAATTTAAATTCACGCTCGATGACGAGTTAAACTCGAATACTCAATGAAGCGTAAGTGGTTTAGTTAGCGATATGAAATAAGCCATGTCAAAAGTTATCAAAGAGAAGCCGCAACCACATGAAAGCTTATTCTAGTGAAGGATATTTTTGTGGTTAGCAATTTGTGTGTTGACGTCTCGTATGCTTTTGGACTTTCCGTAATCTACACACAAAAACATTTTTGCTTGACGCTTGCGATGTTTCTTTTATAAAACATGATTACAAAAACCAAAGTTTTCATCCTTCAACCAGCTCGTACATGCGGGAATTTTAATGTTTCATCCTTTTCGAGCTGTCGTGTCATGTCACTCGTTGTTCTAACGAGCAGCTCACATGAAAGTTATTAATCAACATCTGAACAGTGATACAACATCCATTAAACATCTATAACAAGCCAAGTTTTGTGACAAATCTTATGAATTATTCATTCAATTCAGACAACTAAATGCCTACTTGGATACTCATAAAGAACCCAACTTTATAGAACTGAAACAATTTTCCCTCGTGAAATTTTCTACTGCAAGTAAAATTGGAAAATAATAAAAAAAAAAGAAGCTTACCAAAGAACATAAGCCATGAAAATTTCTGTTCTATTTTCCACATGAATTTTTAATTGTTGAATATAAGAAAAGTTTCGCTTGATTTTCAACATGGAAAACATTTTCCATCTCACTTTCTTTCCATCATTTTGTGGTGATGACAGGGCTTTGGTCGATGTTTTCCATTGATTTCCTCTTGCTTTTGAAAATAGAATCAAATCCCTGGATATTGTGGATATTCCGATTTTCATAGAGTGCTTTCCAAAAATTTACATGAGGTATAGCGAGTGAGTGTCTCATAAAATAGGACATGCTTGCTTTAGAAATCAATTCATATACGAATTCCAAACTCGTTTTACATTTTGAATTTTTCAGTAAATTGGAAAACTATTTGTTGGAAATGTGGAATGAATTTTTAGTTGTTTACCGACAGTTTTTCATTGCAGGGATGTCATTTTCATACATTTTTCATTTTATTTTGACATCTCAGGTCGTCTTATCCATTCAGTGGATTAACCTTAACTCAACATCAGGTCCAACATGCAAATCAATTACATACGATGAAAAAAATATTCAAATCGCACTGAAAGTTTTGTAATAAAATTTGCCTTTCAAAAGCTTTTTCGAATTTGTTCTCTACACATTTGAAATTCATTCTAGAGCAAATTTGAAAGCATGCAAACCCAATGTATTTATACTTTCATCGACTCACAGATTTTTTTTGTATGTAAATTTAATGTGTGCCATCGAAAGAAGAAAATCGACGACAAAATATTGAAAACAAATTCTGTTTTTTCTGTTCATCTATTGTTACACAAAATAGCATTTGAGAGGGTACTTTGCCTCACGTGTTTTGCTACGATTCGAAGCAAACGAAACCCATTCAATATCTAATTCATAGGCTTCCATCGTTATTTAACAAGTCATAATCTCCATAGTAACATTGCTTTCCCTTCACAAAAAAAGGCATGCAAAAGCTTCAGTAGCAGCTGAAATAAAAATTTCTGAAGCTTTTGGTTAAGAAATTCTTTCTTTACTTCTTTTCTTTATTCAATGTAATGGGACCCAGATGTCCTCAAATGGGACAAAGCGCACATGCATGTGAACGAAATAAAATTGAAATATCATAAGAATATGATTATCAGTATTCAACATAAATGAAAAAGAATTGAAGCTTTTTCTCTTTCATAAATCGTCCCACGAGACGCTTCGAGTTTCCATGCAAATGATGTTGAAAAGCTCTTGCAAAATTCTTTCATATGATTCCTTGACGACACTTAAGATTTTTTCAAGCGCATAATCTTATCTATAAAGATTAATGTTGCCTTGCGACCACTCTACATATTTTAGTTACATAAAATTTCATTTATGGAAATTTTTCAATGGTCAACAAGACAGCAATCATTTAGCATCAAAAAGAAATGAAATAAAATGTAAAAAAGAAGAAAGAAAGAAAGCTCAAGTTGCATGTCGTAAGTTGCTTGTGTCATATTCAACCCCTCACCTTAAAAAATCGAAATGGAATCAAAATCCAATATTTCGCTTTTATTATTATTATAGAGTTTCATAACGCCATAACTCAAATCATATTTTCTCTCCCCTTTCCTATACTTATGCACGGAAAGCATTTTTCCTTCATGCCACACCGACGTAAGAAATGTATGAAGCATTGTTATTGTGTAATAGAAGATGGGGACAAAAGCGAGTAAGTAGCAGAAGTTTCACATTTCTATCCCAAACATTTGTGATTCATAAGAACATATCGATCTGAAAACACAAATAAAAAAAGATAATGGTTTGATATCAAATCACATGGCAGTTTTCTGCCAGTTAAGAAAGCATACGAAAGCATAATTTTATGTCTTTTTATTATTCAATACCGTTTTTAAGCGTTCTTCGTTCGTTAAAATCGAATTTTATTGACTCAATAATATTTTTGGGTGAATTTATGGTTTTTTGAGTTGTGCTTGTAATGTCAGACTCACCTATATAAGTCACACATGACACGTGCAATTGTAAGACTGTTATTAGAAAAACTTAAGCTTTAATTATATTTGAAACCGTAAATTACAGATATCTACACTTCACAGCATGAGCATGCTCAAAAAGAGCATGCTCTTAAATGTTTACAAATGAAGAAATAAACAAACAAACAAACAAACAAACAGCACCATACCAGTTACCTAAATGAGTTCGAGTTAAATTTATACGATTAAGTTACATCATTGTCATATATTTAGCCTTATTACTGTCAATTTTTATCACCACACTTTTATATGGCTTCCACACTTTAATTGGAAAACTTTTTCGTTTTTTATTTCCTTTTATTTATTTTCGTTCTAATGATTTCCACCCTCGTAAACAATTGGAGAAAAGGAAATTTGTACTTTTATACTTACACCATTCATGCGGAATGGTGGGTTCATAAAAAAACGTGTTAATTTGTTTTTCGATATAGATTTTCTGCCACCCACAATGGAAATATATTTAAGTATCCATTTGAATTCAATATCGTAAAAGATACTTCAAGGGGTGAGTGTAAGTAAGAAGAGACAATAATTAAACTCAAATATTTTCAAAAGAGCCATTGTTAGATTTTGGAACAAACTTAAGGGGGATTGTCAAAAGCAATTAAGGATAGATTGATTGATTTCAAAGTTTGAGGGAGAAATTTTTATTTTTGTGGGGCGATTTAATTTGATGAGTTGGAAATGATTTGGGAAACTATAACAACTCTCAACAATTTTTAATTATAGGACGAAGGTGGATGGAATTTCTATTTTCATCGATAGTAACTAAAATTCATAATTCACAACATAAATATTCACATGGCCGCATAATTAAATCCCAGCATTATAAATATTTTGTCATTCATTCTGTAAGTTATGATGACTGATGGAGATTTCATGCGCTGATGACATTTTTTATGACAATATCTCGTGAATTATTCTCATTCAAGCTTAATATCTTCATGTTTAATTTATGCCATACGTCGAATTAATTAGATATAAACTGCGAGACCATTGTTGTCGGTAGTTGTTGCCATTAAATGATTAATAAATTAATTAAAATCCTATAAAATGTCACAGAACATTTTTGTGAATAAATTTGTGGAAATATTTTTCATTTTCATATCATTTTTTTGTTCTTGTCTGTTAAAATATTTAATTAACGAAAATTATTAATGAATGTTACAGCCGACGCTTTACTCTCTGCCAGACCGCAATACGATGTTATTTTGATGGTCGAACAGCACATAACTCATGTTTATTGTTATCAATTCTATTGCTTTCCGCTGACCTGCACATTGTAGCGAGTTTTGTTTGAATTTAATTTAACAACTTGGTGGTAATTATCTCGTCAAACATCTACATCAACAACAGTTTTAAATAGAAATATGAAATTTTAATGTTTCATCTTTTTTCCTGTCCCTGTCTCAGTTTGGAATTTATGTTCCCGTTTTGTTACTTTTTTTTTTGTAGATTATAAAATTTCTGGAATTCTTACGCGATTACTATTTAAATAAAAAGTTAAATTCATGTTTTGTTTTGTTTATTAGAGAACAGACCATAAATTGTTTCCAGTCATTTCCTTTCTATTTCCTCTGTTAGCTTCCAGTTGAAGATGTTTATAATTAGATTGCTAGTAGTTAATTGATTGAGCAACGAATGAAGCATTCCTAAGTAGTGATGGATGTAGAATGTCTATGACCTTCAAAATCTTGTTTTTGATATTTGTAAATTGCAATGTTTGCGTCAGTCAACAGACGACGAAAAATCCCAATTCCCAAAAAATGAAATTAAGCAAACGAGCGAACTGAAAATTCTCATCAAACAAAGCACAACCTCAACAGTATCTTCAAACGATCTCATGCATAACATTAACCGCACAATATAATGTTATGTTAATGTCAAGCATGAAGAATCTTCGAATGGGTTAAAGAGAATGACATGATGAAACAGATGTCTAATAAGAAAGCTAATATCGCTATTAGCGAGAACAATAAACTAATTGTAACACAAAACAACCAGAAAAAATGAATCTTTTAACTTCAGACTTCACATGGTGTTACCAGTGATGTCACATTTAAATTCCTATGATTAAAATTGGACATTAAGCAGCTTAAGTGACTTAAATATTTTGTTTGAAGTTATGCAATGTGATTTTCATTTCTTTAATAGCTCGACTTTATTATTTAAACATCAAAGCAGCTGATTAACTTCAAGTGCCTCTACTTAAACATCATTTGGTGGAATTAAATTTCCATGAGTCTTGTATTTGTTCAGTCAGTTGTATTAATTACGTCTTAAGAACAGCATTTTATTTCGCTTATTTTTAGCAACTTGCTGAGAAAAAAATCCTTTCTTATAAAGCTACAATGTTTCTTATTCTTTTTTACAAACGTTAACAAGATTCAGTGGCACACTCGAAAATGTTTCAGCAGAGCTGAACGAGCTATAAGAGTTTAAATTATTGTGATCATTACTTTACATTTATTATCTGCTTACTTTGCTTCTTCTCCTTGTCTGCTGCTGACTTTTCGTCGCTTTTGGTCGTCGCCGATTTTTTTTTGTCATTCTCTTGTGTCGAGGGTTGTCATCATTAATTATGTAGCATTCCATCAATTCGCATCTCTTGACTTTTAACAGACAAAATGACGATTAAATAAATTGACTATTTGCTTAATTAGCGCTGAAAAACCTTTTTTTTTCGTTCAGTTTATGCTGAGCTGATGAATAAATTAAGAACAGTTGGCAAATTGACTGCTCGCAAATGCTTCAGCTTGATGAGAAGCAATTTGCAGTGTTTTTTAACGACTGGATTTGCTTCGGTTAATTGATGCAAACTTTTATGACGACCTAAGGTGCAAATATGATTTTCAACTTTCCACACAATTAAATCGCCTCATTTTTTTACAATCAATTAAATTTATGCCCAAGTTGTCATGAAATATTTTAAAATCGTACGAGTCAATTGAATGTTAAACAGGAAAGGAAAATGGACAATTAATCATCAATGTTGGGTCATTTTTAACAAACTTATAACTTGCATTCTCAAGTTGTTTATTTTCTTTGACGATTGATTACCATGTTGGATGAAACAACGCCAGAAAAAAAATGAAAATATCGCGACATGACAAGCGATTATCATCGATTGATACTTTAAAGCTGTAAAGTTGATGCCACCGAACGCCCCTGGTGCAAAAGTTTTCTTCTCTTGTTTCGCTCCTTTCGATTCAAAATTGCATGGCACGGCAAGATGAAATACAAAGCGGCGAGCAATGAAAACTTATTAAAAAAAAACGTTGAATATGAGAGAGAAAAAGCAATAAGGCGCTAAATGAGCGATCGCACGACTTTTGCGCAATTTATCCATGCCCTGTCCGCAATTGTTGGCGTTAATTTTGCATGTTTTTCTCCTCCTCATTTCAGCGGTAAAAATGTCAAAGATAAAAGAACTTCGAAGAGTCCCCAATAAGATGAAAATCGCTTTGCTTTTTAAATTACCACTTCTCGACAAATCTTTAGAAAATGCGCTCAACAATTCACTTTTACAACGTTTTCATGCAAAAATAAGATCGAGAGATTGTGGAACGTGTGTTGACAGGTTTAATTTCCATTCTCTTAAGACTTCGTCCACGAAATTGTAAGTTTTTGAATTAAAGTTTCTTTTTCTTTTTATAAAAATAAAAATAATAAGAACAGAAATGAATTTCAGTTAATACCACAAAACTAATGACGACTGTCAAAATATAATGGAAAATGTTGAAAACAAATCGCTTACAAGTTATTTGATCTCTTAATTTATGAAGATCAAGATGCTCAAGGGAGTTTATCGTAAATTTATTGTGCAATAAAAGATTAAAAGTCAGATGACCAATTTTGGGTTTAATTTCCTCAATTAAGATTTCGATATTGTTGTTCATATACGGGTAAGTATCAACAGTCCTTAAACTTAATTATTGGTAGGTGAATTAAGTATAACATATGTCTTTAATCAACTCAACGACACAAGATAATGTTTTTCGGAATTTCTCTTTCAGTCTCGTTTCCCTAACGAGTTAAAAATTATCAAAAATGTTAAAATTTCATGTTTTTTATATTATTCAATGTAGCCAAACTTTCTTATAATGTCTCGCAATTAGCTACAAAGTTGCAAGCTTAACATCATTTCTATATCGTCTCACATCAGTCACCGCTTCACTTCCCATTCGCTCTATTCACTATCTGAGGTCAAAAGTCTCATAAAAACTTCATAATTGCATTAACACCATAACATCCAATCCTGCATTGCATTGCAATGTAGAGAAAGAAGAAATTAAAGTGCAAGAAAATAAATCCATTTATGTGCCTGCTCAAATCGCGTAATAAAAAACTCATTCGCAGAATTTTTTTTCCTTCTTAATTTTGTTTTTATTTTCATGTTTCTTTCACCAACTACAACTTCTACCTCTCGACACAAAAGTTTTGTTTGAATTATTATTTCCTTGTAGAATTTACGATGCGATTTTTATGATGCTGCAACATAATTCTTTTTATTGCAACATAACATCTCGGCGCTGGTGTTTCGATGAAAATATGGGCAACGTCTAATTTGTATCATTAATTTACTTCACTTTACTTGCCTCCTTCGGTTGCTTTTGACTGTTACTTCTTCTTGTTCCCATGTTCACTTAAATTCTTTTTATTTACTCGTTACTGAGGAGTTCATGTGACCGTCTTAGGTGCATTTGGCAAGTGCTGCATGCAACAATTTAAATAGTGAAGCTTTAATTCTGAAATATTGCGTGACATCTTCAGATAACAAAACTCTGAAAGTGTGAAAAGATTTTTCTTTTTTTTTCATCTCTTCTCTTTCCTCAATTCCATCATCAACGAGGAAGAAAAAAATCTTTTCACATTCATCTTTTTGAATGTCTCGTTAGGTGAAATGAAATGAGGTGAAGTGAAGTAAAAAACCCAACGAACTGCAACGAAATTGCATTTTCAATTGCTATCATACTTGAACTTTCTCACTCCCTCTCTTTGATGTTTTTCATGAAATCATTTCGCATTAATCAATGGCTTATTAATTAAATAATTCTCAACGCTCTTTCGAAAGCTGTCCGAAGATGTTCTGCTGCGATGTTGGAAAATGCCAACACTTACATTTTATTTCGGCACAACGATTCCTTCCTTGACGCCCTTTTGATGCCTTGTCTTCTTAAAATGTATTTTATTCGGTGAAATTCTCCGCCTTAAGAGATCCGCATGAATTATGAGGTTGTGCCGTTTAAGAAAGAATGGGAAATTATTAAAAGAAATTTACAAGCAATGTGATAAGTGGGATTCATTCAATAGTTGCATCACAATGACGTTTTGTAACATTCTTATTCGTGCACTCTAGGCGGTAATCAAAAATCAAATAAAAGTACGAAAATGCATTTGCCAAAACAGCTCCACAAGCAATAACAGCAGAAAGCAATCATCACACATCAACAAGCCGTTGCAAAGTCGTATCACGACTTTTTTCCGCAGCGTTTCTTTTCCTCCTTCTTTTCACTCCACCATCAGAGTACAAAGCACCGAGGCACCATAATTTTCAAACCAATTATTGTTAATAATTCTTCTTGCATTCGATTTATTAATGGGTTCAATTTTATTTTGTTTTTTTCTTACTCTCTTTTCCTTCTTTCTCTTACAACCTTTTTATGTTGAGTGAGTTCGGTGCTGTTTGTGCGCCTCTTTATGTTGTACGTGAAGTGTAATTTGCGATTTATTATGTTGGAAGTATTTTTGAGATGATTCTGAACAAAGACACCAGAGGTGGCACTCTCAGCTATCACATTATATCGAAACTCCTCATAAAACAAAAATAATTATTTTCACGTTTAAAATATTTCTTGTTGAGTCTAAATTTTCAATAAAAAAATGTGCATAAATGCGCCCTAGAATTTTTCCTTTTCAATGGAATAAGCAATAAGATAGAAACAAGAATTGTACAGTTAATTTAATACACGTTTTTCATTTTCGCTTTTTTTTCTTTTATTTCTCTTGTTCAGCGCCCATTAAAATGATTTTCTTTCATGTATGTTATAATCAAAGAGTGAATAAAAAAAATGTGTTGTTATTACAAATTGAGTCTAGAATATGCTCATGTTGCTATTCTCCTCTCTTTTAATCTAGTTCACATTATAATGGACTCAAGTTACATCAATTCAGACTTGTTAGAACATTTCTCTTCGATCATGTCACGTCGCCCAACTCATGTAATTTTTATACTTATCTACTTATTGCAAAGCGCAAGGCAAGGCGAGAAAAAAAGAGTTGATGGATTATTTGTCGTGTTTTCTTGTGTGAAATCTTCAAACAAGGTGTTAGAGTGTAGTTGAGAAAAAAAAAGCAAGACTGATAGATAATGTTATGTAAGTAATGATAAAGAGCGAAAGAAAGCTCTCAAGACTACTATCATCATTAGGCTTCAGTAAATTGCTGAATATTTCATCTAATACGCTGAAGGCATTGTCGGATGAAATGAAGTTTTCTGCTAAATTATTTATCGGATGAAAATTTCACAAGTTACCAGCATGACAGTCTAGCAAACAAATCGCATCATATTTTATATTACAGCACGTTCTTTTTAAAGAAATCATGGCGAGAAAAAGTTTGAATTTTCTCTTCTTTTCAATATGATTAATTCAATCGCAAATGTACAACGATTTCATTGTAGCCAGTTTTTATTTCTTACTTTTTTTTATTCTTCAACGCTTCAGAAAGACGATGAAGGAAAGAAGTATCGTGGAATATCATTAGATTGGTGCAAGCAAGCAAGCAAGCATAAACGAGCATGTTAAAGTTACAATTTTCTCGCTTTTATGACATGAATGCAATTTGTCTTGCTGCTTTTTACTGTGCCGTAGTTGAAAATGAACTGCAAAAATTACATAATTTCCATGAAATGAAGTTGATGTAAAATTTCTCACTTCACTGTGCACTCGTCGTTTGTTCGAATGTCAATGGACGCTTGAAATGTCATTATTTTATGTGCCATACTGATTTGCTTATTGATTACTGGCTTTTGTCATTTGTCTCGCTTACGGGACGAGGAAAAATGCAAAAGATTTTCACAACATAAATTTCATGGGATTAAAAAGAAATTGAGTGTGAAAAATCGTCATCGCTGCACTTAAACCCAAAGAAATCTCTACGAAACATTTTAAAGATCAAAATATGCTAAAAATAAAATGCGATGAGCTTGAATCAATTAAAAGTCATTCTCGTTTTTGTTTCCTCCAACAACAGCAACGTTTTCTCTATCGAAAATCTGTTACTGTCAGATGAAAAACAATGAAATTTAATTTCCCTCGTTAAACTTTTTGTTTTTTTCTTCCTTCTTCATCCTCCCACGCGTCAACTTTTTTTTCATCATCACAATTTTTCATCATTTATATCGCGGAGTAATTCGTTGAACAGATGTTGTCAGCAAGTTTCGCACGTTCAGATGAATTATTGAAACGTCCTTTTAGTGCATTAAAGCTGGAAAGTTTTTGAAGTACAAAAGGGGATTTTAATTAAACATCTTGTGCATACTTATCACTCAACTTGCTATCAAACTGAGAAATTCGTTTCTTTGTTGCTGAGTTGAATGAAGTATTTTAAAAATTCAAAAGCATTCCTAAAGTTAGTCTCGACGCGATAATTGGTTCTGTCATAATTATTTGTGCAAAATGAAAAATATTACGCTAATAAAATTAAAAAGGAAGAAAGAACGAGAAACTGTATCGAAAGATGGAAATAAATATGAAATGAAATGGAAATAAATTCACAAAAAACAAAATTTGGTGTTCGCCTTTTCGTGCCTTAACAACCTCAAAGTGAAGCGCTTTAAATAAAGTTCATCGAACATCGAAAGTGGAAAACAGAGAAGAAAGAATAAAAAATAAAAACTTGATCAGTCTCATAAGTATTAAAAATTTGTTGCATGCCATTTGTACGATGCTAAATGATTGGAGAAGCACGATGGAACGAGCGAATAAATCTTTCGTTTTGAAATTATTTCATGGAATGAAAGAAAATCAACGTTGAGAAGAAATGTTTTGAGAGAATTATAAACACAACCATTATTTAGCATCGTGAATGCACATTTCGTTATCAAAGAATTACTTTCTTGAGAAAAGCAACGCGCCTAAGCTAAGAACAGACGAAAGAATGAAAGAAGATATTAACAACTTCTGTCGATTGCACAATTAATCTCCCAAATTGCCGTTAAATTGCCCCAATCAAAGCATGAAATGAAATTCGAATCTTTGTATGGGACTAAATTTTAGGTTTTTAGTTTTTGTATCTGACAAGTCATTGCGCTAGTGACCTCAGGTTCTTGTTCTCTGTCTCTTCATACGTTTGAGTCGTTTAAGATTGAATCTTAAATAACTTGATACTTTGACATTTCTGAAATATTTTTATTTAGATATAATGAAGTGAACGAAGTCATGAAAATTTCAGTGACGTTAAAAAATTGTTTACACAAAAAATTTTAGATATGCATGCGGGGGAAAACATTTTCAAACAAAGTTTCCGAAATAAATATTGTACAATCAGTGAATCTAATCAAACATTTTCCCATTAATTTTCAACTTGATAAACTTTCCAACTCGTCTGTTTATATTAAAATCATTGAGAGTTTGTCTTTCGTGATGTTTGAACGACGAAATGCTTAGCGTTGAGTGTCGTTGTCATTCAATATCGCTTAAGAATGAGTTGTCAAATCATTTGATGAAGAAATTTCCTGTGTAGGTGTTTTTAATCTGTCGTCATGTTCACGAATTTAAATAATCCGAAAAGACTCAAAGAAGTGTTTGCAAGCTGAGAAAAGCGACAACTCAATGAATCAAATGACGAAAAGAAATTGAAATTCAAGAAGGAATATTGATCGGATAGAAAGATTGCTTTGATTGGCATTTGATTGATTTATGATAAGAACAGTCATAGATAAACAAGAAACATATTTCAATCACAACTTCTCAATAATTTATTCGCATATCAAACTAAAGTTCTGAATATTTAAATTCCAATAATGTTTCAAAGTATTTTCTCAACAAACAATTGAGAGAAAGAAATTTCCAAGATCAAAATGAAGGTGATAAATTTTCATTTAGAATTCAAATGTCAAAAACTTGACAGTCAATTTTCCGTTCATCTTCAGATCAGATTGTGTTGAATGAAAATTGATATTTAAATATTTGTACCACGCACACAATTTTCACAATGATAATTTTAAAATAATATCCAATGATATCGTTCCAGAGATGTCAATAAATCGAAGTAGAATCATCTATACAGTTTCAAAGTAAACAAGCACGAATGACAACTCTATCATTACTCATGGAAAAGTGCACAATCATTTTTAACAATTTCATATGTTACTCTGTGTCTCACCACATCATAGCACAGCCAAGTGGCTGATGCCAAGCATAAAAACGTAAAAAAAGCTCTCGAATGAAAATGATAATGCAAATATTGAATCCGACAATGATATGGGAAATTAATTCATCATCATTTGCTTTTACTCATCCGTACGGCATGTTTTTTTCCCTTGCCAACTTACTGTCGAGAAAATGTTGTGATGGGATCAGAAAGCTGAAGCCTCCGATGATTTTTTTCTGCTGATTTGTCATCATCATATTCGGCTTTTGCATTAATGTAAATGTCAGCAACGTTGAGTAATTCGGTATTGTTTACACTCATGACGAAGGTGAATTGTTGAAAATGTGTATGGTAGAATTCGCTGATAAGCTTGTGCTTCTTTTTTTCTGTTTCCTGAGAGGATAATCTGTAACAAATCTCTCATACATCATCATACAATATTTATGTACGTTTGAGAAAATTCTTTCATCGTTTCATGATGCTTCTTCTTATCCACCCACACCTCAGATTGAATACTCGTCTCTAAATTACTTATTTTGTTGTTTAAGATTCACTTCACGACTTTAAATTGAAAATCAACTCATCGACCGTAACTTTAAAGAGTTTTCCACATCAACATGTGTTCAATGCATGTTTCAATGATCGGTCAGCTTTCATATCAATCTGAAAGTACTCGAACAAAAAAAGAGTCGATGGAGTTTGTTTACTGTTTGCGATATCAACGTACTCGTTACTGTTTCAACAACAAAATGAAAACTGTTTGGGATGTTTACTTTTCATCTCATATATCAAATATATTTCAGGATATTTATCGACAGTGGTGAACGAAAATTTGATTTTAATTACCAGCTAATTAATTAAATTAAATCAACCGTTAATCAGCTTGTAGCTTTTATTTGTAGCTCCAACAAACATTTACTTATTCCTTCATTTATTCCAATTAAACTTACACACACACAAAATCTGTGAATATTGAAATTACTCGTGCATTTAATTCGTATATTCATAGTAAAAATAAGAGGAAAGAACGAAGCTTTTAATCCTCTGTAGTTACACAATCCCGGAAAGAGCTAACGAAAAAATATTGCTGAATCACTGCACGAGTGGCAAAGAGAATTAAATTGCAACCATTTGGCTCTTTTTATTTACTTTTTTTAGATTTTATTCTCTACTATGATCATTGCTTCTAGTCTTCGTCTATCGGTTTAATCCAGGGCTTCGGTCCGGAACCTTTTTCCTGTTCCGGAACAGGAAACGGACCTTAAGGGGACCATGAACTTGTTCCGGAACAAAAACGGACCGTTCCGCAAACGATAAATCTGTTCCGGAACAGGAAGAGGAGCTTGTTCCGGAACAGGAAACGGACCTTAAACGGATCTCGGAACACGGACCGAAGCCCCGGTTTAATCCTTTAATTAGAAAATATCATTGCAAGGATTTAGCATTAAGAATTGAAATTTATTCGAAACTTGTGTAATCGTTTGTATTTAACTTAAATCATGTCAAGCTGGAATTTAATTTCATTAAATACTCGTCACAAACTGAATGTGGAATATCTTTACGATGACTTTTAAAATCTCCTAAATAAACTTACTGACAGTAGAGATCACGAACTGCCTTAAGTACACATGAATATTTCCATCGCAACATTCCATAGCGTTACATAAACTTTCAAGCATCATGTCGTTGTTGCCTCTGATTTTGCATGCCATGCCAAAACTTTGTTTACTGCACGTGAGATTTTCCTACACTGCACAAAGGCTTCAACTCGTTCCAATAATCCCTAGGAAAAATCCCAGCAAACAAACGCGGATTTATCCATGCACTGTGCTTATTCATGTTTACGGAAGCCACATAAAAAAAAGTTAAGCACAAACATTTTTGCAAAACCCTAAAGTAAACTTTAGCCCAGCGTAAATAATTGTTTATGTTTTTGGTGGATTAAAATTATTTTTTAATTTAGTTTCAACTTTCTTGTTTATGCTTTTGCTTATAATTTTGTAGTTGAACGAGAGGTTTAATTTTACTCAATGCCAGTAGCTATTCATGAATGCATTCAACAACTTTCACATGAGAGCTTCTCTATTAATATTTTTATATTGATTGTGTAACATAAATAAATAAAAAATGTAGGAACAAAGTCGAAATCCTTTTTCGTTTAATGTTTTTTTGTTAAGAGAAAATATTTTAATCTTTATTTGTTTAGATATTTCTTGAAATATTCCAAAACAACTTCATTTGGTCTTCAAAAGCTTTAAAAATATTTCTTCTTTCTTTTCACTCGTCGTCGGATGAAAGACAAAAGCCAAATCCAAATATAACTTGACTCTTTAACTGAGGAATGCCTTAACGGCATGTAAATAACAAACAGAAGAAAATTATCAAAAGGAGAAACTTCTGAACAATAGTCAGTTGATAGCGTTATACAAATAGTCGTCATATTACGACTCACATCTAATGACATTTCAATTAGTTTTTATTTCTCACTTAAAAATCCGAGTCTCATGACTATGCCTTTGCTTTGGCCTATTCAATTCAATCTCGCTTCCATTCTTGTATTTACTTTATGTGCAGATGGCATTGAATTTGGCTTTTTGTGTGTTTTCGGAATTGACTAAAATAGTCAGAGTAACAATGGAGTGCTGTCGTTGATATTTTGCTGATTAACCAGAGGTGCCGCATGTTTAATTGTCTGTAAACAAAACAACAAAATAAAACTCCAAAAACTTCATCCGCAACTTTTAATTAAAAGCGCGCCCACCTGAACGAGACTTTATCTCTAATGAGTCAACAACACAACTTTTTGTTAAGACTTGGTCCGACATCAGAACTTCTGTTGATCAACAATACTACTGTCAACGTCAGCGACATGTTCTTGTCGTTTTGAATCTGAAATGATCATTTCAATTGTTGTTGTCTATATTGAGTTTCTGTATCGACTTAATGGAAGTTATATTGATATAAATTACATTGCTTGCGCCCACAATTTTCTCACAGACTCTGCGTAAAGTTTCAAGCAAATATTCAAGTATGGAGAAAAAAATCTTTTTCTGCCGTTTTTTATTCGATCAATTAATTTGAAAATTAGAGTCGAGTGGTAATAAAAGCTGTGGCTTGTTGAACATGTTGGATTGCTTTTTATTTAGTTGAAATCCATTTATTATTCATACGGTCAATTACTAATTGCCTAATATCAGCATTTTTTCTCTACGTTTGCGTTTTCTGCAAAAATCTCGCAAAATGTTACGAAGTATCCGGAACGCTTTTAATATTAGATACTTAAAAGTAACATTTTCATTGCGATCAATCGCAAACAATTGCATTATTACAAGTCTTAATCTACAATCGTTAGACGCCGATGGCCTTCGTGCGATAATCATCCAGTTTTCAAGTTCTTTTCGCCCTCAACTCTATGAGTGGAGATTTATAAAACATTTTTATTACATTTTTGATTGGAAATAATAATAATAAAAAGCGAAATATTTCGATCTAATAAAACACTAGCTGATATCGTGCAGAAATAAAAGGCAACAGCAGCCAGTAAAGATTAAATTGGAGCAGTTGAACTAAAAGAAACTAAATAACTTTAACTTAAGCTAAGAATGAAACCTGTTTGAGCCTTTTTCGCGTGTCTTGTTTCAATTTCATGTCGAACAGTATTATGCAAAAAATATAAAGAAATAAAAACAAAGTTTGTAAGTGAAACGACATGAAACAAATGAAGTTGAAATCAATAAAAATATTTTTTGAGATCGGTAGATTATGGAATGGCTTTTGAAACTATACAGTAGTGGCCAGTGTGTAATTATGAAACCGCTGAATGAAACTACAAATCGAAAAAAAAGTTCGAATGAAGGAGTTAAGAACGTGATTGAGACAATTGTGTGTTTGGCACGGTTCGGGTTCCCTTTATGTTGAATGATGTTGTGCTTTTTATTTCTTTAAATATGCACAATGAATAAGCTAAAAGTTTATCTACTTTAAAAACTCAAAACAAAAGCTTTGGAATGTCCAAGCTAAGCTAACCCAATGATTAACTAAATTCATCGTCTTCAACAAACCTTTGTTATCTTTCATTCGTTTGTTAGTTTTAAGCATGCATCGGAGGTATGAAATGAAGTAATTTTAAATATGCCAATCCCTATAAAAAACATCGATTAAATAGTTATGTGAGAATGAAAAAACCTTGAAAATAAATTTTTCAGTATGTTTGATAGCACAATAAAAGTTTCTTATGATTAATAAAGTGCTTTCGACTGAATCTAGAGCGACCGGAAGACTTTGGAATGGACTATCGTGATTTAAATGGTTCGCGAAGCTGCTGGCATGTTACTTACATTTCTAAGCCCTTTTTCATGCTTCAACAAAAGAAAACCAAAACAAAAAATGAGGAAAAATTAATCATGAAATAGCGCATAAGACACGCAATTTAACTCAACTGTTTCAAAACTCTGTGGCGAATGGACAACGGCGAGAAATCTCGAATCGCTAGAAAATCATAAGTGTTTGGAAAAAAAAATGATCAGCTCAATTTAATATGCAAATTAGCTGTAGAAGTTGATGGAGGAAACAAAATATTTACGATTGTAAGAACAAAAAACGAATTAAGAAATTTGTCAAGCAGCATTTGTTTCTTTAGCGGCATCGAGCATGTGTTTACGATTCGAAAGATGTGTTTAAGGCGACTGCTAAATTCGTTCAGGATGACTTCCATTACTGAAAAGTGTCACTAGACAAATGGAATGAAGATTATCAAAGAAAATTCAATTTTTGACGAATTTTCCACGGCCTGGTGCTTGCTTGCTTGCTTGCTTGCTTACGTTTCTTTGAATATCTCTTTCGATCTATTCATAAATCTATGAAATCTTTCATCGCTCCGTAACGAATGAATTTCTTTCCCCATCAATTATTTCTCTCTACTTCTCTTAGATTTCTTTTTCTCTCCTTCTTTTTTTATTCTTTGTTTGTTTCTTTGTTGCACAAAGTCAGAGAAGATTGAACCGGCAAACGAGTAAAGCGAAGAAGCAAAAAAATACTTCGAGATGTTTTTTCTTTCTTAGCTACGGTAGATGAAATTGAATAGAAATTCATGAAACTGAGAAATGAGATTATTAAAAAATGAAAAGTAACTCAGATTTGAAAGCAAGACTTAAGAGACGAGGTTTAGAACGAGGCTAGGAATGCAGATAGTTTCAAAAAATCGATTTAATTATCGGCCTTGGAATTGCATTCTGATTGTCGATTTACGATTGCGATCACAAAAATATAGACCTTGACTTTTCTACTTCTGTTTTAATAAAACAAAAATTAAAATTTATCTGTCAGAGATCGTCTGATTCTTTATTCCGTTCCTTTTGTTCATGATCAATAATCATAAATGCCAAAATCTTTACAGTAACAGCAAAGAAACATGAAAATCATAAAAACGAATCGAAGCATTACGAATGCATTAGCTACATGAACAAAGTAGAAAAATGATTCAGAGATGCATGTCCGTTTGGCATTTTATTCTTGTGTTTGTGAAGTGTGAAATCGCTTCCAACATTTTTCATAATTTTCATCTTATTTAAAGAATTTCTAGGAAATCTCAAAAGGNTTGAAAAACAGGAAAGTTTCTTATACAATTCTAAGCCATGAAAATGTTCTCAGCCAATGATCTCCGTAAAAACGGAAAGACTGTAAGAAGAAAATCTAATGCAATTCGAACGCATTAAACTTGTTATTTATGATCGTCTCTTTCTTTTCATTTTTACTTTTATTTTACCTACATAGGAGAAGTGATGTTAGTGTGGAAAAGAAGGAAACGTGCATCATGAAACCTTATCCCTTAATAATCTTTTATCCTTCTACCATTCGTCTTGAGGAAATCTCTTTTCATCGGGGCTTCGGTCCGTGTTCCGAGATCCGTTTAAGGTCCGTTTCCTGTTCCGGAACAAGGTCCTTTTCCTGTTCCGGAACAGATTTATCGTTTGCGGAACGGTCCGTTTATGTTCCGGAACAGATTCATGGTCCTGTTCAAGGTCCGTCATTGTTCCGGAACAAAAACAAGGTCCGCGGAACAAAACGGACCTTAGTTCGCACACCGATGTTCTGCGTATTATTCTCGCGGTTAGAAATTTTTAACTGTTCAGTAAATTATTTTTTGAATTTTTTAATAGAGTGTGTTCAGCAACTCAATGCATGAAAAAACACTGTTAAATTTTTTTTTGTGAAAACTTTAAAGTGTAGTGAATGAAAAAAAATGCCGCTGAAAAAAAATATTAAAGAAGGCATTTATGCATTTTTCGATTATGACAGCAAAAAAAACAAAGGAATTTGCAAGCAGGAAGACTGTAAAGCTTCTATTACGGTAAGTTTTAATATAAACACGCATGAACTTGACTCTGTTGTAAATTACATTACTTTATTCATTGAGTTCTTATTAACGAATGAATAAAATTTAGTTTTCTCTAATAAAGAAAACGATCAAAAGATTGTTTTGATTAAAGAGAAAACTAAATCAATAATAGCATTACTGAGATAATGTATGTTCTAACAGACACATCGTGAATTTAGTTTTATTTTCGCCATTTTGATGACTTTTTTTCACTTTCAGCAATTTTTTCTTTTTGATTTTTTTTTACTTTTCTTACATAATTAGATAGGTCCTTTTTGTTCCGGACCTGGTGCGGAACAGGTTTGCGTTTAGCGGAACGGTCCGCTTCCTGTTCCGGAACAGATTTATCGTTTGCGGAACGGTCCGTTTTTGTTCCGGAACAAGTTCATGGTCCCCTTAAGGTCCGTTTCCTGTTCCGGAACAGGAAAAAGGTTCCGGACCGAAGCCCTGCAAAAATTAAAATTTATCTGTCAGAGATCGTCTGATTCTTTATTCCGTTCCTTTTGTTCATGATCAATAATCATAAATGCCAAAATCTTTACAGTAACAGCAAAGAAACATGAAAATCATAAAAACGAATCGAAGCATTACGAATGCATTAGCTACATGAACAAAGTAGAAAAATGATTCAGAGATGCATGTCCGTTTGGCATTTTATTCTTGTGTTTGTGAAGTGTGAAATCGCTTCCAACATTTTTCATAATTTTCATCTTATTTAAAGAATTTCTAGGAAATCTCAAAAGGGATTCCAAAGATGTTTTTAAGCGAATAAAGAATCGTCGTTGTAGACAGGGTGGCATATCAGAATGAAAATGATTCATTAACAGCTGTGATGATGTGAGGAAGAAATCTACGCAGACCCACATCGAAAGAATTCCAAGTCCAATGTGTGACTTTGGAAGTTGAAACGTTCCGGATGCTAATGAACAGGAGGGCAAGGAAATCACACGCTGTTATTAATTAAAATAAATAGAAAAACGACCGGCAAATTAGTGTGAGATTGTTTGTGAAACATTTTCATCTTCGCGCTCTTCGCTTCATCAAACGAGATTGGCTTTCTTTGCGGGTCTTTGAGATATCGGAAACTGATGGATTGGAATTAGATTCCTTTGATGTGTAAAGAAACTTCATGGCGCTCGCAGTTGGTGGGCGTGAGTAAAACGAAATAGAACTCTTTTTACTTTTTAATGTGCTTCTGATCAGTCTGACTCTTCCACTTATTATTATTAAGAATGTTTATTAGAAATGTAATTCTACACTTTAATGCCAATAGAAACAAAAACATTGCATCCGGGTGAACATTGATGAAGTGTAACTTTAACGACTACAAATCAACGTTTTCTTTTACCTCCAACCTTCCATGTAACTACTGAAGAGACTTTAAATGTAAATAATTAAGATAAACAGCACGAGATCGACTATTAACTTCTTGATGTCGCTCTCACTCTCTTTTCCTTTCATTCAACATTTCTTATTTGCTTGATGAGATTTCCGAAAAGCAAAATAAAGAAAATTTTATTCCCACCGAAAAGTCATTAAAAGAAAGATTTCTTTTAAACATTTCTGTGTATGTTTGTGATTGCCTAACACTACTCGAATAATTGAAGGCAATTATTAATAAATTAAAATGAAAACTACTTTTCTAAACTAATAACACTTTGCGGTGTGGTGCGAGTGAATGTGAAAGAATGAAACGATAAGTATTTTCATTGTCTCTGATGTTGATTGTTGACTAGCAAAGCAATAAATGAACAAATGAAAGCGAAGACATATTTTACGCATTGGAATGCTGGAAGAAATTCAAAATTATAAATAAAAGTAAGTTCAAGTACCTTGTTTTGGGTTCCTGTGGTGGCTTAAATTCGAAGTGGAGTCTTGGGATTAAAATTTTGCCAGCAAGTGGCATTCAAAACAAAACTGGAACCGATTAATCCTTTTTCATTGCCATGAAACAACGAAAGAGCTTCGAGCTTGCTTTTTTTTTATATTTTATTCCGCCTGTATCGTTTAACGTAATCTCTCGTTTGTTTGACTTTTAATGGGATATTATTAATTGCTCCCTACAAATAAACGAAGAGAAAAAGGTTGAAAACGATATCCAAACGATAAACAACAAAAATTATTGTGGAAATAAAAAATTCGCTCAAATCGCGTTATGAAAGGCCTTAACTTTCATGAATTTTAGCTTTTTTTTACGTGGAAAATATCATAACTTTTCTCTCTTGTTTACCGTTGGTTGTTGTCGGTTGATTGGCAATTTAATCCCTCTTTGTGGATTGATAAATGCAATCAAGGTAATCTTTTTCCACTGTGCTTTTAATTGAAGTTAAAATGAAATCATCAATAAAGTTTCTTCCATTCATCTATCCAGCCTTTAGCAAAATTTCTATGCAAATAAAGCAGGAGAAGTAAATTCAAATGTTAAATGTTAAAGCAAGAAATATCCCTAAAATTTTATTACCAAGCAAATCTCAAACCTTTTTATCTATTTAAATAAGTAAACAAAAATTCAAACGCTTCTTATTGCTTGCTCCCTAAAAAAGTCCGTAAATTGGTTAAAATCTCTTCCAAATCATTGGCCAAAATGTAAAGAGATGAGAAGCAAAGGCGATAAACATTATTAATATTAAAATGAAACGAAATTGTTTTTCGAGTTTGGCTTTGCGTTTGGGATAAAGCATATGGCTTGAATTTTAATCAAAATTTATGATTTTTCGAGCATTAAGCAAAGTGAACCTTTTTTTTTATTCAAGTTACCGTGTTTCGTGCACAGTAAACGGTAATATCAACAGAAGTGTCTGTTCGTTAATTAAAACCATGGCAAATAATCGTAATAAAATGGCAAATTAGTAATTTATCCATATTCTCGTTGACAAATGCATCATAAATGAGCTGATTATTGAATCATTAAAATTTGTTTAAATGCAGTTGTGTAATAAAACTGCATCGCATGTTAAAACAACTCACATATGCAGGTTTTGGAATTTAACAAGTTGGTGTGCTTTTTATCCCATACTTCATTAGCATGCACGATAAATAATGCAAGGAAATTTTATCACCTCCCTGCCTTAAATGACTGCAGCACGAACAGCGGGAGGGTGGGAAAGCGAGTAGCAAAGCTATAAGAGCAAGCAGTATAATGACTTTTTCGGAGGTAAAAGCGGAAAATGTTAAATAATATTTTAATAAATGAGTAGCTTATGAAATTACGATTGCTGTAAATTTATGCTACGTGCATTTCCAGTGGATGGAAAGTAGAAAAGAACGTGCGAAGTGTAATTTATTCTAATGGAATTTCAAGAGAAGATTAAATAAATCTAAAGGTAGTGTTCAGCTTAATGGAAGAAGTAAAGCATTAAAAACCACCAGCAGAAATCCACCTACACTCGTCGTTGTCGTTATCGCTCTCCACATTTCTCAATTTACCAACTCAAATGTGGAAATGTGAAAAATCTCTTTAATATTTGACCTGCATAGAATAATTGGATTATGAAACAAGCATCAAAGAGCAAAATAATCACATCTAACAATCAATAATTCATAATTGCAAAGTATGCAGTAATCAAGTGAGAGTGAGGGCAAGGGAACAAAAATGTGAGTTCAGGTTTTTTAAAAGCGATAATCACTAGGTTTAGCAACCTCCATACACATTAGCATTCAACTAAAGATTCAAAACGACCTTTTCGTGCACACAAAATTGCACTCTTAAAAGCATCGCATTAATAATCATAATTATAACATAACAGTCGCAACATTTTTCCTTCTTCTTCTTCTTTTTCATATTTTCAATTCGGCTGAGTTATGATGTTGCGATAAAAACTTCTTTTCTGCGATAAATATTTGTAAGCGATTGACTCACATTTTTAACTCCACACCGGTTGATTCATGTGCTCACCTTCGGAACTCTCTGTTCACAAGACTGTAATTACTGAAAATTTTCTGTGTTTGAGCTTCGTGTGATCATAAATCATGTCGAGGATTCTTTTTTTTTGGCTGCTTTTTGTTCAGGTTTTTTGGTTTATGAAAGAGTAAAGAGAATGAATGATTGAATGCAACGCGGATGGATGACAATAAAACGGATTTTTTTTGTAATTTATGTCACGATATCTGACATCGTTTTAATCGTTTCAATGCTTCAAGGCCTTCTTTGAATTGATTCATATTTAAATGTAGTAAACATGAGTGTGCTGGTCGAGTGTGATATCATTAACCTGCTAACATGTCCTTCAATTAACGACATTTTAATGCAAACTTCAAACAATTGCGTGCTAATTTCAATTTCTTTGCCATGTCAATGGTTGCGGTTGATTGTTCTTGCTTCCCGTCATTAATTCGTCACTCAAGTCCTAAAACATCTTTTAATTAAAATGCACTCTGACAATGTCAATTTCAGGTAAAATGCGGAAGTGAAGAAGTGAATATCCACAATTATCTCCTTCCATAGGAGTTGTTAAAAAGGAATGACTAGAAACGTCATTAAAACGTTCTTGTCATTCCTTCAATCGGAATTGTTTTCCATTCCTTTCTGATGACTTTAACTTTGTTTCATTCTCCTAGTCGGTCGTTTAAGTCCCAGACAGAAGAAAGTTTTATGTTGTCTTCATAATTGCCCTTTAGGCTACGGAGATGATGCGTCGATATGTTTCGTTTTGAAAAATGGCATTTAATCATCATCAAAATTGAAATCCATCAAATACCGTCCAGACATCCCTAATTTTCTCCGTCCAATTCCAAAGAGAAACAATTAACGGTCATTGTTTCTATGCCTTTAGTCTTAAGGTGAGTTGAGAAAATGGGTGAACAGGTTTATCGTATTCCTATGTGAATTTCCTTTCTTTCTCTCTTTCTCTTGAGCTTCCCTTCAATGAGTTGAGTGGGAAGGATTAGACAAGAAAGATACCATCCGATCATTATAATGAAATTCCATATCAAAATATTTTAATCTGTTTTTATGTTTTCATAATTTGTTAATGCATTTTAAATAATACACTTCAGCTCTGACTAACTTCAGACGAATTTTTAATTTCTTTCTTTTCCCGCGAACTTGCCTGTTGTTGTTGTTGTTTATTCCTTTAGTCATTTAATTCTTTTTGATGGAAACAACGACAATTATCCACAATTTTGGATCATTATTTCTACCTCTAAACGTTCATCCAAAAAACTTTGCTTGTATTATGCGCTTCATGGTCATTTACTGCAGTTGATTCTGTTGCTTTGCTGAAAAATCATTTTTATTGGCAAGAAACATTTCATTTTAAAAATTGTAGATGGTTAAACGATTCGTTTTTACCTTTTTGCTAATAGTCTTCTAATTTAATGCACCGTGGTTAGTGAATTTCATAACAGCAAAGCAGTGAAGTTAGTTCGAAAAGAAGAGATAAATTTTATAAATTTAAAATGCCATAATAGTTTAAAGTGGCGTATCGTATCCAACCTGACCACGGATCACGAGTTAAGGAGGGAAAAAAAGTAAAAATATAGCAAAAAGATGAGAATAAATTCATGTTTTTAGCTGAATCATTTTATGCTAAGTTTAAATGAAGCATTTACCACAAATTGCACGATTTTAGTTCATCCGAAAGGGATTGGAGTAGATAACCGATATTAAATATTTAATAAATGCCTCGTTTATATCCTTTTAAGAATTTGACCAAAATAGCACACATACAACAGATTCAACTGCCAGCGCAGTGGAAATTCCAAAGAATGATTCAATTTTTCTTCATTTCCAGTCAATGAAACTCTTTACTTATTCAACAGACCAGAGGAATGTCCATTTTCCATTTTCCACTCCTTCAGTTGTTTTATATTTCATATGGAATTAAATTACCAAAGATAGCAAAGCGTGATGGTAGATAGAAATTCCTTTATTATTAAAACTTTCAACCATTACTTCTTCACCTACCGTCCTTCCATAATTCGCATAAATAGGGGCGAAAAACGACATCAAATAAACACAACATGAGACGTATAACATCCTAAACAGAAGCAAACACGCACTCACGCACTTATACAGCAACCACTTCAATCTCATTAAATTTTAAAGCACAAATGTGGGGGAGGAAAATGTAAGAAAGTTTTTTCTTCTTTTTTTTCGTTTTGAATGAATGAAGATTTTGTGAGTAAACATAATAAACAGAATTTATTGCAAGGATGCAGGAAAAAGGGCAAAGAGTGATTGGAGTTGGTTTTTGCACTGCTTAATAATTCGGTAGTTTCAGAAGATTTTTCTCTTAAGGGTGGAGATGAGATAACGTTTTAAAATTTATGGATTTCTCTGCTGCTTGCTTGCTACTTACTCGCCATCATTTTACCAAAAGGCTCTTCTCTAAAGCGAAAGGCAGAAAGAAGAAAGATAAACATATTTATCTTAGAGTAGAGCAGATCCATAAAAAGTTGTAATGGAAAGATCATAAATAAAGACTCAAACTACTCGTTGCCCCCAAAAACAGAACGAAACTTTGAAATTAATGAAAATGTGGTGGTCAGCAACAAAATATTTTGTTGATTTAGGAATAAAATGCAACAGATTAATGTTCTCTGAAGCTACCTAATTCTGCTTAAAGATTTTTGTCCTTTTGTTAAATTTCCGATAACACTAAACACAGACAAAGGAAAGGAAATCCAATAAATTCATTTTCGACATCAGGTGGCTCCCGCAATAAATTTAACTTCTACGAAACATCTTTTTTAAATTTTTCACGACGCATCGACGTCTTTGTATCGTCTATCTTATCAATGTTTTAAATCCTTCATTAAATATTCAATGTGCAGTGGGACGAATGTCGAGGGTTCGTTTTCATTGTTCCTTGATAGATTAAGCAGCTTTGTTTCTGGAAATTCTGAAATGAAATAAAGAACTGAGTTGAGATACGTGAATAGTTTACTTAGTTGATAGTTGTCATATTACTGTCAGTCGTTTCTACACACACCCGATCTTTTTGCAGCGAACCGTCTCTCAATTCACCGATAAAATCTCTCCGAATAAATTTCAATTCACAAACAATTTTTTTATCAACTCTTTTTATGCCTCGTTTATGTTCAGCGTGGACTTTGCGGAGCATAAAAAAATTGTGAACAACGACAGCGAATTCAATGAAGCATAATTTAAAGAACTGTTTTTCAAATATTGACTTTATATTGCCTTCTTTAGCTCTAGTTTGTTCGATATCAGTCGACTGAATCGGAACGCTTAAAATCAATAATAAATTATAAAGCTTAAAACTCTCTCATTCACTCACTTCTTCTTTTTCATTCGCTATTGACCGACCGCTTATTTCTTTTCATTCTTTCTTCTTAAGTACATATTATTTCAATGTGAACATCGGATAATGTAGATTGCAGATTATGTACGCGCATCGAGCTGATCAGAAGAATCAGAGCAAATAAATATAACAAAACAAAGCGGAAATCTCATTGAAAATTTATGTTTTACGTTGGAATAAAAAGCAAAATGAAAGTAAGGTTGGAAGTTTGGTAATGAAATTTGACCATGTTAACTTCTCGTAAAGAAGTTTAAAGTGATTAGTACGAAATTTCTCTGATAAATGAAGAAATTCAATTTCACAATCGCAATCATCATAATCTTGATCCTGTTAACATTTGTTAATGTTTGCTTTTCACCAAACAGCAAAAATCTCATCCCAATGTCAAGTGAAATGGAAACAAGGAAAGTAATCAGCATAAACCGAAGATAAATCATATCATCAACAAGTCTAAAGTTTTAAAAGAGCATTAGCATTGAATTGATTCATTGAAGCTTTGGATTTTATCTGCTAATTCAATGGCGTAATCTTTCCCTTTCGTTACATCAACTTGAATCTCTTTGAAATTCAAAAGACAGACACTGTGCACTATCCGGGCGATTCTATTTTAAATTGAAGTTTTCCATCTTTTCTATTTTCAATTTCGAGATAAACTTACTCAAAAATACTGACAGAAATCTAACAAAAGCCTTTCAAAATAAAATCACTACACTTGAAACAAATATGAATTTCAATAACTCTTTTTTCAAGCTTATGATCTCTTCCACACTCCAAACAAGCGATTCTTATCTTTTAGCCTCGCTTCTTTATTTCTCTTTTCGAGATTTTGATGGATTTTTGAAAGACTCTTGAAGCAAATAAATTTCCATAGAGATTTCTACACTATAGAAATTTAAATAACAGTTCAAAGTTCAATAGCAAAAATGCTTGAAATAATTATCTTCATCTAAACTCTTGAATCTCGCTTTAAACTCGGTCGAAAGCCTACTCGATTTCACATTTTTTCCACGCTTTGCTTCTTTTGATATGTAAATGCAGGTGCCTTGTTGATTCACACCAAAGCAAAGAAAGAAGAGAGATTGAGCTGAACGACGCAAAAGTGAGTAATGGATAGTGCCAAACACTTTGAATATTAAGTACACGATGGGCGACTTTAGAAATATGAAAAGCATACATATATGTAGCTCAACATTGCTTTCGCTCTTACTTACGATGACAATTCGGTTTTAAACATGAACAACAAAATTATTTCGTGTGAAGTCATCACCATTGCGACCACTGAAATTGACTCAACTCAGTTGGGAAAATGGCATTTTCACTTCATTAGCGTATTCTGGTAACGCAATGAGACTCTTCAAAAGTTAAAAAAATAAGTGAGAGGGAAAGACAATGCCACGGGTATTGCATATAATTTAAAAAAAAAACGACACGAAGACTCAACAAAAGCTGAAGGAATGGTTTTTATTAATGTGATGAATATGCTTTAATACGTTTCTGTAAAACAAAAATGAAAATGTCGGAAGACACTTTTAGAATATTAAGCGAATTAATGAGCTGTTTGTTGTCGAGGCGGCTAACTTTGCTATGGTATTGCGAGATAGCTGCAGATTATAATGAAAATTGTGCATTACAACATGTGAATATTAATAAACATGTGTTTCATACTTTGTCATGAGAAATTCTCATTATTCTTCATCATATCATTTCCATGGAATTCAGCATCAGCATCGGTAGTGACAGTAGCAGTGGAAAACATTTTTGAACTTAAATTATCGTCACCGTGAATTTGTTGATGTTCAAGATTAGTGTTTTATGCGCTTTATGCTTGTGAGATATGACATCATACCACCATTAATTTCTATTCATGTTAGCATAAAATTTCATCAACAAACTCTCCTTGATTTTAAGTGGCATACATTCGTACATCTGACTATGACACTTGCACAATTCACTGGTGGACGATGACATTTAATCGTTTTGTTTCCTTTTTCTGTTGTTTTATTTTTCTTTCTTTTCTTCCAAATTTCATTTCTGCACAACATAAGCACGTAATGTTATGGTGCAGACAGACATCAGTAGACAGATGGAACCATGGTAATTAAAGCAAGAGATGAAATAATGCTTTAAAGTCACGAACCCGAAAATAAGAATGAATTATGAGTGCAACAAACAGCAGCAGTAACAGAAGTGAAAAGGCAGAAGGCAGAAGGCAAAACTTGGATATAAATTCCAACAAAAAGAAAACCTACAGACGGGATGATCTTGATAAGAATATGACTTCTGGATGCTCCCGCATCTTGCTATTTTATGTAAGATTCTTCATAATAAAAATTTAAGATACGATAAGGTAACGATACGAAGGGACGAGACATTAATTTCTGTCGTCATTTTTAAAAGTGTTTCGACCTGCTTTAAGAGGACAAAATGTGCTTCTAGATCTTCTTTAACCTTTTCCTTATAGCCGCTTATGACTTTGTAAGACGCATTCAACTCATTTAACTTTAATTAACAAGACATTGAGAAGAGAAACCGTCATAAAATCAAAAATTCATTAAAATTTATTGTGTAACAAAAACACGATCAAAATGAGAAAGAAAAACCACATAAAGTCTGTAAATTATTGCTTCCGAAAAGAACGGTTAAAGCTTTCAAACTTCCATTTCATTTCCCCTATCAACGCACATCATCAATAGTTGAGATCCCTTAATAGCAGCATAAAAGCAATGTTACAAATTTCGATCCTTTGAACCTGTTTCATCCTCTTGAAATCGACTTTATCTTTCTTCTTTCTAAATAAATTGCACTTTGTCGCCATCCAGCAATGTGTCTTGCTATGATATTTTTACGATATTCTGTCCCCGTTACAAACGAACCGTCCTTCTCCTTAAAGTGATCCCTTTTCAGGCGTCAACGGAGACAATTCCCTTAAACCGGAGACAATGAAGAGCTGAAAATTATGTGCTGCAATTTTTGTCATTCTTTTATGTTTCTCGAAATTTTTTTTATGTTATTTTTGCTTGGTAAATATGAGAGAAAAAAAGACAAAAGCCGAAAACAGGAAGAATGAAAAGTTAAAGGATCAAAACGGTTAGGAAACATACAAAAAAGAAAATTCCCGTTAGCATAAATTTCATTTTCATTCTGACATATCAGGACTTAAATGCTTTGGAATTTATGTGAAGCAGTCGTAAACGAAATTTAAAACAGTGATGTCACTTTGTGTTCATGTCGAAATAGAATTCAAATAACTTTCTCGTTGTTGTTTTCTCCACATATAAACCCACAACAGATTCATTTTTCCCGAGTGATGTTGGACTGCAATAACATTAGATAATGACCAATAAAACAGAAATATATCTTCCAACCCTCTCTATCATGACTACTGCGCGTCCTCAACTATCCGCTTTTATCTCAAACATAACAAACAAACAACATTAAATTATTATTAACCTTAGCGAGATGTCCTGGATGCGAAATGTTGGACAATAATCGGAGAAGCTAGAAGAAAAAGGGGGAAAAGTTTTGATAAACGCCAGCCATCTACTCGCTTCTAGTGAGTTAAGTTAAGAAGACAAAAATTGAACATAAACTGTGATTTTATTCTTCGACTTCATGTTTCCGTTTCCTTGGATTGTGGATATCGATTTTATTTGTTTTAATAGTAAATTTATATTTTTATTATCATTAAAACTTTCCTTCGTTGTTCTTCGATTTGGGGAGTCGAGTAATGGAGAGTAAACAAATAAATGAAATTGAGCAGTAAAGCAAATATTATTTGATGGAAGAAAGAAAGCTTCGACTTTTCGAGAGTTTTTATCATGCACTTTGCCATTGTTGTTGGGGATGATTTTGTCGTTTTGAATGAGAAGAAGAGTTTTCTGGTCGGCAGAAAATTACAATATCATTTCCAATTTATTTTTATCTTCATTCAACTTCGAGACAAACAAAGACTGAAAGAGGGATTGGAATCGAATTGATGTCAATTCAATTTCTGTTTGTTTGAATTTCTTCTTAAAATTGACAGACCCTCAAATATGTTACATAACTGATGGCTTTTTTATCACTGATTGTACCCTAAAAATCGAAGCAATTATTCCTAATTTGTTTTCGCTTTTGTTGGTTTTTGTGGGGGGATGAATACGATGAAGTCGCCATCTTCATCTTCATCGTCGTCGTCGTCATGAGAACCCAACTATCTGTAGATGAATGTTGCATGATAAGCAGCAAATAATATTTTCAATCTGGAGATTAACTTTTCCAATGTTTTCTTTGTAACTGAAACAAACTGTCGATACCAGTAATGATGATAGTTTTCGGTCTTATTCATTGTAAATAAGAGGAAGTAATAATCTTAAAAGTTTATGCAATCAAACGAATGAAAAAAAGATGATTCAAAGCATTCAAGCTTATGTTGCATGCATTCAATGTGAAGATCAAGATATCTCAGAAATTCAATGCGATGAAAATTGGATTTCTTTATTATCTATAAAAACTTATTCAGCCTCGATATTGAACGAAAATACTGAAGTGTTAGCATCACGCTGTGAATCTTTAACTGAACTTAACAAACATCGCAACTCAACCCCAACAAATAATAACAAAGTTTCAAGCCGACAGTCTGTTTCTTTATATCGTCGCAACATCGACATTATTTCTCAGTCAACATAAAATTATTCACATAAATATGGCGACGGTAATTTTCCCGTAGAATAAAAAAATGTTTCGAAAAACGGGTCTCATGTTGCAAATTCATGTCTTTGAAAAACAAATTTTCCCTTTTTTCGTGCCTTCCATACTGGCAAAAAAAAATATAATGAACTTTATCAAATTAACACTGAAAGAAGTCGTTCCAAAGCTTCATGCAAATATTTTTCCAGAAGGAAGGCAGAAATTTCCCACCGCGTAATCTCATAAAATTGACTATGAATGAAGGCAAGAAGTTTTCTTTTTTCTGTTTTGCGATATTTTCTCCATCGTTCTGTCGTCTTCTGCCTCGTTCATGCACAGCAGCGACGAAAATTTGCATGTTAATTGAAAAATAAAAGGCACAATATTATTAGATATTTATTGGCCATGAAATTAACGTTAGCTTTTTCACTGCATCCAATTCAATTTAACTTTGTTGTTTCTTGCGTTGTTTTTTTTTTGTGTTTTTGTCTTTTCAAAGAAGCACCGAATGATCATCAAGGGAAAACGAGAGAATTCTCACCGTGTTCAAGAACAGAAGCGCAATTAAAAGTACGACCAACGATACCCAACATTAAGCGATTGTTTTATGAATTCAAATTCCAATTCAAATTCACGCGGATTGTGTACGTGAATATTTTTCCCTCATCATTAAACGAACACAAATTACTTAATTCGTTTTCGTTCATCTTATTACAGAAACAATAACAATCTACTTTAATGGTGTCGAAATCATGATGCTTTGAGCATGCATAATTTTTAATTAAAGAAATATTTTCATTTGTGAGCTATTAAATGTGAAATTGGATTGCCTTGAGAAAACTGTTTGAGATGTTGCAATAAAACGATTGCGAATCACGCTTTGTTCAAATTAAGTATTGAAGAAATTACTTCTAATGTTACATCTCGAATCCTGATAGTAAAACCACAAAGAAAGAATGAATGAATAAAAGAAAGACGTCCCCAGTCATCAGCTCTTAAAGGCGATTAAAGACAACATTAAGCTAAGAATTCTTATTTGAGGTGTCATCATCATAAAAATCCATCACTGCCTCACAACAAAAGTCTTTCTTCTCCCTTTCAAAAATCGCAATTACAATAATCATTTGAAGTCAAGCGTTGCGCGATAAAAATATTTCCATCGTCTCATTCTTTCCATTATTGTCGTCCTTTGGTGTTTGGAGATCTAATTGAAAATCTCATTTCAGGATGATACCATTAAAAGCCCATTGAATGTGTGAAAGCATTAAACCAGAGCTGTGGATTTAATGTTACAACTTCCCTTCCATCTTTAACCATTTTGCATATAAAATTTTCCCTTCCTTAATATACGACGATTATCGCATTAAAGAAAAATACGGAAAGGAAAACAATGAAAAATCTTTTTTCCCTCCCCCATCCATCCTCACAATATAAAACGTATACGTGCATTAATAGTCTGGAAAATGTAATAAAAAAATAGTTGGATGAAAATATTCGCAATTATCCTGCATCAGACAAATGCTTTACACAATTAAAAATGAAACTTTATTTTATTTTTTGGCAGATGCATTCGAAAAAAAAAGCAATTGTCAGACTTATGTAAGACTTCAGGTTGAATTCGTTTAGCGACCCACACAACCGCGTTGAAATGAACATTTGATATCTTTTCCAATTGTCTATCGACGAGGTTAAATTTCAGATTACACCCGACCAGAAACTATCGATAATAAATGAATAAGAGAAGCAGAAATAAAGTGCGAAGGAATTAACACTCGAACGACTCCGAAATCCCACACAACTGAAGTCAAGCTCAAGTGTCTAGTCTCATATCGAATTCCAACTTTTACGATCGAAATTCTTTTCCTTTTTTTTTTTGAATTCAGTTACTTTTATCAAGAATCTTAAAGGTTTTTCGTTCTTCGTAAAAGGGAAAAGTGAATTTATTTGCCTTGACGGTCGGTATGAAGCAATGGTAAGTGAAAACCGCACACAATTAATCATCCAATTGAGATCGCATTTTTCTACGGCTTTTCCACTTATACACTCAATTTATTTGCCAGCATTTTCTTTTCATTTTTGCAAAATATTTTGCCCTTTCAAGGTGAGTTGTGGAACGGCCTCCTGCTTTGTGGCCTCGTCTATCAATTTTAGTTTTCTCCCCCACAACACAACGTGAAGGCGGAATTTATTTACTTTCTTGATATCCGGGAAATTCATTTAGGAAGTAGAGCTGAGCTTTTTCCTTATCTCAAGAAAATCTTTCGTCGTTCCTCCTCCTATTTACGAATTCGTTGTCTGATAAACAACAACAGCAAAGGGGGAAATGAAGAAAGATTGATCGATTTCAATAAGCTGTAAACTCAATTCTCATTATTTTTCATTCACAATCTAGAAGCTTCAATCTCAATTTCATTTCTTTAACGTGTGTGCTACAATGTGTATGCGATTGTTGATACAAAACGCGCGCTTTTAAGTGAAACTTGTATTGTTGAGATAATTTAAGGATTGGGAATGTCAGGGAAGACACTTTAAATTTAAACTTGACTGGTTCGTTGGTTGGTTGCTTCAAACTTGTAAGTTTAACTTTCATGCATGTTGTACAATTAATCTGACATTGTTAAACTGCGCTCTGAATTAAATTAAATTAATTAATTTTGCTGAAAGACGAGTGAAGAACAATGTCAATGACACCTTTGGTCAGCCTGTCTCTCATTTCTGCTTCAAGTGACGTGATGCCTAACGATGTTCCAACATTTCTACTTATTTTTTTTTATTAATTTTCATTTTTATCGTTCACTTCATTGTTCACGTTCTGCTACCATAAAAATCATTTGTTACAACGCAACGGTAGAAAAAGTAGAAGACAAGAATTATCGTCTACAAAATATCAAATATCATTTTAAAAAATGTTTTTTTTTCGTTGTTATTGCTAGAGCGATGGTTCCATTCAAATTATTTTTATTTCATTTCTTTCTGTGTTGCTTTTCTTCCATCAGAGATCATCAAACGATTGCTTACTCAAGCAGAGTTTCAATTTCGTCATTCCCGGCACATGATTATTTTTAACTGTTTGTGATGGACGCATAGAAGCGTTTAACTCGAACTGAACATCGGATGCGAGAAATTGATGGAAATTGAAAGTCTCGTCTAGATTTTTTTTTGTGTCTTTGTCTACAAATTTTCCCCACAATGCGCTTTTTCATAGTGTCTGAAAAATGAAAATTTTTTGTTTTCTTTTTTCTTTTTAAAAAATCAATTTTCAGCAAATTTCTTTTCTTGCAAAGTCGAAAAGCTGCCAATGTCTTTCGATATTTGTCAGTTGAAAAATAAAATATTTAATAAGACTTTTTGACTCTATTTGCTGTTTATTTATTTTATTTTTTTCAAATGTTGATCATTTCAGTCTTTAACTAGTTTAAAGATTGACTTAAATATTTAATGACTTCTCCAGTTTAAGTCAAACTTTCTTGTTTGCTTTCTTTGATCATTCTTGTCAGAAATAATAAAAAAATATGTCAAAGTATTCGAGAAAATCTTTCACTGGGTGGGTTTAGTGTCTCGCTGAAAAAGACTTAGATAAGTATTTTGGATTCTCCCTTGTTGATCACAAAAAATATTTTGTAGAAGAAAAAACAGAAAAAAAATAGACGACGACAAGATGAAATGAATTTCCAATGAGATAATTGAAACCATAGTAGAAGAAGCAAGAAAAAGTGTCGCGTTCTTACTCGCGATGATAAATTGTGAGGTGAAGTTTAAGAATTAGGAATTTTAACGATTTGTTTTCGTATGTTGAGTGAAGTGATTTGAAACTTCTGTAATTGATTTTGACTTTCGTTTAACTTGAAAAGAATTTCTCAGTAAAATAAGTTGTCGTGTCACTTCGACAGCAAGATTATTGATCTACTTTGAAATTAACATTTTTTTTCTTCTTCTCACAAATGTCTCAAATACATGAACGGTAACGTTGTTTGTTAGTTTTTTTTTGTCATCGTCATGAGAGGCGCGGGAGGCAGAAACAGGTTTTCGACGATGGTTGACAACATTCAGTAGCTTATTTCGGTTTGTAGGCTACATGACAATGCAACAGCGCCTTTTCCATTATGAATTCAATTTTCAATTTGTGCATGGTCACCATTCATATGAATAGAATGAATCTGCTTCTAAAACTTTCAGTCTGTGAGTAAGTTACCGATGATTCCCATGAGTTGAACAAGGTAACAACAACAATCACTGTGATTCTAACGAAATTCGCCTTCTATGGTTACGAGCACAAAAAAACATAGAAAATAAATTAAAGTTCATGCTTGTTGGGAAAATGAAAATGTGAAGAGAAATGTTTCAAGGAAATTAATAGGATCTTTGTGGATGGAAAAGCGACAATGCAAGAGTTGAAAGCTTTTTCATTAAAATCCCAGTCGGTTCGAATCTGAAGGTCGTTGAGAGCTTCTGCTTCGATGACCGGAAGAAGCACAACAATTTCATTAGCAAGACAATGTTATAAAGTGGAGTAAAAGCTAAAGGATTAGATTTGAATGGAAATCACTTGAATTATGTTAAGGATTAAGTGTGTGTTTGTTTGAATGTATGTTTGTGTGTGTTTATTCATCTGGAAAAAAGAAACAAGAAAATGAAATTCTTTTTTTTTATTATATTTTTGTAACATTCTAAGCTTGAAGAAAAAGGATGTTGTGTATGAAATGTTCATCCGATGAAAGCGATTGAATATTTAATCAATGAAAAAAAGGCTCAAAAACTATTTTCATCCTTCCGCAACTTTAGGTGCTTCCTGAATGTGTCTCCTTCATTCATATGCTGGAACCTAGAAGTTTTCTTCATGGCCTCGAGGAGAATTAAAGTTTATGTAATCAGATTTGGTTTTTCTTTCTGTTCCGAAACGAATGTAAACGAAAACTTTCTTTTCTGAGAACGGAATGTTAAGGAAGATGAAGGAAAAAAAGAGTTTAGCATCGTCTTTTCAACTTAATAATAAAAAAAGTAGAAGATGACGAATGTAAGATGAAGAGTTGGAGGATTTTTCATTGCCTTTGGTCTTTCTCGACAAAATCCTCATTCAATGTCATCCCTTTTGTTGACATTTTCAGAATAGGAAAAAGACAAACTACTACAAAACAGACAACAAAGTTATCTGAGAAACTGATTAAATAAAATAAGGAAGGAAAACTTGAATAATTTACAAGTGAAGAAGTTTTGAAGCAGTGACGCATGAAAATTTCAAAGATGTAAGAAGTTACTTATAAGTATTGAGAAATGGACTCAGTTTTCCAACTCAATTTTGATGGTCTCCATTTTTACGAAGGAAAACTCTTTTAATTTTATTTGAAAAGAAAAAAAGGATGAAAAAGTTTTTTTTCTTGACTTTAGTGTTCTCTCGACGAAGATTCAATTACGAAACTTTATTTTTTCTTGCCATATACTTAAAGGATTATTTACAATCCACTGTATGTAGGTGTAGATTTTAATTACATAATTAAATATTTCCTTTTTCCTTCTGAAACATTTTTTTAATTACTGAAGAATCCTTTCTCTTTTTTTTGTAAAAACCTTTCGCCCATAGATAATCGCATTCTTCTTATCAATTGACGTAAAAATTTCTTTGATTATCAATCTTGCTTCAAGAATCTTTTCATTATTTAAATTGTTCAACTCTCTCGCCTTCTTTGTTCGCTTTATTGAACAAATTTTTGTTTCTCTTATCTTAAAAGTATCTCACACAGTACACAGTCTTGGAAAGAAGCGATAAAGCAATTTATAAAAGCACCCGACAACAAAGCAAAAATGTTGTTTTAATTAATGGTATGATAAGAAAGAAATTAAGAGTTGTGGAGTTGGTTGCTTGGATGGTTCAGGGGTGAAGAGAGCAAAAGATTAAATGTTTCGCATTTACTTAACTTTTATTTTTCCTCCTTTAATATGTTCTGAAATTAATTCTCTGAAACATATTTCAAGCATAACTTTGTGGTTTTCATTGCTCCATAAGGTATTCGAATTATCTCTCTCACCTCTCGGTGTGCTTGGTGCTTGCTTTAACTTCAATTAAATCTGTGAGTTTAAAAAGTAATTTTTCAGAAGTCTTTATCTATGCTCTCAATATTTTCAGCAAATCTCTCATTGTTGTTTGCAATTTCACTACCTACTAAAGAAACAACAAACAAGTAAACTCCCAATCTAGGGTGATTGATTTTCTCGCACCACAAGCTTAAAATTCCTCAAAGATCAAACAGAAATCGAAATGTGAATTAAAGCACAAATTACTCACTTTAACGTTATGATGATTGCTTTCACGCTTTAAAGTTTTTTTTTTTTTTCGTCATTTTCTTTTCTCATGAGGAACGGAAGAAAAGTGAAATTTCTCTTAATTAATAAAAAGAGATTTAATGACTTTTGGATTTTTTAAGGTCCACGGCACCATGGCACGCAAACATCAACAGAGAACGAAGAAGAGACATTCATTGATGTTTGTTTTCATCAGTTGTGTCACTCTTTGACATTCACTGTAATACCTTTGAACATTGAACTTTTCTGTATTTAATAACATCAAAAGTCAATTTAAAGTCATTGCCTTGACATAGACACTTATTGAAGTGACACGTCTGACCGACAACTCATGCGAATTTCATTTAATTTCTTTTTTTTCTGTGTTTATTATTTCTACATTACGACAGAAGAACGCAACAATGACAGTAAATAGAAAAGCACTTCAAAAATCATAACAATAGAAATAGCAGAGTGAAGTTAATTGTAGAAAATTTCTTCCAATAGATGAAAATAATTATTAAATTTCATGTTTCTTCGGTTGCGGTTTCATGCGGTTCCATTCGAATGTTGTTCAGTGTCAAAATAGTTTTCAGTTATATTCTCGATGGCTGGTGAATGACTTTAGTTTAATTCAGATAGAAATTGTACTTCAATATATTTCGTGACCTTTCCAATTCCCAAAAATTTTTAATTTTACAAAGTTTTCATTAACAAAGAGAAGACAACAAATGGAGTCGTTTTGCCTTCCATTGTATTCAGATTTATTTTCGACTTTTAAAAAGAATCAGAGGGAAAAAAGAACCCATCGGGCAAAGTAATTATCTCATCTCTTGCTGGATGAATCGTTGCGTTTTATCCGGAATTTCGTTTGATTTCTCTTTCTTTACGATTCTTAAAGACCAGAGGCGTAGAAAGTATGGAATGTGGGAGAGGGCAGAGATCATTTTCGCTCGAATCTTGAATGTGATGAAGAGTCATTAATTGATCGAAAGATTTCTTTTCTTACTTTAAATATTGTTAAAAGGAGAAATTGTTTGCCTTTCAATCAATAACCTTAATCATCATCACCTACGCCCTTGCAGAAATCTGTGAACATTAAAAATGACGAAGACAGATTTTGGTAAACAACAGACGACGAGAATGGAATAGAAATAAAAGAACTGAGAGATTCTAGACCAAGCTTTTTCTGGCTCTTTATTTTTATAACATAATTGAACACTTCCTGTAATTATCGGACCTTCAAGTCAAAAGAGATACGTATCGTCTCTCACCCATTTACGTTTGACGCATGAAATTGACGTTTCTCGTAGTCTCACTCGAAATGGGAAGCTAATAACAAACAGATCATTTTTCATTTCGTCAATTTCTTCTTGTGGTTGATATTTTACTGTAAGTTATAAAGTATCCATACATCTATCCTTGATTCTTTGCTCCGTATATTTTTTCTTCTTTTTCTTTCATTTGTTTTTATTTTGGCACAGATATAACATTCATGAAATCGGAGACTTTTTCTTGAACGTTCCTGTCGGCCTTGTTTACACAACGATTGAACTCTGAGGTTTTTTGTGTCCATTATGTCAATCAATGTTGTCAATAAGAAAAAAAAATCTACCAATAAGCGAACGTGAAATACTGAAAATTTTATTTCTCCAAACCTACACATATTTATGCTTTCGTGATGTCAGAGATTTAATTAAAAAATTTTGTTGATTTATTTTTCAATGTTTTATTTCTATGACTGTTTGTTTTTAAATAAGATCACGTTGCGATGCTTGCCTTAGTTTTCATAATAAAAGTCAACAACAATAGAAATTCATAACAGATGAGATATCAGTTTCTAATTAACAGAATTCGACGCAGAAGGTTTTTGGCTTTGTTTTCGCCAGCAACGAAACGTAACACGATGCGAAAGACAATAAACCGCAGGTGTAAATTAAAATTAATTTCATTTTGTGACCATATTTCTTACGCGAACCATTGGTGTGAGGAAGGAATGGCACTAAAAGTTGAATGCTTCAGTTGTTGCGGCACTCCTAACAGCAAAAATCTTATTTTCTGTGATTTACAAAGAAGAATCTCAGTCAAAACTTTGAAATTCTTCCTCCATTTGCAATGCCATAAAAATTATTTTTATGATTCAGTTTTAATTTGCGTTCTTGTTTTTGTGCGATTTATTTTATTATTTTTTTTTTGTGGTACCGGTGGCTTTTAGGTCATCATCATCATCATAGTAGCATTCCATGCCTCGCGATCTCAATTAAAAAATATTACAAGACTAATTTTGGTTTTTTCCTTGTGTGCTGGATGGCTGAATCTAATTGCCGTCTGAGTGATGACGATGCAAATGTAGAAACAAAGCTAGAAACAAGTGATGGAAAGATGGATCAGTGGGACAAGTGAATGGAGACTTGCTGATCATAGCAAGGTCGCTACATTATGTTAATAGATTTCATTTCCCGTTCTCATTCTTCCATTCATGTCTCTCTACTTTTTTATTTATTTTTCAACAATGTTTCTTCCAACACAAACATTTATTTCTATTCTATTTAAATTTATAACAAATTTTATGATTTATCTTTTGAATCCATCAAATTCCGTAATGTTTTAATGATCGCAAGCTCAGACGCTCTAAACTTCTTTCAAAGTATTCATAAAAAGGAACTTTAAGATATCCTAAAGACATGAAGCTAAACGTTTTGTAATATTGTGTAAGGCAAAGCGTGTTTTCCCAGAAAATTGATTTTTTCTCAACTATTATTATTATTCGAAACGAAACAATTAGTGTCAGTAACCAGCATCATTATTAAGTTTTTACTTGTAAAGCTTGCGCCACTAGACCGAACACTACAGCATCAAATTCAATCTTTGTATCTGTCATAAATAAAGTCAAGCAACAAGAATAAATTTTCTGCCGACTATAAATGAATTCAATTTAAATTTATTGTCTCGAACTCAACTTGACTTTTGCTTTGTAAGAATCGAGATGAATCTTGTGAGAATTTGCATTTATGATATTGATTTTTTCTCACTTCTCAGTTGGTTGAACTTCTCACTCGACTGATATTGATACGACGATGATGATGATGATGATGATGATACCTGTCATAGACATGACACACGTTCAAACCAATACTGACTTTCGGTTTATTCTTTCTTCCTTTTCAATGTTTCTTCTGATTTGGGGTTCATGGAATAAAATACTTGTTAGTTTGAAGTATCGATAGAAGATTTTAATTGAAAGATCTGATCAATAACTTTCTCTACAATTCTTTTCTATGGCACAACCTTCGATTCTGTTTGTGCTCATGAAAACTTCGTTCGTGTTCTCTCGTTTACTCATAATAACAACTTTCAATTCAACTGCCTCGTCTTTTCAATTCTACTCTGTATAGAAACTTATTACTTTCCACCGATCCAAGCCTCTCCACGTCGAGCGTTCATTAAATGAGTCTCCCATTCTGTGGCCTTTAATGCCATCAAAACATCGAGCACTCGCGCCGCGCAAAGACGGAGAAGAAATAGAATTTTTGACAGATTCCGATCCGCCTCTTTTAAATGAAATTATTTTTGAGAAAAGAAAAAAAAATCTTAGAGAAGTCTTAATAACAACTTTTAGAGCAGCCGCGTTTCAATGAGTAACAAAAAAGAAATAGAAACATCATGGGCTTAAGGTAAGAAGAGGCAACAACAATGAAAAGGTATGGATTAACACCAGTAACGAGCCCACAAAAACCTTGTGTACTTAAACTATGATCTATGAAATTGAATCTGCGATTAAGCCAGTACAAAGTTTTTGATTAAATTTTTCTGCGAGTGTAGCGACAGACTGGGGCTTTGGATGATGTTCATTTGAAGCATCAGAGCGTGAGGTGGGTAATAAACATTATTGCTCCTGGCGATATTTTAGCAGCTTTTTGAAGCACTGAACTTCAAATTACAATAACTAAATGAGACACCAGACCTTCGTTATTGTCCAACTTTACTCGCTTTTTCTCTTTTCTCTACCACTTTTTTAATAATGGTAAATTATCATATTTTGAACATTTTCTTTCGTTAGTAAATTGAATTTTTTTTTCTTGTTCGTTACTAAAATTGCAACATGAGAAACATTTTGTTTCTTGTGCTTTTTCTTTCTTCGTCTCTTCACTTGCACAACATCATAAAAAAGTTTTTGACCAAAACCTAAGACAAAGTAAAAGAAGAAAATTGGCAAACGGAAGAAAAGTTTTCTGGAAAAATTTTGTGGTGTCGTTTCTACTTTTTACCGAATTCCATTCACCCACTCATTCTCTCTTTGCATCAGGTTTCGCCAAGTCAATGGTTTGATGATGTAATTTGGATGATAACCACAAAATGTTTTGAAAATTATGCACAAAAGTTTAATTTTTTGTTGCTTAAGAGAACAATGACAAAATCAGTGGTGATGTTGCTGCTGTTGCTGATAAAAGCCACAAACCAATCTTTTGTGCTGAAGTGTTGCGAGCAATAACTTTTGAGAAGGTAATCAGATGTAAAGGGACAACAAAGCGAACAAGAAACCACCGATGAAGGTTTTCAATGTTAGACAATTTAGCAATTTCATTTTGTATTATCAATTATTGATCATTGAATATTCACAAGATGTGGTTTTGTCTGCTTTACGAACAATTTGTGGTTGCCTTTTCATTGCATTTGTACTTGAATGACCAATGGAACATTAAACATTTAAAACATAAGTGACATTCAGCGAAATTGTCGCGTCGATTGTTCAAATGAAAGAATGTGAAAATTGCGAGCAAAAGTTATGTTCACGTTATGCGAATTAAAATATTTTTCCTCGAGCATGCTGTGAAATGTGATCAAGAAATATTTAAGTGGCTGCCATTGCGCGTTGTTTGTTTGTGTTACTTATTTCGAGTCAAGGTCGTAGGGTAGTGTGATCAGTATCCAAATCCGCAGGCAATAAATAATCGCGACATTACGAACAATGAATGAGAAAAATTCACTGCTTGAGACAGGTTGCAGCATAAGCAATTGTTTCAACCTAAACATGATCTTTTCTGCAAGTTGTTTTTCCACTTCAGCAGTAGTAGCAACAACAAAGAGTGCATTAATGACAATCGTCTTGCGAATTGTAATCGCCAAACATTTCGACTTAATACAAAGTAAAATGTTAATCCGACATTTGACACAAATTGATCATTTTTGCTCGTTTCCCTTCTTCTTCACTGTTGCACTTCAAACAAGTTCTGCACGATGAACGAGTCGAATTATGTTTCGGTTTTGTACTTTTATGGTGGGTTAAATTAACACTTTTGAGCGATCTTTGTTACATAACATTCCGCATTTGCCGCTTAAGTCAACCAAATTCGACTTGATCACTTGTTTTGATTAGATTTTCGTTTCGTTTTTCTCCTTAATTAACTTTACAGCCATCACGAATGCGACCTTCAGATGGCTCACAATAATTCACGAGATCAACGACAATGACAACTTATTAATTATATTTAGTCGTCGTGAGATTTTAAAGCCAGTGATCAACTTAAAAAGATCCAAATGTGATGAAAGGCGACAAGAAGAACAAGAAGATGAAGGGAAGAAGACGTTTTACATAATTTTCTTACTTCATTCAAATCCATCTTCAAGATCAAAACGAGATGAATTCAGATGAGTTGGGACATGACTTTTCGTCGTTTTCTTCTGAATTCTGTAAGAGATGAGATTAAGTTTTGGTGTTGTATGAACTCATTTGACAGAAGCCTAACAAAATGTTTTCGCAATTCGCAATCTAGAACAATCGACGAATCAAAATTCGAATGCAACTACATCGACATGACTTCATTTATTAAGAACTAACAAATTCAGATCATTTCTCAAGTCAACACATGAAGAGTTCTCTTCCGAAAGAAACCAGTTTGATGATGTTTTTGTTATCTGTTATTCCAGCCGTGATGTCGATGACGAAGACAGTGAGAAACGTGNTGAAGTATCGATAGAAGATTTTAATTGAAAGATCTGATCAATAACTTTCTCTACAATTCTTTTCTATGGCACAACCTTCGATTCTGTTTGTGCTCATGAAAACTTCGTTCGTGTTCTCTCGTTTACTCATAATAACAACTTTCAATTCAACTGCCTCGTCTTTTCAATTCTACTCTGTATAGAAACTTATTACTTTCCACCGATCCAAGCCTCTCCACGTCGAGCGTTCATTAAATGAGTCTCCCATTCTGTGGCCTTTAATGCCATCAAAACATCGAGCACTCGCGCCGCGCAAAGACGGAGAAGAAATAGAATTTTTGACAGATTCCGATCCGCCTCTTTTAAATGAAATTAAAATTGTATGAATATGAAATCTTTTTTAATAAAAGTATTATTCCTTTATCTATATTTCGGAGATTTCTTAATAATATGGTTTCGTGTAAATCGTTCTTTTGTGTAAGAGATAGGGCATGAACTTCTCTCTTGACTTAAAAGGCGAATAAGCGATTTCAAAGCTGTTGGCGTGGAGGTTTTAATTAAGAAATCAAAGTCTAAGGCTGTGAAAAGTTCAAGATTTTTATAGTCGCAAGACATGAAGGTTAGCATAAGAAATATTCGTTTAGAATTAGAGCTTAACTTTACTAGAATCTATGAGAACTGACAATTCAACATCATGGAAAACAATTGTGTGGAAATTATTGGATTATTCATGTCACTAGTGAAAAGTCAACATTGCCATTCCAACTAAGGTGTCATCTTTAACACGATTAACTTGTATTTCATTACTCTCCCTTCTCACTTTTATTCATTTATGATGCGGACATTCCATTCTTCTTCGATCGCTTTTCCATCAGATTCAATTTCGAAACGAAGAAGGGATTTTTGTTTGTTATGAGGCAAGCTTAACGCAGCCAAAGAAAACTTTAAAGATTGACTTGTTAGGTGTGAAAGGAGATAAAACTTCGAAGAAACAAAATCGGATTAGATGCATAATCCTGATGGCAAAGCCAATGAGCTTCACACAAATAAAAATTAATCTCTTTAAAACATTTTAATAGAAAACTTTTTCTTTTCTTTTTTTTTCTTGTGTTCATTTTCGATGAAAACACGACATAAACTAGACTTAAACACGGCTTCATAATCCTTTGTTTTTCTTTTATTTTTATTCCTTTCTTATTTATCCCTTCGGTTTAAGCCTTTACCAAGCCTTTAAAAAAGGGATTTTTGTCTTTAATTCTTACAGAGAGATGAGAGGAAAAATAAAAATTAATTTCTGTGGCATTGTTGTGAAATATTTCAGTTGAGATCCCCCAGAAACCAAAAAGATGAATTTTATAAACAATAACCACAAAAATTTTCGCTTTCTACAGACAAAAAAGAGATGAAAACAATTGCTGAGAATTTTTTTAATATTTTAAATTGATAAGCACGACTGTGTCGTGTTTATGAATGCCAAGAAGTTTTCATCATCAAGTGAAAGTTACAAGCAACAATGTCGGCATCTAATGAATGTTTAAGTGACCATCTTGCAAACTCAATGACAACGACACAATCAGCGAAATTGTCGCGTCGATTGTTCAAATGAAAGAATGTGAAAATTGCGAGCAAAAGTTATGTTCACGTTATGCGAATTAAATATTTTTCCTCGAGCATGCTGTGAAATGTGATCAAGAAATATTTAAGTGGCTGCCATTGCGCGTTGTTTGTTTGTGTTACTTATTTCGAGTCAAGGTCGTAGGGTAGTGTGATCAGTATCCAAATCCGCAGGCAATAAATAATCGCGACATTACGAACAATGAATGAGAAAAATTCACTGCTTGAGACAGGTTGCAGCATAAGCAATTGTTTCAACCTAAACATGATCTTTTCTGCAAGTTGTTTTTCCACTTCAGCAGTAGTAGCAACAACAAAGAGTGCATTAATGACAATCGTCTTGCGAATTGTAATCGCCAAACATTTCGACTTAATACAAAGTAAAATGTTAATCCGACATTTGACACAAATTGATCATTTTTGCTCGTTTCCCTTCTTCTTCACTGTTGCACTTCAAACAAGTTCTGCACGATGAACGAGTCGAATTATGTTTCGGTTTTGTACTTTTATGGTGGATTAAATTAACGCTTTTTAGCGATCTTTGTTACATAACATTCCGCATTTGCCGCTTAAGTCAACCGCATTCGACTTGATCACTTGTTTTGATTAGATTTTCGTTTCGTTTTTCTCCTTAATTAACTTTACAGCCATCACGAATGCGACCTTCAGATGGCTCACAATAATTCACGAGATCAACGACAATGACAACTTATTAATTATATTTAGTCGTCGTGAGATTTTAAAGCCAGTGATCAACTTAAAAAGATCCAAATGTGATGAAAGGCGACAAGAAGAACAAGAAGATGAAGGGAAGAAGACGTTTTACATAATTTTCTTACTTCATTCAAATCCATCTTCAAGATCGAGACGAGATGAATTCAGATGAGTTGGGACATGACTTTTCGTCGTTTTCGTCTGAATTCTGTAAGAGATGAGATTAAGTTTTGGTGTTGTGTGGATTCATTTGACAGAAGCCTAACAAAATGTTTTCGCAATTCGCAATCAAGAACAATCGACAAATCAAAATTCGAATGCAATTACATCGACATGACTTCATTTATTAAGAACTAACAAATTCAGATCATTTCTCAAGTCAACACATGAAGAGTTCTCTTCCGAAAGAAACCAGTTTGATGATGTTTTTGTTATCTGTTATTCCAGCCGTGATGTCGATGACGAAGACAGTGAGAAACGTGCGATGAGAAGCAGCGATGAACGAGAGACGAAAGTGGAAAGAAAATAAGTGAAGAGTCATAAAGATAATTATTAAAAATTAGTTTTTTGAATAAATTTTTCTGCTGCTCGCGCATTCTGTTCTTATGTGAACGACAAACGTATTTACTGTCGAAAGATTTTGTTCCAAATAAAACAAGTTTGTTGTGTGTTGAAGAAAGAACTCGGCGTTCTAAAGACACAACATAAAGAATGAAAAAAATGAGGAAGAAGAAGCGAGATGACATTTATTTGCGGTTTGATTTGTCATCGAGTTCATATTTCTTGTTGTTTTGATTTGGAATTCTTTCACAGGTGAGTTCTTTAAAGATGAAGCTTCTCAGCATTTCCTTATAGACGCAGCATGAGGCCATCGAACTACGAAAACATTTCTCGCGTGCATTGATTTTAAGTATCAATAAATTTAAAAGAATTAACTGTTGTCTCGACAGTTTTGAATAAACATGTGAATAAAGTTTATTTAGCATTAAGATTAATATCTTAAAATAATGCTACTTAGTACAAAACGAATGTAGTCTCGAGATGATTGCAAGTTAATTTCGTATCTCCGTATGTCATTTGATTAACAATCAATGATGATTTTTTTTCTCTCTGATTCATCATCATTAAGGTCACAAACTCACAATATCTTCAAATTGTTAATTCTCGCTCGATTTATATAAGCTCTAGAAAAGCTTTCTTTTCCCTCTCAAAACATCGATTTATCAACAGAATTAACGTCGAATAAAAAAAAAAGCGAACGTAAACATCCAATGACCATGTTAACAATCAGCAGAACAAAATTACTGTTAAGCTTCTGAGATGTGACAAGAGAGAGGAAAGCAAAGAATGAAAGAAATGAAAAGATTTTCATCGGAGAAGCATACCAATCGAAGCGCTGATTAAAACGATGTTAATTATGAGATAAAGAAAAGAAAAAGTTTAAAGAAGAATCCCGAAAAACAGAAGAAAAAAAATTACGATGGTAGACATGTTCAAGCTTATAATCTCAATAGAACATTAAGATGGAATCACCGAAACCATCTCTAAGACAATTTTTAATTTGCATTTTTTTTTCTTCTCAAAGATAAGCTTCGGTGAAATACGATAAAGAACCAAGAAAAATGCCAGAAATAATTCATTAATTAATGAGCGTTGATTTCTTCTTAGGGTTCTTGTTGGTTTTATTCTGTTTTATTTATTTCAAGCTGCTGCTGTGTCGGAATTTCTCTTTTTTTTCTCTCGGGTTCATCATACATTTTAGATTAGCTAAAGTAAGCAGAAAGGAATAAAAAACGAGTGAAACCTTTCTTAGAAGGAAAGGAAGTCAATAATTTCTCATTTTAATATTTTTTGAAACAAATCATCAATTTCATGTCTTTAAACATTCAAAACTTCGGTCGTGTTTAACTTCTTGTTTCAGTTTTCGCAACGTAAAGATTAAAAATCAACGATAACATCAATCGATTATTTTATGGTTGTTGTGTGTTAATAAAAATAATTTCTTCAGTGTTTCTTTTATTGAACATCATTTACGCTGCTGTTCATTTTATATAAACGAGCAAAAAGCGTTGCGATCTCGAATAAGATTGAAGACGGATTTCATTACTTCACTCTAAAAGCTTTGGACGATAATGAGACAAGGACGACCTTTTTCTACTCATTCCCGGGGATAAAAGGAAATCCATAACAATAAAACAAAATTTAATGGAAATTGGTTTTCCTTTGCTTCATTGGTATGTGATGAGATTGAGGGAATAAGAAGCAAAATTACGAAGTTAATGTTGTCCCAGAAATGAATCACAAAGATAAGTCACGAACCCTACCTAAGTGAATTATTCTCACCAGCTTCCATTAACGTCGCTCCAATCAACTCATCTCTCGCAGAAGGAAAACAACACACATTTTACTGCAATCTGATACACCGATTTATGTTCGCTTTTCTTTCTCTTGTTTGTGTCTGAAGCGAATTGAATTTATTCTTTGTTTGATGCAAGTGAAATGAGAAATAAGAGAACAAAAAATGGGAATCTGAGAACTTTGCAACATAAAAATATGTTTCTTCTGCATGCTATCAGTGATTATTATATTTTATTTTTATTTTCATTTATTGGACTTGATCTTCTTTTTGTATCTTAGTGTTTTTACTGTTTAATTGAAACGGAATAATAAAATTATAGACATTTTTCGTTTCTTTAGGGTTGAAGACTGTGACGGAACTTCAAATAAGTTTCAACATAAATAAAAGTTGCAACATCTTCTCTCACCCTATCTTTAGTGAATTTATTAGTATGAAAACATCCGAAAAAAAGCAGAATTTAATTGATTAAAAAATTATCACAAGCGATAATCTTTGGCTGTGCGATGTTTATATTTTTTTTCTGTCTCTTTTGCTTTACTTCTTTCCATTCAATTCAAACAGAGCGCAGCTAAAGCAAAAAAATAATCAGAAATTATGTCTGGTTCATTCTTCTCTCTCTTCTTTTTGCAACAATAATTTTACTTCAATGGACAATGGCATAATTTCATGTCCATAAAAAAAAGAAGCTTTCTGGATTTTTTTAATCTCAGTGTCGAGGTCTTGCTGTGTTTAGTTTGCATTCAAACTTTTTTCATTCACCTTACTTGTAAAAGACCATCGTGATGTGCTATAGTAACAGATTTCAAACAATAAATGCACGAAAAAAGCTTAAAATCAATTAAAATCAATCTGCCATCATATTCTGCTTCTGAAACAAAAGTAATCTAAAAAGTTGTTTCTTGTTTTTGCAATAAATTGGAAAGCGTAAACACAAAAGCTTCGTTTCGATAGTTGATAATTTTTCGTTAACATTTTTGAGCTTTTATGTTGCCAAACTTTTGACAATCACTAATAATGATATAAACAAAAACATGTTGAACATTTGTCATAAAAGCGGAAAACTTGATTTTAATTCTTTTTAAGTTTTCATCACACCGCAGAAGTTTAAAATTCATTTTGAAATCTGCAATCGAATGAATAAAAAATATCTAAAATAAAAAAAAATCAAACCAAATAAACTCAATGTGAGTTGAAGCATGAGCTTGACAGTTTTTTTATATTCTGTTGATTCAATAGTTTTTTTCTGGTTGACGTCTGATGATACGCATGATCAACTCTCCAGTTTTCTTGTAGCTTTAAACATTGTTTGACCACCGACGATTTGTCGATTTTTCAGATCTTTTTGCTGCTTGAAGCTTTCCAACTTGTAAAACAAATAAAGTTGCTCATATAAAAGACTAACTCAATGAGTGGAAGTTGATGCTGTTGAGTAATTTCAGTATCACCAATTTTACAGCAGATTAATTAAATGTCAATTTAATGTCGTTTCATTGAATTACGCTTCGTAGTCGAATAAAAAAGAAACATTGAGCGCCATAAATTGTGTAGCAATTGGACATTGTTGCGTGATTCAAATTGCGGTGTTTTCAGGTGAATTAGTTGTAGATTTGTTTGATGTTATGTCGAGCATTATGTGCGATGAAGGCAATTGTTTAATAACAATTTGAGGTTGCTAAGTGGACCGCCATAAATTAAGTCGCCTTGGTATGAAAACATCGCTCGTTGTGGTACTTGAACTTGTCTGTGAGAAAGCATTTTATTGACAGAAATCAAGAGCATGTTACAGCAAATCTTTACGATATTTTATAGTTAATGATACTTCAATGCATTACACAAATAAATATTTAATGCATCAGACAGAAAGCGAACATTAAAAGCTTTCCCACCTTTGTTTATTAAAACTCAATAAATCAACATCAAAGCACATCTAATTCAGCTAGTAAGCTGAAGCATTAATTCTCTAAAATCCCAGTCATAATCTATAAATTAAATACCCACATCACTTAGTAACAAACTTATAAACTTTCGTCTTCGAAAACCTTTGAAAAGGGATTTTGAAGAATCAATGTGAAAGGAGAAATTTTCGTGAGTTGCAAAAGAGCGGCAGAAGGAAAGTTCTCTGAATATCTTAAAGACGACGACGATGATCTAAACAATTTAGAATCTTCTCTTGTTTCTGATATAAGATGATGAAAATCACTTTAAATCGAATCTTGCTTAGCGTCTTTCGTAGCACATCACGAGTAAAAGCAAACAGCTCACAACTTAACGCGTTCGCTTTAGTGAACGACACAAACATTCCGGATCTCGTTGAATCTACTTTGCGAATGCTGTCGCAAATCCCTAAGAATATGAGACGTAAGACGTTTGTAAATTATTTAGCATCTCAGAGCATATTATGGCAAGCATTCTTGGGGACTTATTTACGTAAAAGATTTATGCCGGTAACGCCAAGAAAGAACGAAGTAAAAAAAGAAAGAAGAATAAGTCAAACAATAAAATAGACTTTGCATTTTCTGAACTCATGTTGAATGGTGGAAGGAGACAAAGTAACGAAAATCTACTTAAGCTTTATGTCGTGCAGAAATTGTTCACCATTAAGATTTCTCAACAGCTTCGTATATGCCCTGAGCAGGTCACCAAGAAATTAAGACTTCGCCTGCTTTAGGCTCATAAATCGAATATCAAATTATAAATAAATAAATTTTGCTTCTTTGTCAATAAAAGTTTAGCAGAGAAAGACATCTTTGTGTTAGCAATTTATAAGCTCGAAAGAATAAAATCGAACAATTAATGATTGGATGACTCGAAAGTTCAAGAAATTGCAACCAAGTATCATCTAACAATGAAGACTTACAAGTTTCTGTTCAATATTTTCATCAAAAGATATGATTTGAACTTTTTGCATTGTGTGCTAGGGAGGACAAAAGGAAGCTCTTAACAATGATTTGGATGATTCAAAAATCAATAAGAAACATTACAAAGTCATTTTCTTTTCACTTGTTATAACTTTCTTCAGTGAAAATCTTTTCAATTGATGTATGTCACGAAGCAAACTTTTGAATGTTTTCCACACATGAAAAATCATTTTTAAATTGCATAACAACATGTAGTGTTAAGTTTCTTTCTTCCGGCGCTTTCACCCAGCATTTGCCAAATAAAAAAGAATCATTTTTATTATCCAACAACTTGTGATCATGATTTCGCCTTCTTGACATATCAATTACCAGACATTAAACATTGCATTTTACATTTATGTCTTTCTTTTATGCTTCATTCGAGCATATACATAATACTTATGAGATGTTTGCATCTTTTGAATTCAGAAATTCATTTGAATATCAGAATTGTGTGTTCTTCTCTATGCACAAAAGGCTGTTCTGCTGTTTTGCTTATTCAACATTTCATATGGGCATTGTTAAGAGCTAATGCTAAGTAGAAAGCTTTTGAAATTTGCCATGTTTGTCTCCTTCATAAAATGACTTTTGAATTAGGAATTTAATTTTTAATGGTTAATTTCCATTCAATGGATTTGACATCAATGGGATATTTATGATGATCACATATGAAGTTTGTGTGTGGGGACGGACGACAGCGAAGCCTGTCAACTGCTGAATTATGGATTTTATTTATTTTTTTTTCTATAAGATGTTGAAAATTGAAATAAAAGAAACTTAAGAAGTCTAAATAGGAACATTACCCGACTCTAATAAATACTTATAAATTATGTCTGTTTCAATTTCTCTTCCAACCTGAACTGTTGTAATTCGCAGCTGCCTTTTTTAATTTCAATCATCAAACTGTTGAAGCAAAATGTGTTCGTGAGCACTAAAGTAACAAACATGCAGACGCTCCCAGAATTATTCATAATTAATTCCTCAAAGTTGATTTCATAATATAACTAAGTACTAAGTTATTTCTTCATCTCCCCTTCCTTTCAAAACGTATTAAAGTCAGATTAAAAATGGTTCCAATTCAATTCTCTTACTTTTTTTAATGGTCAACTTGATCTCTTTGAGTTGCATGACGCGATAACAAAAATAAATGCGAGAATAAAAAAAATTCTTTTCATTTCGCGAGATGTCACATTGGTGGATAAATAAATAATATTTATTAAGACTAAGTAGAGGAGAAAAAAGAAGTTTTACTGATCTGACAGTATGGAGGTGGCCGCAAATGGAATCGTAAGGCGAAGGTTGCAATTAATCCATGATGGAAATGGAATAAGAAATTATTGAAACGTTAAGTGAAATGAATTTTTTATCAGAGCTCGCTAGAAGAACACAACACACAACACTCAACGTTTTCTACATTATTCCATTGATGTTGTTGTTACATTAATGCTCAGTTACGGACCACATCAAAAGCTATAAAAATAACATCAACTTTTTTCATATTCTCATCTTGTTTCCTCATCTGTCAAACCAGGAAAAAACAATTTTGTTGATTTACTACTTAAAGCGGACATACGTACATAAAACCATAATTTATTTTACACTTCACATTCGAACAGCTCTCAGCGTGCCTTAACGAGATCATAATCGATAGCAAATTTTCCAGCTTTTGTAACAATTTTGACTGCATGATAATTATTAAAGCAATAAGTTGCTTTGGAAACCTTTTCAGAGTAAAACAAGCGGGGGGTTGTTTTGGGTGGTTGTGAATAAATATCTAAATACAAAAAAGAAACTTTTAATTAAGTTAGGAAACCCGTTCCATGACAACTCGAAAATTTTCCACTTGGTAAGTGCCTCGTGACTTCATCATCAAACGTTTTCGGCATCCTACGGTGTTGCTTTGAAGAGGAAAATTTCATCAACAAACTGAGACATCAGCAAGGCCAGTGAGCTTAATGAAAACATATGAAATTTGTTATATAATTTATAGTTCTTAGAACTTCGTCACTAAGTGAGGTATTCTAAGTAAGCAACATGCAATGACATAAAAGGACTCATAATGACTAAACTTTCCAAAGATAAATCAAAGCAAAAAAAACGTTCAGAAAGCTTATGACATGACGTGAGTGCTCTCTTAGGAAAAATGTAATAAGAAAAAGACGAATCCTAATGATGAAAGAACGAAAAGAAGCATGGAAAGATTTTTAAAAGCTTTGACTTTTAAAATTTTCTTTTTTCTTTCTTTGACGATAAGCAAGAAAAATAAAAGCTTGTGTCGTTTGCATGTTGGATTTGCGTTACATATAAATGCCACAAGCATACATGAAATATGAATTTCTTTACGTATATATAACCCCATAAAGTGAAAAACTTTTACTGTTACGATTTGCGATATAGAATAACGATCGTAGATCATAAATTGTACCACAGCGAGGCAGCGCGGCCTGTCAGAAAAATGTCAAACAGAAATCAAATGACTGTGGCACGACACATGACGGCTTTATATGTTGTGTATATATTTAATAACAAGTGAGTGTGTGTTACAATATTTCGAGGCCTTTTTGATGTTCAACCTGGGGGTCATGCGAGGGGTAGAACTGAAAGCAACGATTCAGATAACAACAGAAGGTCAACGATTGCAATGGAATCAGAATGGTTTACTTTATTTTATATTTTTTTTGTGTACATAAACCTCTGAACATGCAATTACGAGAACGTGGCATTTGCGAGTGAATTTTATTATTCAAATGTTTATGCAATGAAATGGGGAAAATATGGAAAAATCGAGAAAAAGCCACGATTTTGATATAAATCACGAATGCGATTTACTTTGAAATAATTAAATTCCAAAAGAATGACAATCAATCAAAGCGTTTTATGCAGTTGGAAAAACGAGGAAAATCGAAATATTTCTCCTGAGAAATTAAGTAAATTTATGAGCGACCTCACGTTTGTTGAAAATTCCACTGAGAATGTGTCAACTTGTATTGAGTTGTAAATTAAATAAAAGTGAAAATTTGAATTACGTGATTGATGAAATATTTGTGGTGCAGTAGACAATCCATTCTTGCAATGATGTCATTTAAAACTTCATCAACAGTCTAATGCTTCGATTTCTGTCACGACACTACCCAACAAAAATTGAAATTTTCAACTGTGCACCAATCAAAACACAGAAATATCCAACAAATAATAAATTATTAATCATTCATTCAGAGACATTTTCACTTCACTTTGTTATGTGTTATGACTCGCTGTGACTTGATGAATTATTGCCTGTTTTTGAGAAATGAATAGCAAAAAAGTTTGATTTACTAATCGAATAAAAAAATATCATGACCGAGACCAGCATGAACGAAAGGGAAAATAAAAATAAAATCTGGTTGACATTAGTCGAAACCTGTGCGGCAATAGATTTAAAAGAATTCCCCGACTGACGTCTGTTGTTCGTTAAGGAGAATTATTATATAAAAAATTCGGTCTCAAGCTCGATTACGATGATTAAAAATCGTTCGATTACTTTACCAACATTGAAAAGTAAAAATTAAATTCCTTCCATAATAACAGACGCCTATAAGGGGAGAAGTCAGTGATGCTGGCGAAAAATTCTTAATAATTTGATTGGATTATTTTAAGCTGAATGCCGGCGTGGGTGAGACAAAATTGCAAATAGTAAATTAAGTAAGTGAAGGAAAGGGTTGGAAGAAAAAATCGGTTTCCGTAATTTTTCACCCTCTAAAATTCAATTAGTTTCTGACAATTTAATTATTTCAATATTCAATCTCATTACCAAAGTCGTTTGAAGCCCACAACAATGGTAATTTAATTGAACAAGATGCGGGAGGTAGCAGATTTAATTATTTTCTTTTATGTAAATTATAACTTCTTTCTTTCAACATAATTGTTTTGTGTTCATCAACATTTTGATGACAATTTCCATCTTTCTAGTTAATTCGAACAAACATATTTTAATAGGATTGCAATTTAAATCGATAAACGCCTTCTCAGTTTCGATTTAAGTTTTCAAGTCCAAATCCAATCAGTCACCAAAGAGAAATCTTTTCGGCACGAGTGCTTAGCGTTCGTTGCAAAGAGAAAGAGAGAAGAAAAGCACTTTTTTCAATTTATTAATTTGAATTGATGTCTAATCATAAATCACGCGCACGCACAATCAACAATGGCATCATAAAAATTATGAAAAATTACTTGACGTCAAGAGGCGAATGAGAGAAGAACGAGCGTGGCAAGTAAAACGATGGACGATGTGATGCAATTGAAAAAAATCTTTTTACAGCTTGAGGTCGAGAATGGAATGTTCTCTGTAAATTAATGTCACTAATAGATTCGTTTCTAAAGTTTTGCTTTCACTCGTCTTCGTTTTAAGTGAAGCCTAACGAAAGTCGTCTTGAAAGTGGCAACAATGACATCGCCTACAAACCAACACTTATAAATTGAATTCATAATAAATCTAGCACATTAGATTGACATCATCTCAAGTTGAGAGTCAAGACTTCTCAATGGTTCTCTTTCCACCTTCTGAACCATTTGACCTTAGTAAATTATTATCAATTTAATGCACCATTTATAAATGACAATAAAAACTTCTACGACTAAAGACTCTTAAACCTGTCAAATTCACTTCAACATTGACTTTTCCTCTACATCGTCTATGGAGGGAGAGTTTTTGATTTATTTTCGATCATTTATTTTGCGACAAGTCAGGAATCGAAAAAGAAAGACTTTAATTGAACGGATGAATTGATTTCAATTATTGCGGGATTAGCGGAGACGATAAAAGAACGCGAAATAAAAGAACGAAAGAGCAGGCAGCAAACTTTGTAGCAATTAATATTGACTTCGATTCCGACATGATCCGAGCTCTTCTCTGACTTTGACTTTGATGATCAACTAAGAATGCTTTTTCATTTTGTTTGGCAGCTGCCGAGCTTCTTTTAAGTCATTACGAGATTACGAGAACATTGAAAATAAGTAAAACTAAAACGATTTGTTTTCCTTTGGGGTAAATTGTAAACTGTAATGATGAAAATCTGGGAAATACTCTACAAAGTGTCTCGCAGGATGAAACAATCGGATTGGAAGGATTCAAACAAACAATGTTCGTCATCTCTAATTGACGACTTAAGAAGATGAGAAAACTAATTAAAAAGAAATTGTAATTAATAAAAGAAAAGTGGAGCATAGACGTGAAAACCTTGGGGATTGGGATTGGCAAAAGAAAAATTCTTCAACAACGAATAAAAGTGTGAATACTTTCATGCACTTCTTAAGGCAACATGTGCTCGTCAACTCTTTCACAAAAGTGACTTTAATTCATGCACATACTCTTATTTAAATGAATGTTATTTTATTTATTATTCTTTCTTTTTTCGGCACACAAAAACGCACAAAACGAATTTAAGTTGGTGTAATTTTTATGTTGTTCTTCGCTCCACACGTCTTCTACTTCTTTTTGCCAATTTTTAATGAGAGTTTCAGCGCTTCTGTGGCGTTCAAGTGTAAAAAGGCCTGGTGTTGCTTTCGAAAAGTTACAAACACTTCCTCTCACTCTCACACCCAGGAGGCAATAAAAGATTAGGTTTTAACAAGAATATTCTGGCAGCAACTATCATGTGTTCTTTTTTGCATGTTTTGGCGGCGATGACACTTCATAAATTAAATGAAATTGCTGCTGCTGCTGGTTCTGCTCTTGTTTTCGTTGTTGTCTTTCTCATCGTCGTCGTCGTCGCAGTCGTCTTTTGCTTTGACTCTCGGCGATGAAATAATTTTTATTTTCATGTTTTAATGCTTTTTTTAAATTGTTACATTTTATGATTCTAAATTGCAGAGCGTATCTTTGGAAAAGTAAATTTGTTTATGATCTTAAATTTGTTTGAAAGTCAAAAACGTTTTAATGTTGGAAAGAAATCTATTTTAGTTGATTTATTTAGTTCTTTGAAATATTTTTCATTGCGTGAAATTTGTGAAAGATAATTTCATTCATTTGATCGTAAAATACATTTGGAAAGAGTTGAGTTCAGTTTTGAAAGCTGACGAGAAAAGAATTCTTCATTTATGATTTCTTCTATTCATTGCTTATGAAAATCGATCTTTAGCCATGCTAGTCACTGTTCCCGAACGGTTACGGCATAAGTAAGATTTCAAGTCATAAACAAGCAGCAGAATAAAAAGAAATATTTTTTAAAAGTTAAATAATCCGATTAATTTTTTTTATTCCTAAAAGCATTTATTCACTTTCTTGTTTGCCTGTGTCTGAACTGAAGGCAGTAATACGAAAGTCCAGACTTTCGAGAGTCATAGAGATGGAATTAAGTCTGTGGCTTATTTGTAATCACCAGAGTTTTCCCTCTTTCTCTCTCACTCTTTAACACATTCTATCTTTCTTTCTCTCCTCCTGTCGAGATTCGACTTAAAGTCCAACTAACAATAATCATTTTTTTATTTATATTTTATGTGTGATGAGGGAAAACGAAGAAAAAGAAAAAAGATTCCAATTTGTGTTGTTGGGCAATTATTAAGATGTTCTTTGCAGTTCTTTAAGAGGCTTTAGAATTAAAAATTATCCCAGTAAGAATGTTAGAGAATTGACGACGTGAAGTTCATTTAATGAAATGATTCAAAAATTTTCCCACTGGTTCAATTAATTCCGTCTGGATCTTCATGTCGCATTTTCTTCTCGTATCTTCAATATTAATTGCTCGTTCTTTTATCACAACTAGCATCTCTAGTGGGGATAATAAGACAAATGCGATTTGAGAAATAAGTCACATAATGACATCATGCCTTGTTCTTTTCATTCTCTTTTCTCGCGTCTAACACGAAAATTTCATTCCGCTAAGATTCATTTAAATAAGACAATAATAAATTCGTTTTAGGCCACGTTGCTTTCAACGCGTATTTTTGAGCGCTGATGACGATTAATAATCATCTTCAGGAGATTCCCTCAAGAGGGAGATGAATTCATTAAGATTTTTCTTTCTTTAGATGGAAACAGAATGAAGCGCTGATTAATTTTTCAGCGAGAAATCTTCCTAACGCTTTGAATAATTCGTTGATATGTCAAGCCGCTATAGCGATGTCTTAATTTTCTTACAGCCATTACTGCCATTAGCTTAATATGCAGAGACATGAGTTTATTTCTTTCGTCTTCATTACTACGTTTTATTGGCCCTGGGATGGTGATGAAGTGCTTTAAAATGTAAATGATGGCCCGAAGGAGAAAACTTCAGCAGCTCTATGTACACAAGATGAAAAGCGACGACGCGGAAGAAATATACGAAAAATTCCAATGTGATTTGCTTCTGATCGCAACTCATTTGTCATAATAAAAGCGATAAATATTTATGTACACAAAAGTTTAGAAACGTGAAAGTTTTTCTTCCTCCTGCAACACAAGAAGGTCAATAAACTCTTCAAATATCTTTTTACAACTTCCAAAGGATGCAAAGTGACTTCTATGATAAAAATAAATGTTTCGAGAGCTTAAATGAAGCTTAAGAATAACTTCAACTTCACCACCAAATTACCCAACGGCACTCAGCATAAACTTTATGATTCGATTAGATCGATACCCAATTTTCATTTTCATGTGCCAGTCTTGGCTCCTTATTTTCATTTCATTGCCTAGCCATTAATGAAAAATTCTATTCACGAAACGATAAAATTGAAGAGGCGTGGGTGGGCGTCCTTTTGGTATGATGATGGTGTTTGGGTGTGTGTGTGTGTGTTTGTAAGTCTCTAGACCGTTAGACTTAAGGCATTAAGCACACAACAAAAATTGGAAAACGTACAAAACATTGATTTTTATTCCTTTTCTTACGGAGCGGTACAGAAAATTTGCTTATCGATTTGCCTTAGAGGAATTTTTCTTCCTTAAAGTTTATCAACGTGCTTGCCTTTTTTTCTTCTTATTTCTTTTTTCTCTGACTGTTTGTGAAACGGATGAAGTTCCTTTTGTAAACGTTTGCTAGAGGGGAGGGAGTTGGGCAAATGAAAGAAGAAAGAAAACAACTAAGTGAATAAAAATAAAAATTGAAATAAGAAGACATTTTTCTGCCATACGTTACCAAACAAAGTGGGAAACCGTGGATGGATTTCACTAAACGAATTTGATTTCACAAACAGAAAACAAGCAAATATTATGAAAGAAATGTTCAATTGTTAAACTGTTTTAATTTTGTTAGATTGCAATGCCAATTTCATGATCAAATTTCTATTAAAAAACCTTAGAAGAATTCTGGGATTTGTTTCGTCTCCTAGGATTCCAGCTCCATACTGTAACTAACTTATTTTTATATAAATACTAAAATATTTTTCAAAGGAATGAAAAGGGTTAAAAAATTGAAAATACCAAAGAAAAATATTTCCACTTCATTCCTCTTCACGTTCTTATGTGCTTCCTACTAACAAACACTTCTGATATCACAAGAATGAAAGGATATGAAGACGAGTGTAGGCGGCAGACATGTCACAAGAAAACACTTCAGAACCTTTTTTAATAAAATTTAATATTTCTTTTCCCTTTTTAAACTTGTTGATTGATTTATCCTCTACTCACGCATTATATTAGATTATGTGACATCACTAACTTCTTTACAACAACATAAGAGCATAAAAAGCTTTCCAATAGAATGGTAAAAAATAACTGAATGAATGCTTTTTATTTCGTTTGGCATAAATCGAAAAGAAAGTAAAAAGCGTAGAAAAATTGTTTCGTGTAAACATTCTTCATCCTTCATTTCAATATTTGCCATATTCGACTCGAACTTTATGTTAAAATTGCTTCAACGCTAGAGTGGAAGTGAAGTCTTGGAGTGCTGAGTGTTGTTGTAGTTTGCCCGTTGATAGGTTGTGAGGAGAGAAAGGGTTATTGATATGTGAAGGTAAATACTCAACCAACTTTATCGTTTTTCACATTGAAATGAAAAGTTTTTGTGATCATTAAAGTATGGCGTGGGTAGTTATAACTTCTTATGCATGGAACGAACATAATATCGTTTTAAAGTCGTTTCATAGTCAAAGTGTAGGTGAACAGAAGATGGAAATTCTGGAACAATAAGTTTTCTCGGGAGCATCATACTTCGGAAGTTACAAGGGAACAACATTCCGGACTTTAGAAGAAAGAAATTTCTGTGAAATCAAGGAGAAGGAGCTAAAGTTTGTCTTCTCAACTTCACAAACACACGCGGAAAAGTATTTCAAAAATTTTCGTTTTTATTCGTCTTGTTTAAAGAAATATTTCTCTGTTGTTATTATGAAACAGAATTGAAATTCGAAAGTATCATGTCGTGTATGCAGACGTAAGAGTTCTTTATGAGGAATGTTTGAAAGATTGTAAGAAGTCGAAGTAAGTTGAATATGTGACTAAGCGAAGAAAAGTTTATTAGATTCTTTGTGAAACATAGAAAACTTTTCAACAATTTGTTAGACCATTGAAAGCTTCAAAGCATCTTTTGGGCTCAACTTTCGAATCCATGCATTTTCTTTTTCCTGAAGTTTAAAGAAAATTAGAAGTATGTAGTTGTCAAGCATGATATTAATGTTTTTAAGTGTTTCCAAGTGGAGTTCTTTTTTGTTCTGAAAGGAAAGTTTTATCGTCAATAAATATCACCCACCCACGATTCAAACTTTATTTTCTCCAAGGAAGTTTTCCACATTTATGCAGATTGAAAGAATGGAAATATTTTATGTTTATTGAAAGCGAAACTATAAATAATAATAGAAAGTTAGATTTATTTATATTTGACGAAAGACAAGTGTCGAGTTTGAATCTACAAAAGTATTCAATTAAACTTCCATAAACTGAATCATCGAATGGCTTCGCTAATCGATGAAATCGCTTCAATTAACACTGAGTTTAAAACAAATAAATTGAAATTCATCGCTTGTTTTGTGAATAAATTAGCATTTATTTCAAGAGGGTTGACATAAGAGTTGCTATCGCTTCAAGCTCGACCTTTCAGTAATTAAAATCATGAATTTTTCAAGTGAAATTGCTTCTTCGCTGTATTTTTTATTATCTTTTTTTCTGTGAATAAAGATGATGTTGATGAACAAAATAATTTTAATGAATATTAATGAGATAATTTCACGCTACTCTCTATGGCCTTGGTTGGAGTTACTAGCTCATAAGATGTTATCAAAAATATTGCTTAATAATTATCACAAGGTTGTGCAACTGTTTCACGCTATCATGATTACGAAGCTAATTCTTAGTTATTCGGGTAAATCGTAAATAAGCGCAGAACACAAATAAAGTTCTTAAAACATTCAAAACTAATCTTTAATGATGAGTTTCATTTTTCCAAGCATAGCCAAGAAGCAATCAAAAACATTTCTGACATCATTTCAATGTGTCAGACTGCATAAATTGCCAGCAATCATCATTTTATTCCTTCTTCTTGTTCATCACAACCTGGCAAATGTTTCTCTGATAATTTAATTTCATTTTTCACTCTACAATTAACATTCCCGATCTTCATTCAGTCTTCAAATATAAATGATTTATTTTAAAGCTACGATCAATTTGTGTCGATGTAGAATTTTACATTTGGGTGAATGAAAACATAATTTTGAATAATCGTTTTTGATTAAGAAGCAGCAATTTTTTTTATTCGATTTGAAGCTAGAAGCAAATTGCGTCATGAAGACGTTTCTTTCGTCATATCTTTCTTTGGGCTGCCCGTCAGCATTTGGGTTAATGCTTGTACACGCAATGGCTCTTGTGAGGGTTAATCAGCGAAGCTACTTTTACTAGATGACCCAAAAACGTTCACCAACATTTTTTTTTATGAATTTAAAAAGTAATATGTAATAAAAGTGAAAACATTTCAACTGTAACTCAAGAAAATTGAAGCAATCAATCGTTGTTAAAATGAAGTTTAATAAACTTTAACGCATTCAGTCTCAGTGGCATCAGTTTTCATTCGACTTGATCGTATTTATGATTGACTCTCTTAACTCTTTCCTTCTTTTTCGACCACAAATTTCATATTTAGATAATTATACGTAATCAAATGTTTTTTTTTTCTTCTCCTCTTTTTTTCTTTTGATTATTAAATAATTTTTTTGTTTCTCTGTTTTTATTTTTGATGATTTTTTGGATGGCATGGCATTCAAAGCACCATCAAATATAAAGCAGAAAATTATTGAAATATTATCGGAAATGTGTTCCTAGATATAGAGAATGAGCGGCACAATTTCATGCCAATTATTGGGCTTTGCTGTGTGGTGCAGCAACTAATTTCTTAGACCTCATTTCGTAACAAAATATCCAAAATATAAAAAACGAAAGAAATATTTCAGACGCGAGTAAACGCACATTTACAAAAGACGGTTGAAAGACTCTGATATTTTCTATTTAATTTCATGTTCGTGACACGACTCTATTTGTGAGATCGCTGGGAATATTTCAAGTAAAAAAAAGGCAAATGTCAAGAAAAATCTCCTCAATGGAATTGGATTGACGGACGAGGGCCACATGATGACTGATGTTTTGAAAGCTTTTCAGGTGTTTAGAAGTAGGAGAAGTTGATCGGTAACTTCAGTGCAGTTTTAGGTGTGTCACTTGATTGAAGAACATTAACTTTTGTTACTTTCAGTATGAAATGCTTTGGCACTTAAGATCGTAAAAATAATTCAATATTAATTCAGAGACATTTCCTTACATTCCCAAGTGACACAATCAACTAATAAGCCAATGAATCAACACAACAATTACTTAAAAACTTTACCACAATTTCTTATCCCATTTCGTGTTTGATGTAATTTAGTTTCTTATTTTTTCTTAAATACTTAAATATATTTTTTTCTACTCTTTCTCTTTCTCTCTTCAGCTGTTACACAACATTTGATTCATAATAATTGAATGATCGTTTTCTGTTTTGCTTCGCTCGAACTCACATGTGTACATGATTCTATGTTGCCTTTTTGTTGTCCGTTTTTTATTTAACAATCACCACACAAATCTTCTAGACACTCCACACACTTGTAAATAAAAGGCATATCTGTTAAATTAAATGATATCTAAGTGGATATTAATTTAACAATTTAATCATTTAAAGCGAAAATAACATGAAAAAGGAGACAAGAAAAATAGAACGAAGCGATGTTGCCGTGTAGATCTTTCTCCATTTAGACATGAATTTTAGATGAATATGAAAAGTTTTTTCGTTTTTATTTTGATAAATTTCTCTTGAAAATTACAGTTACATGAATACAGAAAAAGGTGCGTCAATTTCTGGATGAAAATTTATGCAATCAGAGTGTTAATCAAATTAATATTTTTTATTGATCAAAGCGTCTTATTCACGAATAATTGTCTTAACAAGTTTCATGCCGTTCGTTTATTGAAACGACGCCTCAAGGCCTGCCAATAATGAAATGTAATTAAAAGTTTGCCGAACATCGTGATGAATGCTTTTCTTGTTCTGATCTCTTTAAAACTGGCGCATGTTATAAAAGTGCAACTCGATCACAATTTAACACTTCAAAGACATCATATTTACGAAATAAAAAAACTTGTTTCAGTTCTGGACGTATGTAAATAATTTCTAAGACGTTTTATTCATTTTTCGTAAGAAAAACACAACAACCTGAATATCATCTTAAACAGCTAGTGAAGTACAAGACGCCAGGAGGCAAACAGAAGGAAACGTATTATTTATAACGTGTTAAAAAAAGTTTATTAGATTATATTGAATTGCTTTTGAACATGTAACATTTCTCGTCGTTCGAAACATGATTGGATACCATTTATTATTTTTATTTTTCGCAAATATTCAATGATCAACTTGCAACTGACACTCAATTATCATATTCAGAAGCAGCCAATTCACCACTAACGAATTCTTCCTGGCACCTCCTTTTTTCGGCAAGAGTGAAAACATACATCAAAAAGCAGCAATTTCATGAGCGCACCGGGCATGGAGCGAACGCATTTGTTGTCTTGTTTATAAATTTATTTTCAATTTGAGGGTCGAAGAACAGAAAGAGGGGAATTATAAATGTGCGAATGGACTCTTTTTTTTAACAAGCGAGCGGTCTTTCTGGGCGCGTCATCAGTCGATTATTCAATTCACAAATCGCCAAATGTGTTCGCGAAAACAAAATGTGTTGCTTGTATTCTCTTTCCTTTAATCTCCGCCATATCTTTCAGTTTAAGCAGCTTTGTTAAAGAATGTTTTTAAACAAGTTACGTTCAGGTTTTTCCTCTTTCATATTCAAGCTCATAAACCAGTGAATGTGCGAAAACGCTAATAATGGGGTTGCAATACTCAGTAATAAATGTAAATTTTATCCTCACACCAGTTGCATAACAGGATCTTTAATAACATTTAAAATTTTCTGCAAATTGCATACCAAATCGATTCCATTTGATTGCATTCATGTGCAATGAAAGGTTTGAGTGGAGGGTTTAACTTAAAAATAAAATCACGAAAATAATCGAAAAATATTTGAAATTCAACCGTCAAGAATTCTTCGACATTTTTCTACTTTCATCAAATGAGTGATTTTCAGTGTTTAATCAACAACAAAAACCTTCATTTTTGCTGTTTCCATGCAAGCACAATTTTATTCGATGCAGAAATGCAGGGAAAGAGAGAAACATCAGTTGCAGTCGTAGTGTAACTTGCGGGTAAAAAACAATAAAACTAGTTAGAGTTGGAATTTTATCGCAAGATTCAAATCACTATAAAATGTTTGAAGCCATAATTAACGCCAGTCGACAACAGTAATATCGCTTAATTATGTTGAATGAGAGCAGTTTGCCTTCATCTTACACGACTGCTTTCGATGTTATCTCCGCGTATCTTGTTCAGCTCCATTAAAGCATGATAAGTTCAAAGTTTTCTTTTCGGTTGCTTTTGCAAGGGAGTCAAAACCTATTTTATTAAAATTAAAAATTTGTTCTCTTTATTAGCTTAGGATACTCGATGTATGAACATCGTAACATAATTTTATAGCCTCGAGAATCAAAAGTTCAGCATTTTAAATTGTTTCAGAAACTTTGTATGAGGTTATGCTTTGATTTCGTGATGCTTCAGAAAATATTTTCACATACTTCTCTTGTCTCACCCATTCACTATCTAACGAAATGAACAAACTGTAAAAATTCCATTATGCTACCGCCCTGCGTTCTAACTTAACCTTCGCATGTGGCTTAGAGACCGAGAGTGAGAGAGAAAGAGACTAAAATCACTTAAATTATGGAAATTAGATTCGCCTTCACAAAAGAAACAAAACCAGCAAGAAAAAAACTTATCAATCTCTACTTTATGTCAGATTTATTGCCCATTTTATGTTAGATTGCTTATTGTTTTGTTGAATTGAATCAACGTAGTTGAAATTGTTGTTGTTGTTGTTGCTTTTTCTTTCAGTTTCATTCAATCCAGGTGCTTAAGATATTTCGCAAATGTTGCACTACAAATTTCCAGAAGCAAGATAATGTTCCAAATATGTATGAAGCGAGATCAATAACTCCATTCGCAAAAAAAAAGCAAAAACATCAACAACAACATCATAAACTAGGAACATTCATTCATTTTATAATTCACGTTCGTTGGCTATTGTTTGTGCATAGCATATGAAATTTCCCATAAAGATGTTTATGATCTTACTCGCTGTGGTCTGTTTAAGTTTCAAAGAAACATCATTCATATTGCGGTAAATATTTCAACCAAGAAAGCAAAGAAACTTGATTAAAATGTTTTCAAACAAACACGAGATGTGTTTTGTTGAGTTGAGAGTATGTTAGAGAAAAATGAGATATGTCAATTATGTAAATGATGAAATCACGGAAATGCACGCAGACGAAGACGATTCAAGAGCATACAAAAGAAATTTGAAAGTCAATGTGAAGTTTTTTTTTCTTCCTCGGTTTGTTTACATAACGATTGAAAGTTTGAATGAGAAAAGTTCTTCAAGTAAGATTGCTTAGGTGTGCCGTTGATGTGCGTGTGTTTACAAATGCTATGATGATGATTCATCGATGAAATATCAACTCGGTTCAGCATTAATAAATATCAACAGATTTGATAACATTATAAATTCCAGCATAAAAAATTCAAATTTGAAACTAAATAAAACTTTCAAATATCATCGCAAATATTTATTTTTAAATGCATCACAATGCAGTGGCTTCTATAAATATTTCAGATTCTCTCACATGTGTAGAAATTATGCTCGCGAGTGTATGAACTCACCACAAAGCCAATTAAAGGTGTCAATTGCTGATGCAAACGTTAAACAAATTCTCGTTTATGGAATTTCTGTTTTCTTCTCTCTCTTTCTGCTACTTCTTTGATTCATAAAAGAAACTTTATGTCAATATTTATTAATACAATTTTAAATAATCATAAAAGTTGTAGAAATACTTGAAGCATGTTTTTAAGTGTGATTCCGAGAATTGATATGAAAACTCGTCATGTTAACCTTTAGAATGAACAACAAGACAAAAACATTTATCTCTTCAATGAAAAACTTTATCATCGTCATAGCAAATTTCACAAACGAAGCCTTTCACGAATACGATCAACATAAGTAGAGAAACAAGTCGACAAAAACCCTTCTACGACAAAGACAAAAAAGTGGTACAACAAACAATGTCAATGGCAAACTAATTAATTAATTAGATAGAAGATTTTCTGCCCAAAAAAAAAGTGAATGAAATAACGGAAATCTCGCATCTGCCGCTTTCATTGTACGTTGTGATGAAAAGTCTCGTCTCGTCGTTATCCCTATCATAATCACATTTTATTCATTTTTTCTTTGCTCGCAAAATCCTCATCTTCAATAAGAAAAAAAAACGAGAGTGAGATAATTAATAATTCTGATGAAAAACATAAACAACGTCGCAAAAAAGATGACACAGTCAAATAATTAAAGGACTTTCTTTTTTTTCTTCCATCTCTTCCAAGAAGGCAAAGGAAATGTTTAGATCTGCGGAAAATGTTTGAATCATCTAAGTCTAAATTATAAGTATAAGTAGAAAAAGAAAACATTAAAGTCAACAGAGGTGGCACTTAATTCGTCTCTTTTACTTAGGCAAAAGATAAAATATTTTATAATGTTTAATTAATGACTTTTCTGTCTCTCCATCATAATAAACTTTCCTGCTTTCTTCTCAACTCTTCATGCTATGTAACGATCGTCATCGGATGGTTCATATTTTTTGCGATGGTTTTTGTTTATCACTCGAACCGAGGCTTTTCATAAGCAAATAAAAAAAGAGAAAATGTTGAGGAAAATTATAGAGCATATGACACATTCTAATCATTAATTATCTGCTTCTCATGCTTAATCATATAAAGTTACTACGAGGATAATGGAAAATATGTTTGATGCCATGGGGAATGTAATTTGGGGGCAGGTTTTCGATGATAAAGAAGAGTGACGTGACGTGTAGGGTAGAGAAATGCACGAATCTCATTTAAACTTTAGAATATTTAATTAAAGTGGAAACATAACAAGGAAGAAAATATAATAATAAGAATATGATGAGAGGGTTGTAAAATATGAAAGCATCTACATAAAAGCGTCAAGTTGCAGCAACTAGAAGTAATATTCATGCATGAGCTGTTCTGCTATTCACGAATATTGCTGCAACTTAATTAGTTACTAAGTAATTGCTTTTTGCATTGGTGTAATTACTGCATGCTTAGTGAGTCTCTTAGCAACGTTAAAAGATGTTGATCTTCTAACAAATCATAAATAGAACGTTATCGTATGAAAAGCAGCGAACATCTCAAACTTAAACTCTTTCATTGTTTTCGCAACTATTTATAAAGATGAAAATTTATAACGAACATGAAACTTCTTAAATGGATGAAATTTCTCATCGTTAAATGAAAACAATTTTGACATTACGACGCCACAACGGAAGCAGGATAAATTGAAAGAAAAACATGTCAAATGCAATGAAGAAAATGTAAATTGCGATACATTGTTTGTTTTCCCATTAAGAAAATTGAAAGAGTAATGTATCTGAGGGGTTTCTGTCGTTTTATTCTCTCAACGTTGACTTGTTTTTATAATTCTCAAGTGTAGTGAAGATAAGTGAAGAGAATATTTTCATGTGGTGAAGTTTGGATAAAGATTTTTCTGGTTTATTTCTTCTTAATAGTTGAGAGAAAGTTTAAGAAGAAAAATGATGAACTCTTGAGGTCTTCTATATTGATGAATCAGTTCTCGTTACATTACTTCTTAATACTCATTCCAAAACTCAATCTGTCGGCAGAAAAAATTATCACATTGAAAGTGACACAATAACAAAAGAGTGCATAATGTTTATTCAACAAGAAATTAATTATACTTTGAATGTTCTCAGCTCAACAGTAAATAGAGTGGAAAACAGGGAGAATGAAAAGAAAAACAATTTTCAATGAAATCACGTGGCGTTAATGGAATTTTCTTTCTGATTTTTTTTTCTATTCATCATCAAACTCCACTCTCGAGAACTCTATTATGCAACACTTCTCGTCGATTATGACAATAACGCTTCCAATCCCAAAAAAAATATGATTTATGTGTCGCTGAATGTGATTGTGAGTTAAACAAGAAACTTAGTTTGTGTTTCAGAAAGTTTTTCATTTCCATAACATTTTCCTACATGCAAACAGAGGAAAACATGCAAAGACGGCTGCTGAAACGATTGGTGTTGTTTATTGATGTCGTTTTCAATGAACATTACGCGATGCCATTCGATAAGCGAATTTCAATGATGTCTGAATGAAATTTCGGATATCGGAAATCAAGTCACGTTGTTTATCAATGAAGATTTGGTTGAAAACGTTTCGATTTTTGGCAGAGAAATTTCGAAAATAAAATTCTCGTATTGCGAATTTACGATTGTCACTTGAATTGAACTGTTGATAAGAGAATGCGATGAGATGAGATGGCACTGAAATGGAAGCATTTTAAACTGACGACATTACTTCCTGTAAAACTTCTATCCAATATGATACTTCTCCCTTTTACTGAATCATAAAAAGATGTTTAATATTCTCGTGGGGAATCGGAAGGAGAATAGTCTCAAAATTATTTTCCACCCTTTTCCTATCGCTCATCTCACACCCCCACCGTTATTGATATCAAATTACATGAAATTCCACTCCTCAAATATTTCTTTACTTTGATTTTTCAGTCAGCAGCCTTGCAAATAACTTTCTGAAGACAACAAAACTTTGTCCCACATTTTATGTCCCCCCTTTTACGTTCCACCCACGTTTCATTTACAACTGGTATACATTTGTATCCGACAACATTTTCAAACAAGAGGAGACGAAAAATCCTAAAAATGTGACGAGAAAATAACACAAAAATCAAATTATATAACTTATGTTTCAATGTTTCATATTCTTCGTCTTCTCTTTTCCTTTTCATGGCTTCTCTTACTCAACTCTGTCGTCAAAGTCATTTATCTGGTTGCGAAGGGAGTCAACGGTGGGGAAAATGGCTTTCTTCTTTCTTCTCTTGTGATAAAAACAATTCTTGTTTCATTATGTCACATTACATTGAGAGTGACAATAGCGGACAAGCTCTTTTTGGAGTTGGGAGGTGGTTCAAAGATATTTCCACTCTTATCAACAAAAGTCCATGACAAAAGGTCCATGGTTAGCTTGCTTAGTTGATGGAAGAAAGGAATTTTTATGACAAAGAATATTTTCATCATGATGAAGTTCACAGCGTTAGTAATTACAAAGATTTGTTCAGCAATCATTCAAAAATAAAACTGAACAAGTTCCTTGCCTTAATTTCTGTCTAATATTCTTCTTTGTTCATATGCCCGAGGTAATTTCACATTGTCACAGTGATTTGCCGATAAGCATATCACCTAAAAATTACTCAATGACGACATTCAGCTTACTGAATGTCAACTTATTGTTTTTGCCTTGTGACAGTTGCTCTGCTTTTTCAATTTCATTAGCACGAAATTCTAGTAGGCCAATAGAACTCAATGAAATTTAAATTTCGACTGCAGATATGGAGATGTATTTGGAAAACAATTGACACATAAATTTGTCATTCGGATGCTGAATACTCGTAAATAATGTCACATGGATTGTTGAACAAACGGAAACATTTAGAGAGTTGAGATGCTTCCGTGACATTCTTCTCGAAAATTTCCATTTCGGCAACTCGTTTAAAAGAAAATTTATTCAACACACAAAATCCGGCATTTTCTCATTAAATCGTCATGAAAATCACTTCAATGTGATTGTGTTGGTATTTTTCATTTTGTTTTGCGGAAGCATAACGCTAGAAATCACAACAAAACATAAAAGTCGTCATACATAAAACATTAAATCGATTTCCAAATATTTGCTGCATATTTTCGTGAATATTTCTTTTCAAACCTTTGGGGCAATCATTTATTTAGAATTGCAATATGCAATCGTACATGAATAGTGGCAGAACTGATGTATGCAGGTGTTGAAACTTAATTTATGGAATATCAACTTTACTTAATCGATTTAAATCGAACGTAACATTTTTCATATCATTTGATGCAAATTCCGAACCACCCATGATTGTATGCAAATAAGAAATGCATGCGTAAGTCGACATTTCTGCATCTATTCAATCAATTTATTTATCTAAACATTTGCTTTAGAAAATTCATCGGTTTGTATGACTTAAAAATTTAATTCAAAGTTATCTTTGGATATCTATGCACATTCTCATTGCATATTTATGTAGATGTACAGAAAATATTTTTGTTATGCTTTTCTTTTTTTTCATATATTGCGCAACATAAAAATATATGCAAAACATGCAAAGTGGCATAAATAAATCGGAAAATGAGTATACAACTATAAATTTGTTTGGATATTGAATACATTAAAATAATTTACTGATTATTTTGATTTGTTGCTGTTTATTTTATTTTTTCATATTCCTGACATGCACTTTGAATATGTAATGAAATATTCTGATTGATGTTACATATTGACGTTAATGTTGATTGAATAAACCTTTTTGATCACTTTCAACGTCACCTTGCAGATGATTTCGATCATCTAATTTACTTTTTGTCTTTCGTTATCAAAGTGGAATCGGAAGACCACCCAACAGAAGCTAACATGCTTTTGAAAAATTGTTTTTATTTCTCTTTATTCCTCGAAATTGAAATTCAAAACCTTAGAAGAAGGAGATAAATTTTTAATTCTAAAAATTTATTACAGCAGTAAGTTTTCAAATGCACATCACATACACACACAAACAGAAGACCTTTTCAAAGGTTATAAAAAACATAACGATGAATGGCAAAAGGGACATTAATTTATTCATTTCTTATTCCAGTCGAGAAGCCACGAATGGAAAAAGGATTTTTACACCTGAATAAAAAGAAATAAAAGAATTTTGATATCATCGCGAGGTAACGCACAACGATTCTCGTTTTTATCTCAACCCATCTTGTTGATGTCTTGTTTGTGCGTGGTTTGAACCACCAAAAATCTCATCATTCGTGATGGAGAAATTAAATTTATGGTTTCTATCGCATTAACATAATTCTTCTTACACTTTTTTTTGTTTCCAAGAAACATATTCGCCTCGTATTTTATTTTATTTATTTTCTTTTATTTCTCTCCCTACTTTGAGAAATATGTACGTGAATATGTTCGGTGCGTTATGTATGCTGAATCATAATGCATGATGTTGTAATGTGAATATGAAACAAAGCAGTGCAGTTGTTTGGATGTTTTCCTTTCTTCTAAATGAAATTAAATGTCAGATTTGAGTTTCAATTACAATTCTCGCATAGAAGACGCCTTCAAATGTTTTAGTTTCAATGTTATTTCAAATTACATTTGGAAGATATCATAAAGGTAATTGAAAAGTTAAAAGGAATTTTAATTGTTTAAAAGCTTTGTTTGTAGCATAAGTTCACATGATTCACCTGAAAATATATTTGACTCTACATCCCTGGCCTTAATATTTTGTTTCTTTTTTTTATTTTCATGTGAAAAGGTCTTCTTCATCTGACTCGCATGTTTTCCTACCTTCCGAGCACTGCGAGACAACAACCTAAATAACAGATTCTTCTCTCAGTCCCATAAAACTATAAAACATATTAAAAAACCCCGACAGAAGGAGAATATCGTCATGAAGCGAATGAGAAGCGAGTTGTGTGTGCCTTGCGATGCGCATTTAAATTTCAAGACTCGTCTCCATCATCTTGCTTGTTGTTATGTTCTCTCCGTTTATTTTATTTTTTTGTTTTTCGGGATGGTGTCGCATATTAACGTGGAAATTGTATGTTCTTGTCTTGAAATTGGTTGTTTCTTTTGGACTCTTTTTGGCTTCTGGTTTGTTACATCGTCGTGAAAGAAATAAATTAAAATTCTTTATTGTTATGAGTAGCATTTATTCTCTCTCTAACTTTCGAGGATGATTCGAGACTCAAACAACTTCATGCTTAATAAGTTTATGGCATCTCATCTCTCGCAATCTACAACGCGATATCATGAATTTTAAATGAGATTCTGCTGCTATAGTGTTTTCATCTTCAGATATATCCTCCGAAATATTTGCACTCAAAACATGAAAATTTAATCGTGAACAAATGCAATGAGATCTATTTCACGTCCCTTTTTTGATATTCGCGCTCACTGGTGTCATCGTGAGTTTTAACATTGCGAAAGGTTAAGATTGTTATGTCGTTTGATCATAAAGGGAATAATAAAACGAGCTTCAAAATCATCGTCAACAAATATACATAAACAAATGGAAACTTCCTCGTATTTTATGTTTTAAGTCGTCAGTTTTGTAATTTTACAATTTTTGTTTTATCGAAAACTCCCTAATGATCACCAATTCAATGTTACGAGTTTCATTTGGGCAACATTGTCAGTGCTTTTATTTTATTTTATTCTTCTTTTTTTACTTTCATCTCAAACTGATTTCATTTACTTCCAATTCGCAGAAGTTTATCTTTAGGTTTGTCGCTCGTTCATTCTTTCCCTCACTTTATTTAAGCGGGATTTTGACAAATTCTTTTCATCGTTTTATTTTTAAGAAAACTTGCAGAAAAAAAATATGCGCACATGCACCATAAACGGCGATGCTGCACGTTAAGTGGAAGTTCAGAGACTTAAAGTAATTGCTTTAAAAGGTATTCGGTAAAAAAGGGAAAAAAGATAAGCGATACACGCTTAAAGCTTACACGGTAAAATTGCAGGTAAGAAAAATGATTAAAGAAAAATATTTACGATTACATTCTTTAGAAATTTTAATATCTTGAAGGCTGAATAGTCTCGTGAAATGCCCTTCATCATCATAAAAATATCTAAGAAATTATCATGACGTAAACAAAATCGTGTATGCCGTTTTAAAGGCCTTGCGCGTATTTATTTCTCACACAATTCAACAAAATTCACTATAACTTCCCCAATTGTAATCAGAATCTTTAAGAAAACGAAACAACAACAGCAATGAGATTGGCAAAGTGGACATTTTCATTTAAAATTCAATTCACTGTCGGTGTTGCTTTTCGTGTGTTCTTTTTTTTACTTCTCGTGGCATTGCAATGGCAATTCTTGAGCTGTTTTTTCTGTGTTTGATAAAATGTCGATTGATAAGCTTACAGCTTTAATTATGCAATTAAATTGGCAGGTAGAAGAGATGACACAACATTCTCATGTGCTTCTTATTAGTTGCACATTTAGCAATGAAGTAAAAAAAGTGAAGAATGATGTTGAGAAAAATTTCAAGGAAAATTAAGTTTGCGTTTTTATTTACGCGCAAAACAAACCCAGAAGTTGTTAAATTTTGTGAGCACTCTCTTCATGAATTCTTTTTCGATTACAAATACCTAAATTTGAACTTCTCTTTTGTTTGTTTTCAGGCAATTTTCCCTTTGAACGGCAATCGACAGACAAGGTTGGATGTTATCACATTGATGCACGCAAACCTTAAGCAATTTCAACTTCAATTGATTGAAAAGTGATTTGGGACTTGAAAGTTTGGAATTTTATTTTATTCTCAAAAATATGCATAAAGAAGGCGATGCAATAGAAAGTTTAAATCGTTCTCATACATCCGAGATTAATGTTACAACAATTTTTAAATATCTGATACTGATCAGTGTCTTGTTGTGGTTGAAAAGAATATTGTATGTCAAAATATTGCATGTTTTATATTCTTTTTATACCTTTTTTAAGTAAGCAGCAATAAAAAGAAAAAGCAGAGAACCTCCCGAAAAAAATAATGTAACAAAACAAAGAAACATCTCAAGACTTCGTTATCTATCACAACCTACATAAAAAGAGAAATATTTCGTTCCACTAGTCTTTTCATTCCCCGAGTTGCTCGCTTTTTGTTTTTTGCGTGCAAGATGCATCTTGCCATCGCCTTGCGTTTTTAAAAACCTTTCAAAATGAGAAGGAAAAAATGCTTTCAAAGAAACAGTTTAACAACTGCTCGAGCTGCTGAAGAATCGACAAGGAGAACAAAGGAAGAGTTTATTATTGTTATGTTCATTTTCTTAAGTAAAAGTTTCTTCTGCTGCCTTCCTCACAGTCTTACAGAAAAAAGATTCTTTATCATCTTTGAATCTTAAAGCAAATACTATAAGAAAAAAAATTGAATGAACAATGTTGCTTGTTTTCCGTCTCTGACTCTTTCGAAGAAATTGCGTTTTTTGGGCTTTTTATTCGCGATTTGGGATGTGATCAAATAGGTGCTGATAAGAAGCAGGTATTTAAGCTTGAAATCAACAAACAGAGAGAGAAGAAAGCAAAAAAAAAAAGGCTAAAGGAAGAAGCTGTAATAAATTCGATAAAATAAACTTAACGCGAGCCCAAAAGAGACGTTTGCCAAGTCAATGAGAATGCAACTTAACATAAAGTTTGCTTTCAATAGCAACCCAGGAAAGGTAAACAACAGGCGAACTTTGAATGATCTTATGCTGTGCATGCTGCAGATGTTCATTTACTGGGTTGAATTCCGACTTCTAACTAAATTCTCTCACTGAATACTAAAAAGAGACACAAAAGCCAGCATAAACATAAAAAATTCAGAAACAATAAATAAAACGATTCACAATCATAAATTAATGTGCAGTTTTAACTTTCGAGAGCTCACTTTTGAGAAAAAAGATTTATTTTCCGCCTCGCGAGTGCATAAGCGCTTTTTTCCATTCCCGTCTCGTTTATTTTGTTGTTTTGTCGTTTTGCTTTCCTTTGGATGTTTGCGGCAAAGTCTCCAATTGATTGCCAAAAAATAAAAAATAAAAACGCAAATGATGGCAAAGAAGAAGTCACAAACACAGAAACTTTCGATTTTTTGTTCCAGACATCACATAAATTTTTTAAGCGATTTAAGCTTGACAGTTAATGAAAGAGTTTGCAAATAAACTAGCGAAAGCTAACAAAATAATAAGCAAAGTTGATAGAAATTAAGTCTCTTCAATGAAGATAGTCAGAGGTGATACCTTTTTCGTTTTAATGTGCAGTCATGGGAAAGTTTAGTTTAAGTGAATTTCGCTATCCGTCCACACATGATTAAAAATTAAATTTCACCATCCAATGATGTTGTGTTCATTTAAATTTATGTCTCCACATTCAGATCATAAATTTTTCTCCTTAGGTTTTCCTTGGAGCATTTAGCATGAAAGGAGAGAAAAGAAAAAGAATTCATTGATTTATTTATTAACTGATTTTTATCGCTCATTTGATCATCAACGAAAGATCTTCGACTACATACAATCCAATAAAGTAAGAAAAGGGAACAAAAAAATTCTCTTTGAGCAAAACAAATTTCTTTGCCTTGAAGACTTTTGAAAGCGGGAAAAAAATTAAGAAATATTTCTTCATCCAACAGATCGATCTGTGTTTTGTGATAATTTACTGATGTCAATGTCGGATCCTCTTTTTCCACGAAAATTCCATCATGCGAGCTCAACAAAACTGTGGTCAGTAAATTTATTCGCTTCAACTGCATTTTTGAAATTTCAAATGAAAAAGAATAAAAAAAATCCGTGAACATTCATCGGCAGCCAAGAATTGTTTAGTTTATTAAGAAATAAAATTTAATTTTTAAACGTGGCCATTCGGTTTATGACTTGAATATTAAAAAGTTCATGGTCTTAAATACTTCTGAGACGTCTTCAACGACGATTGAATTCGTATTTCAATTATTAACAGAAGCTTCAAGTTCATTACTTTAATTATTTTAATTACAATTAATTTATCTCTTCGTTTTTGTCTCTTCTTTCTCAGTTCCAAGATCAATAAAATTTTGGTATTGATCGATAAAAATAAAATTGAACTTCATACCAACGCAATGATGACAAATTTCATAAGTTTATTTCATTGGGATTGGGTCGTCTCTTATGTTATTCTTCTTCTCATCATATTGCAATTTCATTTGTGAAGTTAGATATGATAAAAGCGAATTTTTCAACAAAACAAATACCTAAAGAGTCTCTTCACAAAATAATATAAAATTTTATTAATGTTTTTATGATTTTTATCATCACAAAAAAATCCCCTGCAAGTTTGCGCAAGCATGCGAGGGAATTTTTTCCTACCTGAAGTATTCATTCTATTTTCTGTTATATTTTTTGTTTAAACATTTATGTTATTGGGAATCACAACAGACGAGAGGTGTATGAAAGAAATCGTAAAGATTTTCGGTAAGAAAAAACTAACAAACTTCACTCAAAACAACTTCCCTGCCTTTTGCTGTTGGTTCATTGTTCACTTTTGTGTCGAAATCATAGAAAAGTTTTTAAGCAAACAATTCACTCCTTCAGCATTATTTTTGCAGCTATTGCAATAATTTAAGATTGAGGAAGCCCACCGATCAGTGTTCATGCCCTCAGGATGACATTCATCCATCTCTCTCACAGCATCATATCTTTATATCTTTCTTCAAAAATATTCTTTGATTACAAAGGAACGAAAGATGCTCATTCATTTTATGGCTTCTTAAGAATCCCCAACGCTAAATATTCCCTTGTCGATGCACCAGTATGAAGACAATCGAGCTATTGTCATTAAAAAAAAGAAGTTAATGCTACTCACACATTGCCAGTATCATCTAAAAGATCCCTTTTATGTCATTCATCGCTTTGTTGTGGAGAAGCAAGAAGAATTGGAAACTAATTCGTTAAAATTTTTTCTCCTTCTCATTCATTTCTTTCTTCAGTTCACTTTGTAGTGAAGTGAAATAATTCATAATCGCTAAATGCACAAAAAAAAAACATGAACAGCAGTTAAGAAAATGATGATTGAACTCTAAGGGAGAAACTGGTTAAACATTTCCCAAGAAATAAATGTCTTTGCTGTCAAGGGGAGGTCTACATGGTTCAATGAATCTTCTTACAATTTTTCTTGAAATCTTCATCCCTCAGTAAAAGAAACTTTCTGCGTGATTTGTGGACAGTCATCGTTTAAAAGAAGATGTCACAGTTGCTAAATTATCTTTCCAACTATGCTTAGACTTATCTCATGACGTCACTTGATGATGAAATGAAAACTTTTCCCGTCGTTTCCTTCTGTGAAACTTCAACTTTGCTTTCAAAAAACCAGAGAGAAAAATCATTTGTTTTTATCTTAAAAAAAAATAGCAAGAAAAGAAATTTTCTTGAGACATTTCGAATGACGCAAATAGCAGAAGATTTCACTCTTGTACATTATTTTGACATCCCATGCCACCCTTTAAGAAGCGACTCTTGAAAACTAAAACCAACTGTTGTTTGAAATTTGTTTCGTGCACATTTAATCCATCAAACTTTGTAATCATCGAAACAACGTGGTAAGAGAGCAAAAACACATCAACAACTGTGTACGAGATGAGATTCACTCCATCGAAGCAGAAGTAATTCGTCTTCATCTCAACAAGGCAGATGAGTAAGTAAATATGTTTACCCCGAAAAAAACAAAAAACAGAAATATACAGAAAGAAGCAAGGAAGCCTCGTAGTTCATCTCAAGGCTTTTTCCGACGGTAATTTCATTTCATCAGCAAAAAAAGAAAGAGAGTAAAATTCCGTTTCATCTTTGTCTGTTGGCTTTGGTTTCTTCAAGAACATAAAAAGCAGTCAAGAGACGATGACAAAAATAATTGAATCCCATGGGAGGAAAGACGACTTGAAAGCAAATATTCTTCCTTAATTTTATCGCGATCTGACGGCGGTTTCTTGCTTCCATGCTTAAAAGCCAAACGTTGATCATTATTGAATTAATTATGTAATTTGATGGCCACAGATCGAACGAACGATGACGATGCCCCACGATTGAATTGAAACGTCTCTTCCGTTAAATGCGATATGCTTTAAAGACATTGACAGATATTTTTCTTCAGCTTCTCTTTACAATTCGATTTCATTTAATTCATCTAAACACAAATCAGTGCCCTGAAATGCGAGCATGATTGATTGCGGAGGCAAGTGAAGGCTTTTTTTTTTTCTTCATGAGCATAACTTCAAACATTCGGATGAAGGGAATGCGCCTCCCTGAACTACAACAAATACGATTGTTGTATAAATATTTTTATTAATAATTATCTACCGCATACCATTTTTCGTCGATTTGGCATTTTAATATCATGTGCACGTTTATATTTACGCGCCACTTTAACTCATTCGCTGCTGGTAAATCAACTCAACTCTCCATCAACGTTCAACTCAACCTCGAAACAAATTCAAAAAGGCGAAGACAAAATAAAAGATCACATGCAATTGATCTCTTCTCGAACCTCTTACGTTGTTGTTGAGATTTCGTGTGTTTCACGTTGCACACACCATGCTTTACTGCTCTAATTAAAGTCGACTTTGTTTTGATCGAATGTATCAGACATAAGGAAAAATGTACAACACAGTCAATCATTGGAAGTTGAAATTAAAATTCAATCTCGTAAAAAATTGAATATTACGTGTATCAGTCGTACGGGCGATTAATTGACAATGAATTTAAGACACCACATTTTGCCTTGAGCTCTCAGTTTCTCCCGCCCAGTGAAAGCAAAAGTTTACTTTTTTTTAACTATGTTATACTTGTGACTGGCAAGTCCATTAATTAATATACAAAAGCCTCTCGATTGTAGGTCTAGTTAATATATATTAAGTATTAACCATTACCTAGTATTACCTAATTCCATTTCAATTTGAATTATGCGGCGAGAAAACGATATGACCAAACAAGAAAAAAGCGAATGAAAGACGTTTGACGATTCAGGTCAATGAATGAAATGGCAGAAAAATTGTTTGAAATTATTGCGCTTTACATAGCAGGTAGATTGTGTCCAGTCTGAAAAGTTTCAACAGACAATTTGATTTTTAAGATTTTATTTATTTCTTTTTTGTGGAGGTCAAGAAGGAAAAATGCTTAAAAATCGACATGTCATGCTTTGCACTGGTTTGGTTATGGTCCCTGCTTTAGAGATAGATTGCGGTAATTACAAGTTAGCATGTCATAGAGTCTATGCAATCGAATTGATCTCATGGTTAAATTATTCTACTGCTGCCATTCAAATTCTTGTTTAAAATCAACAAAAGTCTAGATAATTAACAATCAAACTATGCATTAATTTTTCATCAGAATCTATCGCGGAAATTAAAAGCTTAAATCAAACATTTAACATTCCGTCGCACATGTTGATCGACAGGAGAAAAGGAATCGAGTTACCAAAAAAAAAAAACTTAAAGCAATTAATAAACGTGTCGTATGTGAGAAAAATAAAATCAATATAATTTCAATCAAACAACAGATTGTGACAAAAAACGGCAACTGTCGAATGATTTCATGAAAAAAGAGTTGAGTTAATTAATTTTAAAGACCATGTCGCGAGCGAGGTGTAAAAGCCGCGCTCTTTTGCTACACAACATTTATAGCATTAAATCTTGGGGTAAAGTGTCGATTGTCGACTAAGGCTGGAATTTAATTGGGTATTTAATTAATTACTTAGGCACTTTTTCAAGGAAATTCGCTGCTCGAATTTCGTATGGAAATTTGTGGCACTTGTAACATATAACGCGCGCGCGAATCGAATAAAACTTTTAATTCAAAATTGTAATAAATTAAATTAAGTAATAAAACGTACGATGAATAAAACTCTGCTATTGTTAAAGTTCTTTTTTTATTATTATTTTTTTCTTCCAAAGGTACTTAAGATCGGTTCAAATCTTAATTCGTTGTCGAAGGTTACTCAATTAATCAGCAGAAAAATTGCTGGCGTCTTCCAATCAACTTCGTTGAATCAACACGGAAATTTTGTCAGGATATTTAATTCAAGATCTTTGAATCGAAATATTTTCGACTTGACTTGTTAACGCTTTCAAAGTAATGAAAATTTCACGCCAACAAGCAACGATATCTCATGAAACATGAATAAAAGTAAAATAAATTGAATGAAAAAAACTCTCAACAATTAACGTCATCGTCTTGTCGTCTCCAGGAATTGCCACGCAAAAAAAGAAAGAAATTAAGTAAAAGACAATTTTATTTTATCACATTTTCCTGTTAAAGATTCTTTTAGTCTTTTACCATCAACAAATATTATCTTTCCTTGTTTGTTTACTCAGCTCCACTCGTCTGAGTCGATTGAAAACGAAAAGACTTTGCTTATCAATTTCCCATCTCACATGCGACCGATCATCATTAAAACATAAAAGGTCATTTTCATGTTAAATATTCTTCCATTACTTCTTTCTTCTCATCCTTCCTGAATTTATTTGTTATGTTGAGGTAGCGACGAGTGCAAAAAATTTGTGCGTTCTTCTGCAGTCGCGCGAGACGCAAATAATAAAAAAGAAAAAAACTTGCAATCGCATTTTCAATGTCGTTGAATCATGTTTTGCAACGATGCAAAAATTGTTAACACAGAGATGTCACTTGAGGCATGACTGTGAGCGTTTAAGCTTGATAATTGCAAGATGAAGAATATCAAGTGACATCACTGATCAACTATTTATTGCTACATTATCTCGATGCTTTAATTCACGTTCAGTTCGTTGGTTGTCTCCTCGTGATTTCTCAGTTTTCTTCATTCTCTGTTGGCATCGTTGTAAGAGACACAGCGAACATCCACTTCTGTTGCTGATGTGACAGACATGACAGGTTAAGGTGAAAAATAATGTTAATTTTTCTCTTCTTCGCATTCATTGAATGTAGTTGCGGGGTTTTTGAAGAAGAATCCAAGAACCTTGCACTTAACAACCTTAGAAGTGAACAAAGCAAGATGATGGATCATTGGATTGAATAATAAATGATAAGGATGTGTGATAAATTTTTGCAATCTTCACGAGCGTATGGAAATTTCTTTTCCGTGCATGTTTTATGTTCATTGATATGCAAAATTGGGGTCAATTACTGAAGGCTATCAACGCCGTTTTATCTGATCAAAAAAAAAAGGGATTCGAATTAATTCCCATGCGCGATTGTTTACTAACATGAACAAATGAAAAGTGCAATTTATGCGGTTTTCGTTATGAAAATTTCCAATGAAATTATTCTTGATTCTCGTTACATTCTGAAGATATGCAATCATTTTTTATAGTCTCATCAAACATAGTGTTAATATGATGATAAGACATTAATTGAACGGATTTTTAATCTGCTTTTGATTCGAATTATTTCCAAACGAGTTTAGTAACTAACCGGGTAGTGTTGAATGCGGATCGAGGTTCATTTCGAGCTGACATAAAAAAAGGTTTTAATGAAAAAGTTTATTTAATGTTCACTCTGAATCTACTAACATAATAATTATATTTCTTGCCCACTATCAACCGTCTTATATTTAATTGCATTATAATAAGTTTATGATGGAAATTTTTTTTCATTTCATTTCATTCTGAAGTTGTTTACGACTTCCTGCAAGCACTAAAGTGTCGCTCCTGGCACGTCTTTGCGCTTTTTTCAGTTAATGCCTAAAGTAAACTCAATCTGGAAGAAATCTCTTTCGCTATTCAGACATAGAAAGGTTGAGGGAGAGAAATTTCTGTTGCTACTGGTTCTGATGCTATTTCTGCTGCTGCCGGTTTTTAAGAATGAGAAGAAAAACAAATAAAAGCACACGTTGTACGTGATTTCACAATTTTTCCCTCAACATTCTTGAATGTCTCATTTTAAGTAAATTTTAATTTTTTTCCACTCAAGCCTCACTCGCTTGTGTTTGACAAACATTTCAAGCTCTGGTAAAGAGAACAGAAAAGAAGAAAAAAAAATTATGATTGAGTGAGGAAAGAGCGATGTGTAATGTGTGCTTGGAATTATGCAACATGTTTGCGATTCAATTTCGTTTTCGGTTTCGAGCCACGAAATTCTTTTTTGGTGAATTTCATGGTGAATGGTTGAATGTCTCGATAAGCAAACTCGAATGTGCGTGTGTAGATTGAGAAAATGTGTCAAGAAAATTTTCCTTTGTTGGTTTGAGGAACGCAACATTGCATAAATATCAAATATATGTTGATATGAAGAATATTTCATCTCAATATTTTATGCCTTAACCCAAGAAGAATTGAAATGCGCTCACAAGCATAAATCGAAATCACATTTCACCAAAAAATTTAATTTCACTCAAAAACATGCTACGACTCGATGGATTTTAATTAAATTTCTGCTTCCTCGAGTGCTTAATTCATCTTTCGTTTGACATTTGAATTGTTTGCAGTTTTTCGTTGTTTGCTCCATAAAAAAGAGAGAAGGAAAAAAGATTGAATAGCGAATTGTCACATGCCATGGGTTGCATAATATTTATAAATTGAAAATCGTGCAGCGATTTGGCCAGCGGCAAAAGGAAAAAAGCGAACGCGAACAGATCCCAAAAATTAGATCATAAACCGCAAAATTAAATTTCGTATCGAAATGTCTCATTGTTTGATCAATTCTGTTGACTCTTTTTCGTTGGATCCACGATCGCAATTAATTAATTTTTTGGATGTGAAAGCCACGTTTATTGTGCATGTGAACAGCGAGTCGGCATTTTCCACCAAACCATGAACGGAGCGAAGTTAAAAGTCCAAAATTTCTTTAATCATCGAATGAACTTCATTGCAGTATTTTTTGTATTCCATTTCGTTGACATTTCTAGTTTTTCATTTTGACACAATTAGTTGTTCAATTGAATTCCGCTTTCAGATTCATTCTTTCAACATCTGAGTATTCTCATTCTCGTTTAATTGACTTAATAAAAAAATCTGTTTTATTTTCTTTCCCTTTCTATTCTGTTGCTTTTTTATTTCCATGTAACGAGACATTATCGTCGTTGAGTAATCGAGGGATGAGATGTACGGATGAACGAATCTATGCATTGTCATATGATAATTGATGACAAAGCTTCGTCCATTGCTTGAAAAAGTTTCATAATTCTTTCGGTTTTGTTAAATGTTCTAAAGCGAGAAAAGAATTTCAATATCATCTGCTCATGCTCGTTGTTATCGTTTATGTGCTGTTTAGGGAATCGTTGAAAGAAATCAGAGAAACTATAGATTATTATTAACAACCAGTGACACATTCACCATTTCAACTAGACAAAGATACCCGTTAAAGTGTTCAACTTGAATCAAATTCATACTTTCCTTTATGAGAAACTGAAAATATATAACAAAAGTTTCATTTGTGACAATAAATTGACATTTACCAATACATTGTCTCTCATTTAGTAAGAAAAATGGAGAGATACGAAACTTTTACTGACTTAACTTTAATGAAAACAAAACACATCGCACAATATCTAATCGAAACTGTCAAGAGTTGCATGAAAGAAGAAGAAAGAAAAGATCTGAGGAAGTTGAATAAAAAGAAGCAATTGAGATGGTTGAATTTATAAAGTGCACGTTTCGAAACGAAGAGTATAAGTGTAGGTGGTTCATAAGACAAAAGACAATTGACGAAATGAAAAGAAAGAAAAGCTTTTAACGGATAAAGTTTCAACATGTGCTTATTTATAAAAAGAGTAAGTTGACATTCATTATGTTGTGTAAGAATTTCATGTTAAGCTTTGACTCTTATCTGAACAGCGCAAATATCGTCAAATGTCACTTCGTACTCGACTCCAATTAATTTGATTTTCGCTACGAGAACAGATAAATATAAAAAAAAAGAACAATAATAAAAAGAGTATCGACGAAATAACATTCTTTTGATTGATGTTTCGTTTCGATATTTCTTTGAGATTGGATCAAAAAGATAGAAGACGAAGGGGGAAAACGAGATGGATTCGCATTAAGATTTGATGGAGTTCTGAATTCTTCTAATTTGATTTTCAGAGAATGTGAAGCCTTCGAAGAATGTTGCGAACGAAATTGAAATCGATTTGCATGCTGTCACCTCTGGACCGTCTCCCATCAATCTCGGATGCCGAAAAAGAGAGTATAAATGTATGAAGGAAATTTATCATCATTTTTATTAATAGTTTTTTTTATGATACGGCAATGCAGGGAAGTTGAATGAATAAATATAGCTATTCATGGAATAAAAGTCTGATAATCGTAAACTCTGCGCATATTGCAATAAATAAAACACCCGAGAACATTATTGGTTTTCTACCAACCAACTTTCGCTTTCGTTGAACACGCATTTCTTACGAAAGCACTTTTTTCCGTATCGAAGCTTCATACATAGTCAGTTCTGACTAAGCTCACTTTTACATAAAAACAGCCGATGAGAAAATTGATGATTTTTCCATTTCCATTCATAAATTGATTGCCTCAGCATCGTTTGGCGAGACCTCACTGTAAATAATGTAATTTATTTTTATTGATGGAATGTCATAATTTTTATTTAATTTTGCTTCTTTTCAATTCGAACAGAAAAGCATTTTTTTTTCTTTTGCTTGCGCTTCGATTTGCTGCTTCATCATTTTATGCCAATCTACGACGCGAAAGCATATAAACAACAACATGAAGAAGAAGAAATGCGCTTGGCGTAAGACAGAATCGACATGAGAAAAATAAACTGAATGCTTTTGAAGAAAGAAATTGAAGATTCTTAATTGCTTGCTGAATTCTGTGAATGATGTCACATCAGGAGTTACATTCTAAATAACGTTCATTGCCTTAATTAAAGTGACATTAAATAAATAATTGATTGACGCATCTGTCCTTGCTTCTGGTCTTGCGAATTTTTATTATTTTATTTTCATCATAACATCAAGTATTGACAACAAAAAAGCAGAAGATATTATTAATTCAATTCTACAAATTTCAAATAATTTTTATTAAATATTTTACGATACCGCTTTGGGCATTTTTCTGTCTTCAAATTTTTTATATTAATTTTTGTTCTTCATCGTTTTGTTAATGCTTTTATGACGAGCTTGAGGCCGATGAAAAGACGACAGTTTTTCATTTACAAATGGCTGTTTGGGTGGATGATTATAAAATTTCTGAGCTTTGAATTGAGCTGGTCAATAGCCCAGTGTACAGTTAGAAGTACTTTCATAGGACTCAGTAATAAATGAAGATTCAATGGAGCGAAGCTATGGGATAGCGTCGAGCAGAATGGTTGGAAAAGATTAAAACTTTGCTCGTAAGAAAATTTTCCTTTCGTCGAAATAGCTTTCATTGCTGAACATTCACCGGGGGAAAGGAATGATGATGATTTCATGGTTTATTGCAGGATGGATTCAGGGCTTTCCATTCTTTTATAGCTGTGAAGGCGAGCCAGTAAAGTCCCGGAAAACCCTTTACAAAATGTTATGAAAAGCTCGCCTCAGACTTCCTTAACACTCAAATTCAAACAGCTACATTGAAGTCGCATTGTAATAACTTTACTTTTATTAAAAGGCACCAAAAAATGGAAAAGAAAGAGATTCCACAATGTTCCTTTATTAAATGGAAAGAAATCCGTTGAATGGGAAGACAATAAAAAGTAAATTGCTGCGGAAAAGTAAACCCCTCATTTAGTAAGCAAAGCGAATGAGAAAAGGCCGGAAAAGTTTAAGCCATAAAATATTTAAGTTGATGGTGCTTTGGCATTAAAATCAATTTGTAGATTTTTCTTTTTGCTTCTTCTTTCGTGTGCTCATTCATCAGCTGTGCGGCCCTTGATGAGCTTCAGTTCATTCGTTTCGTTTTGGCCTAAATGATTCCCATTTTTCTCCGAATCACTTTTCTCACTTTGCACGTTGTGAGTCGACCTTTTCACGGCCACAGCAGGGGATTCGATAGTCAACAAATGCGGGAGCGATGTAACGGCTATGAAGAAACGTTTATTAATCAAACACGCAAATTGCTCTCGTTGTCTTTACACCAGCGGAAGATTTTCGCATTTACATAAATATTTATGACTTTCGAGCTTTAACAGAAGCGCGTAAATGCGATTAAAAGAAGTGATGGAAGTCACGCTTAATATTCCTTAAGTGCATTGACGTAGGTAACGATTTCTACTTATCAACAAAAAATATAAAAAAAGTTTCTCTTAAAAATTAATTGAACAACTCACGCCTCCATTTTCCCACAATATCATCACATGATTGATAATAAATAATAGCCAACCTGTTAGTTACAAAAGTGAATTACAAACACGTAAATTACTCTCCTGACTAACTTTATAACTTTCCTTTCTTCTCCCTAAAAAAAACATAAAAAGCTGTATCTTGAGCAATAAATTCTAAGCCACATTATAACCATAATTTTCCCAATCCAATTTCTTTTAGTTGTTGTTTTTTTTTCGCTGGTTTTATTGAGCAGTGTATAAAAATTGTTTAAGAGAAAGAAACCAAAAAAAAAAAACTTTTAATGCTCACACATCGCTTCGATGAAATGAAGTTTCACGAAAAGTTTTTATATTTACCAAAGTAGCACTTTTAACAGGTGTTTTATAATTCATTAAAGTAACTCAATAAATTTTACGAAGACGTTCCTTCTTTCCAGTCTTGAGGCGAAGGAATTTTTGTTTTATTTTGCTGAGTGCTGAAATCTACTGCCAGCTACTGTTGCTGAAAGAAGAAAAAAGTTTCCAGATGGAACAATGTCAGAGACGATTCAAGCAGAAAGTTTCATAATGTATCAACTTTAAATTTGCTTTCGAGGCATCCTTTCTTTATAGTTTGTTAATGGTCCAACGATTTCGCGCTACTCAAGAAGCTGTAAAAGAAAAACTTTTAAATAGCACGAGTTCAAACTGAAAGATGAAAAAAGATTCTGAAAAACAAAACAAACAACGAAAAGTGCTGAAGAGGAAGAAGCAAGAAGCTCACCAGCATGATAACTTCATTTATATGCAACAGAGCTCATAATCATATGATGGATCATTTTCCTTCTAAGCTCCATCATTAAGTTTATGAGGTCGATAGTTGCAAGCCAGTTTCTGACCATTAAAAGTCGAGAGAATGTGGAATTGCAGGCGGTACTTTAATCCACATCTCGAACCGTAAAAGTGCAAGATAAGAAAAAAAAGTCAATTTAAAAATGAAGAAAAACGGTAAACATTTATGCGTGGAAAAGTGTGAGCTGAGCTTCTGATTTTTTTAATTTTAGTTTAGTTGTGAATTGACAGGAAATAATTGTATCGTAAGTTTTGTAACTCCCGTCGCTGTAAATGCTGAAAAAAGAAAAATTCTTCCGTTGAGAAGTGAAGACGAAAGGAAAATAAATTAAAAAACGCAGCAATAATTCATTTTTGTTAAACATATTTCAAAATACATGTTTTTGCATGACATTTATTCATTTTCTTCTTCTTTATCCATCTTTTCTGCTTTAAATTCATCTTTCTTACTCTTAAAATATTTTATTTTCTTTTTTGTTCTTGTTTTAATTCTTTATACACAAATTATCATTTTCTCTTTCTTAATTAAAATTCTGGTTTATAAAGTGTTTTGTTCGCATAGTTTTCAGTTCGTCATCATATTAATTATGAGCCTTAGGCAGAGGTGTCACCATTGAATCGAGAATTAAATATACATAAATGTACTTATGAATGAACATCTAAAAACATTTTGATTTATTAAGCATTCTTAAAACTTTTTCTTTTCATTTTCCTTCTTGAAAGATCAAAAATAAAAGTTATCTTGCACATTGAATGAAATGACATCCCTGCCACAATAATTTACAAAAGAAATACATAAATTTTACTCTCTTCTTGCTTCATGACTATAGTTTTTCATTTTTACTTGCTTATCTTAATTTTTTTTAGTTTACACAAAAACAGAAGAATAATGGAAATAGTTGTAGTTGTTTTGTTTTGTTTTGTTGTTCCGAGAGTGTTATCAGAACGATGATTTTTATTTATGCATTTAAAGCCATTTTTCACTTTATTCTTCTCCAACTATTATCATCTTCTAATGGTTGTGCTGTTTTCATTTTTTTCTTATTATTTTTGTTATTATTCTTGTTGCTTTTTATTCCTCCCTTCTTTATGAGAACATAACGAAAGGCAACATAATTCATGGCGTTTTTTTTTTCATGCACATAACACAACTTTTAACACTCCCATGGAACAACATTTTTCGGTTGCAAATGAATCATAAATTTTATTGAAAATTTGACTTGCTTTTATTCTTTCTTCTCTTAGTGAATGGAAAAATTTATCAAACTGTGCACCAATGAACTATGCACAAGCTAAGAGAATTAATGAATGAAGTATAGCAAATGGAGTTATCAGTGAAAATAAAGTTTTTGCTGTTCAAGAGTAGGTTTTTCCAACAACTATTAGATATTACACTGAATAGGAAAATAAAGTCTCAATTTATTTACTTGTTGTTGTTTCTTCTTTTGCTGCTGTTAGTTTATATTTGAAGCTATCTAATTTATGTGAATATGGAGCTTTTCTTATGTCTCTTTCTCGTATTCGCTCACCCGTTCAATTATGAAACTCGAAACAATAATTTAAATGTACATTCATCATCATACACGATCGGATAGGAAAAGTAAAGGGAAAGAAATTGCATTACAAAGTAACTGTACACGTCTAATAGATTCTTCTTCACATTTTTTGTGTAATAAAAAGAGTTGGGGAGGTGCCGAGTAGCGGTGATTTGCTGAAACTATGTTGTAAAGAATCTTCAGTGAATAGAAACACAAAAGAAGTTCAGTTTGAAGCGAAACAAGATTTATTTCAGAATCGATCGTCTACCGTCTAATCGTAGCTCCGCTAATCTCTCAATACTTTATACAATTCTTTATCAGACTTTTCATTTCCGAAAAGCACAATAAACAATAACTGAGAATCTTAGAGTGATTGTAGCAAATGAGAAATGGGTAAAAAAAGTTAATTAAATTATGAATTATTTACAGCTTTAATCGCTTTAAGTAGAACGAATGATTTCTCAATTAACTTTCTTGTAAGATTTTCTTCGTCTTTATTTTCATCTCCGCGTGCTTGTATTTACAACTAAAAAGCGATAAAAAATGATTACAAGAAAAAAAGTATTGTACAATTATGAAAACTTAATTTATTTATGTATGCACATAAAACACTAACAACTTAAATAAACAATTATTTAATTATCGTTTAATAGTATTTAGTGTTCATTATTTATTTGTTTTTGATTAGGCAAAATTCATTCTTTTCTTATCTTGTTTTCTTTTTCGTTCAGTTTCCATTGTTTAAGTAAGTTTCTTATTCATTTCTTATCAACTATTATCACTAAGCTCAAACAAAATCAAATTTTTTCACGCTGAAGAAAACCGATTTGCTCAATACTTTTATCATTTGTTTGATTTTTAAATTTTTTACTTTTTCATCATTCCTTAAACATATAAATGAAACTTACGAAGACATGTCACCATCGGATGTGAATCACGAAGAATGTGATGTGGATGTTTACACCAAATAGGATGGCGATTGGGGATTGGCAGTAGAATTGTCAACAATGAAATTGCTGTTTCGCCATGTAGGAACAGGTCGATGAACGCTCGCTGTCGAGCTAACACTCGATTGTTGTTGATGAATTGGATGGGGGAGAAGCTGATGTTGTGGATCAAATCCACCATAATCAGAATCAATACTCGAATAAATATGTTCGGATGGTGCACGATGAATGTTCTGATGTTGTTGCGGAGACATTGCTACGGGATTTGGCATTAAATGCATTTGATGATGATGATGTTGCAATGGTTCACCACGACGTGAAGGTCGAGGTGAAGGCGTTGCTGTTGTTGCAGATGAATAATTTGTATCATCCATTTCAGGAGCTGAACTGATGTAAGCTGGTGGTGGTGCTTGACGATGATGATGGAACATCATTCCACCATTCATTGTTCCATTACCATTAGCGTGTTTAAATCGTTCATGATGCATCACCATATGATGTGGCATTGTGTGTGACTGATAATGCGGCAATGCACGCTGATGATCTAAGGTGTAATTGTTACCTCGGAAAAGTGGCTCAACCGGAAGTGCATCCCGCAATTTACCCCAAAACTGTCGATCTGTTCGACGAATACGTTTAACTGCTGATGTTTTCATGTATGGCAAAAGTTCAATGTCACTTTCGGCGTCAAGTAATACGTCGGGATCTTCGATAATCACCAACTTCTGTGGACGACCACGTAATGATTCATGAATAGCTCGTTTAACATCATAACGTGACCATTCAGTTTGCAAGAAATTTCTCGTTAATAGAATGACAATTTTTCGTGACGCGCAAATGGTTTCAAGCAATTGGATGTAGGAGGCGTCTTCAGCCAAATCACGATGTTGTAAGCAAAGACGGAACATTGGCGGTCTTCCATTTCCATTCTCTAATTCAGTAGCGATGTGTTTGATAATATATTCTGTGTCTTTAGCTGAGTGCAAGAAAACGGCATCGTAAAGTTTGTCAGAATCCTCGCAAGGCGGTCCGAACACACGAACACCATAATGAGCGAACAGCCATAGGCGTAACGGTTCACGAAACACAAAAAGAATCGCAAACAAAACCAACAAGCAAATGGTGGCAAGAAGGGTGATCATAAGTGGAATGTAGCCATTGGTAAGAATAAGATTCGGAAGACCGGAAGAACTGTCAGCATAATAATCGCTGCAAGCACTTGATGAATTGAAATCAATTTCTCGTTTCTTGCTGTCTTCAACACAATAAATATCTTGAGAATCTTGAACTATAACTGCATTATCAGCAACAAATTGTGTCATTTCTTGAAGGAATTGACATCGACAAGTCCAAGGATTTCTTCCAAGTGTCATTGCTTGCATTTGTGAGTTTCCTTTGAAGATTGATGATGGTAACATTTGCCACAATTGAACATTGACAAGTTGATTACCATCGATGCGTAAACTAACAAGTGATCTCAAGTGAGAGAACGTTTCGTTTGCAATGAACGTGAGTTTATTATTGTGCAAATCTAATTCGCGTAATCGGTGCATCTGCTCGAATTCATATCCGTAAAGTTTCTGCAGTTGATTGTCTTCAAGATGGAGGGTCGTCAGTGATGTTAAGCCGTAAAACGTGCGATTTCTAATAACTTCAATTTGACTGTTGTTCAAGAACAAATGGCGCAACTTGTTATGTTGTCGGAACAATCCACTGTCGAGTTCAGGATAGTTGTTGCCGTCGAGATAAATTTCAGTTGCGTCGAGTGGAATTCGTGATGGGAATCTTTGTGTCTCTTGACGACCGCAATCAACCATATTTGTATTCCATGTTTGGTCGTGAAAGCAACTGCAGTTCGTTGGACATTTCATATCACACTCACAATCCTCGTAGTCACAACAATTGCACAGGGCAAAACAATGGGATTCGTAATTGCAGAGAAATTCTGTGACATCGAGTTGCATTATTGGTCTGATTAGTGAACCACGACTATGTGGCATAATGCATTCGATGTTCTGCAAATCCATGATTCTGGGATGTTGTTTCATTGTGAAATTGTTGACACGTTGAATCCACTCCATTGTGCAATCGCATTCAAACGGATTACCGCCCAAATAAAATTCAGGAGCTTCTCGATTCTGATGTTTTGATGCAATGCTTGGTGCAATTCTGAGTTGATGCATTGCCAGTTTCTGCAAACTGTTGGCATACAAATCAACTCGAATTAAATGATTTTTATCGATGAAAGTGTTTGGTTGGATTTTATTTATGTGATTATTGTTAATGAACATCAGCTCAATGCTGTTTGGCACATTCATTGGCCCGATTTCTTGCAATCGATTATGACTCGCGTCGAGAGTCTTAATTTGAATTTCTTCTTGAAGTTTATAATAATTTCCCAATGACTCGATGTAGTTGCTATGAATATCAAGCCATTTCAAATTTTTCGGCACAAAAGCGTAGTCGAACCACACGAGATGATTTTCAGCAAGATTTAACCACATGAGCGATGACAACGTGGAGAAAATTCCATTAATATCATTAATGAAGTTTCCGTCCATTCGAATTGCTTCAATTTCCTTGTTAAAGTCAAATGAACCTCGCTCAATTAATTGGATTCGATTTTTGGCGAGATTTAAAACACTCAAATGTGGCAAACTCTCAAACATTCCCTTCGTGATGTTTTCGATTTGATTATCAATCAATCTCAATCCAGTTAGTTGATTGAGGTTTTGAAAAGCGCCAGCACGAAATTGTGCAATTTGATTTTCGCCCAAATCAAGTGTCTTCAACACGGTGAGACCTTTCAGAGCCTCGGGCACTTCTTGCAATTGATTTGAACTCAAATCAAGTTCTTTAAGATCCGAACAATTGTTAAACACTTTCGGCTCAATAATGCTTATTAAATTATTGTTCAATGTCAATTTCGATAGCACTTTCAGTCCATTGAATAACTTATCACCCAACGTATGCAAACGATTTTCAGCCAGATTTAATGTGTGAAGATTATAAAGCGGTTCAAATGCATTGTCATCAATGTAGCCAATGGAATTGTTACGCAAGTCAAGAATTTGCAGAAAATAAAGCTCCTTAAATGTTTGTGTGTCAATGCGAGTTATTGCATTATGTGACAAATCCAAAATTATTAGACGAATAAGACCAGCAAATGTTCCATTATTTATATGATGACTCGTCAACTGATTTCGTGATAAGTTCAAAATTAGCAATTGCTCGAGGCGATGGAACAGCGAACGAGGCAGTTGAAACAACTCATTATTCTGCAAATGTATCTCGCGTAGCTCCCGCGAGCCATAAAATAACCCATCCGGCAATTGCTCGAGATGATTATAACTTAAGTTCAATGTTTTTAATGAGTTTAAGCCCGCAAGTGTTTCACTATTTAATTCACTAATGTTGTTGTGTTGCAGATAAAGATGTTGTAGACGACGAAGCTTTGATACAGCCCAGTTTTCTGGGATTATTTGAAGCTCATTATTACTTAAATCAAGTGCTGTAAGCTCTTGTAATGACGAACCGCCACACTCGACTGTTGTTGGTAATGAGAAACCAATATTCTCGGTTGAACGTATGCGATTACGAGTTAAATTCAGTACTTGTAAACTGGTGAGTGGACAATAAAATCCATCGGGTATCACACGCACATTTGAGTCTGTTATCTCAAGATTCACTAATTTATTTAAGCCACTCATTGTAAGCGGTTGCATCTCAAGAGATTGCTGCGGACCCCACTCAATGTTTTTCGTACTTATCGTGAGCTTCTTCAATGAATTCATTCCATCAAATGAATGCTCTGATAGTTTTAAAAGTTTACATGAATCGAGCACCAACTCATTTAATGATGTCAATTGTTTGAATAAATTTCTTTGTAATTGACTTTCATACATTGATGATTCACACACAATTTCCAGACGACTACTACCTTCAGCATCTTGTAGTAAATCGACAGGATTATTCACATCTAAAGTTCTTATATTGCAAACTATTTGGTTTGTTTTATTAAATTCCCATGTGCAGCCATTAAGATGTGACGCACTTAATGTTGCTGTCGTTGTGAATGCGATGAGTGTCAAAAGAGTTGCAATGTTAAATTTGAAAGCCATGATTAGGATTTTGTTTTACTTTTAAAATAAAACACGAAATTTTGGAATCAAGACTTCGATTCTCAGCACAATTTATAATTTTTTTCTTATTTTTTTATCACAAAACTTTCAACGAAAAATTATTTCTTTTCTTCATCCAAACTTCTTTTATATATTTCACTCCATGCTCGCTTTTTCGGCTTTTTGATTCTTCTTATTCTTTTATTCCTTTTTTTATGTTTTGGCTTTTCGTTTTCTTCAGAAATTTAATTTATTATAAGATTCCTTTTTAGCTTGTTTTTTTACGTTTCCTTCTCATAATTCCCAGAAGAGTCTTTGGCATTTTTCGCCTTTCATTATTCTATCGATTTTTCACTTGAGTTTTCATTTTCATTTAGCAAATGAGTTTTCTTTGTAAGTGAATTTTTAAACTGTTTGCACAATTTCAATTTATTTTCTTTCAATTTCAATTTTTTGATATTTTTTTAAGTTTTATTCTTTTTTATTTCACAAATATTTCAGCAAAACTACCGTCGCGAGATTTTCTATTTTCTCAGTTTATTGACTTTCATTTCTTTATTATCTGTTTCTATATTTCTTTTCTTATTTTTTCTTTTCTTACAAACGCGTAGCGAACAAAACGACGAGAAGAAAAGAACTTGTTATGTTATAACTGTTATTATGGTTTCCATATATAATATTTTAATTAAGTCGCGGGTTTGCTTTTCTTTCTCAATGTCGGAGAAAACAAATTTTGCTTCCGACTTAACTGAAATCTAGACACGAACTGAACCAATGTTGTAGAAATATTTTGAATCAGAAAAATATTTTTCTGCTGATATTTTATGCTCTTTAAGAAATGAGCGAGATGAGAAAAATCAATTGGAGGGGAAATTGTGGTACAAAAACAGGTTTTTCCAATTCTGTTATTCTCATTCTTACGCTCACCTCTCTCATTTCTCCTCAAAATGCATTTATGCTGCTTTGTATGTTGCAATCTTCTCTCAGTTTAATCTCTCATACTCAAAACAAGTTTTTCTTTAAAACATTTCTTCTTCAACATCGTCACATATAATTTTTGAAGCTCAAGCATTGAATTACTCTTTGGTCGGTGGCAGGTAGAAAAGATTCGGTCGACACAATTTTTCGTCTCGTAACCTTGTGCATTTTTTTTCTCCCTTTTCGTTTGTGTCATCTTTCTTAAGTGAAAAAAAGATAATATTTTGTTGAAATATTTCTGATTTTATTTTGTAAAACATTTGAAAATGTTAAAAGAGTAGAAAAAATATCGGTTAAAATTTCCTTTCTTCATATTTTAATTCTTTTTATGGTAAGAAATCATATTTACAATGGGAAATAAAATCACGAACCTATATTTATTTACGGCTCCTATAAGTTCATCAAAACCCAGCAATTTGATGTTTTTGACACGAAAATTTCATCTGATTTATGAGCTTTCACATCAAACATTTCATAAAATAATTGCGGTCCAGTGATTATCGCGTACATTTAACTCTGGTTGGTGTGAAGAAAAATAAACCAAAATATGTAATAAAAGAAAAAGAAATCAGTTTGTGAAATCATTATCAAAGGGAAAAAATGCAAATGCAAGCGAGCATAAAAACGAAAAGTGTCCATTCATCCGGAAAAAATGCACGTGACAAGAAGAAGACAATGCAGTAAAGTGCATTTAAGAAAAATATGATTCGATAACTCAACGAGACACTGCTACAAAAATGTGAGTGGTCAGTGCAGAGTAAATTTAATGGAAGCGCCCTCAAGACATTTCTCTTCTTCGTTTTCTTCTGTTTCATGTTTGATTCCCGGGAAAAAAACATAATTTTATAAAAAGAAAAGCCACAAAAATTGTAATTCTCCTGCTGATGGCCGCTCTTCATAATCATGTATGAAATGAGAACTTTGAACATCAAGAAAGAAGAAAATCGTAAAATAAATTGCACAACACCAAAACCATGCAATTTTCTTTACTCCGTCAAAAGCAATTACCGAATTTATTTCTTTCTCCCTTCTTGGGACCAGAAACACTCATGTACTGATTTAAAAGAGTTACTGGGAAGATTCATATATTACGAGATATTTTGGCAACAAAAACCAGTTCATTACTTATATCTTTTTTCTACTTCGTCTTATTAATCAACTTATTTTATGATGATTCATTTTCGTTACAAATAGGTCTCAAGTTAAGTTATTTAAACGTAAAATGTTGCTGGTATTTGTAAGGAAACATTCAACAAAACATATCAGTAATATTGACGATATTTAGAATCGGAAAATCGTTTCTGCGTAACAGGTTCTTTATGCACGAAAACATTATGGCTCAAAAGGAAATGAGTGGTTACAGATAGTATCATGTGATAAAGAACATTATTCATAGAACAATTTCCATTTCCAGGTCTTTTGCTTCATTTTACTTAATTCTTTTTTCTGTTGCCTTTTGTTTCTTCATAATTTTCCTTCCTTTCCTATTCGTGTCAGCAAAAATATTTTCGGCTAAAGCAGTCGAGTAAAACGAAAACGAGAAAATCCTTTCTCACTTCCGTTTCCAAAACAATGAAAGCATAATTTCTGCCTAGCTTTTTAGCATCACTTTCTTCTCTTTCCCTCGTGAAGGGCGGCAGCGGCGGGTGCACGAAGCTCAAGAATAATTGCAATAAATATAAATTCTCATCTTTAGAGAGTCATAAAGCAGTGGGAAAAAGAAGAAGGCAGAAGAGAAAATATTATTTATCATCTTTCAGCTCACTGTGACAGCAAGAGGAACGAGCTTCGGAGATACTTTAATAAAAATTTATTTGCACGCGAAAATATAATTTACATTTAACACTTCTTCATTTCTTTATGCTTTTATTGCTCTGCCGAAAGAATATGAGTAAATGTGCGAAATGAAAATCACAAACGTTTGCCTTTCACTCACTCGTATTTTCCTGAGAGAGAATTACGTCAAATTATTGTACCGGCAAACATTAACTATTTTTATAAAGTCGGGTTTTGATCGCGTGGCAATTTTTCCGACGACATTCATGTCATAAAGTTAAAAAAATTGTTAGGGGATTTAAGTAAGCAAATTATTTGTAAGTATCCAATTAAGTTGGATTGTATTTCTACTTGCTATTTTGTTAACGTCAGTATTTAAAGTTCTAACCACCCATGGAATGTTACGAACCAAAAATTTCCCAGAACATGTTCAAGTAATGACGGTAAGAAGGCCTAGGACAACAATTGTCAATTGTTAACTTTGTTCTGTGATATATGATTACAAATTACTTAATAAGTCTGGAATGTTTTTATGTGCTGACATGAGACAATCATCAAAGACTCACCGCACCGCGAAATAAATAGAAATAATAAAATGAAAATGTTTAGTTCAAACAAAAGCCTTTAACATAACAGATGAAAAATATCTTCCCCGTCTGTTCTACTTTTTTTTATATTGAATTCCACACATAATTATTATCAAGAACAACGTTGAGAATGGAAAGAAAGAACTCGAAAACGAACTTTAATAATAGTAAAGAGAAAACTATTGTCATTGTTGAATAGAGCGTATGGAGAAATTGTCGAGTGTTTTGAGGGACTTTCAGGGTTGACAAAATTACTTATTATTTTGAATTGCGATCTTTAAGAAAAGACCGTCTCTGAATGGAATGAGAACCAAGGAATTGATTTCTGTGGTTGTTCACTGAAGGGGAAGACGATGATGAAGAAAAAAAGAAATATCAAGATATCACTGCAATCTAATGGGATCCTTTTCAAAGAAAGTCTATACAGACTTTTATGTTCATTCTTTTCATCCTCTGCACTGTGGGCACGAATGACAAAACGCAGAGACTGAGATCGTTATCAGTTTGAATCGTTATGGCTTCGAAAAGAATAAGAAATTCGCTTCCATCCCCCGAGACAGATCGAATATCTTTGTCGTGGATTGCCAGCTGTGAGGCATACAAATACATAGGTTGACAGTAATCAGTGCGTTAGCATGAAAATATCCTTTAAACCTACTTTTTCTCTCTTCATCTTCATATTCTTCGTCTTTTCTTATAATAAACATTGATTTGATTGAAATTTTTAGATAATTCTTTTCCTCAAAAGATTAATTCATTCACGGGAGCAAAGACGATAATGAGAAAGTCAGATCGATAAATAATCAAGAAAATTGCTTCATTACGTAATAAAAGTGTGAAGCTGTGAGCAACAATAAAGTTTAATTCAGTGATGAAAGATTTATTAAAGTTCCTTCCTTTTTTGGGATTTCTGGAGTGCAATGAAAATAATTTTCAATTAACTTGATTTGTCAAATTATTTATTATTCAATATTCAGAGTTGTCACAAAAATGAAACATCACATCTCCGGCTTTTCTGTCATAAATCTTTCAACTTTCTTCTGTGATTAAATAAAATTTTGTATTCAGTAAGAGCTTCTGATATTTTCTTCATCCCTTTTTCCTTCCCGTTTTGTAATCTCGTCCACAAATTTTCGAGGATTTTTCTAATTTATTTTTAATAATTTAGCTTCATTTCTTTCGATCCTTTCGTTCCCATGTCATTTGACATCATTCAGGGATGAAAAATTGTCTTCAATGACGAAAAAGAAAAAAATGGTCATGACAATAAAAAAAGGACACAACTCAGAAAGGAGATTTTTGTGTCGTCTAAAAAATAAGAAGAAACTTGTTCTATTATTAATTTTTGTTGTTTTCTCTTCGTCTTCTTCTCTATCATACAAACATTCGAAGAAGGAAAGGGCGGGTGAGTGTATTAACTGCTGTCAAGGAGGTTTATTTATTCAGGTAGGCAAAAGGCAACGTTCTCCTTTACGATTGCAAATGTAAATACAAAATAAACATCTATAAATTACTTCACTGCTTTCGGGTAGTTTGAAATCGAATAAGAAGACGATAGAAGATAGAAAAGGCCAAAAGTCTTTTTGCGAAAATTTCTTAATGCGCTTCGTAGGCTCTAAGAACAAGATTTGAAGCACTTAAGACGACAACCCATTGAGCTGAAATTACCAAAGAGAACAAAGAAGCGAAATTTCTTTTACTTCTTTCTCAAATGAAATTCAATTAAGCGTGGCACATACGAAGGTCCCGACGTTGTTATTTTTTCATCAGCTAGAAAATAGTCTTCGTAATATTTTGTTGTTCTTTAATCAGAATCTGAAAGTTCTCAAATGTAATCGCGTCATAAGAATTTCTTTCTATAGATTTTACCTGATTATAAAAGTAAATCGAATGTCAGGAATTTCTTTACATTGCTGAATTTTTCATGTAATTTCCTAAAATAAACAAAGGACTTTTTTTCGTTTAGTTATTTCATCACAGAAGTGTCAAGCAGAGTTGAGTAAAAAGAGTTAACAAGCTTGTTTTGTCGTCCTCATCAGTAGCTAACGTCCAATAAAAATCTTCCAAAATGAAAATATTTTCCACAACACTCATCTTTGATTAAAAAAAAGCAGATTGCATCCAATATTTCGTGTCATTCTATTTGGCCACTTTCATTCATGTCGAGGATTCTTCTCATTTTTCAGCTTTTGTCTAATCAACTAGGACCGTTGTTAAAACGACAGCAAAAAAAGCAAAAAGTGTCAAAGCCCCACACGTTTCGCTACTTTCTACCTCCACCCTCAAACGTAACAAGCAAAAATCCAATTTCACCATTCCGTCTCTCATGCTGATGGCGCATATCGAGATGGAAGCCCCCAAAAAAACCAGCTCGGCTCAAGTCAACACACTCTGAAACGTGAGAGAAAAAATATTTATCCGTTCAGCATTTTTCTTCTCTTCTCTTTTGGCTTATCATTGAAATCGATCTTAATTAAAATAAATTTATAAATAAATATAATATTCAAATTTTTCCCTTCTCAAAATAAACATCAACAACAATATCAACAGAGGAGAAATAGAATTAATTAAATTAGAAGGTTGTTGAAGAGAGACAGACTGTAGCGAAAGGCGACTCAAAGACATTCAAATGTTAGATAATAAAGCGAGCAAGTCGAAGAATTTTTTACAGGTAACTGGAAAGTAAAGGCGGAAAGCGATAAGAGTAAGAAAAAGTTTTGTTTGCTGATTGTTTTAGTTCCACTTTTTCATTGTTATCTTTTCGTTTCTCTGTTGCCTCGCCCTCGATTCATTCGAAAAGCTTGTTTGCTAAGACAAAAATCATCAGTTATGCAAAAATGCGCTTCACTTGTCCAATGAATGCTCTTCTGGGTGTCCGAATCCCGTTGCTACCATTCTCATAATATTGCCGCTTCTTTTTTTCTTGAAATCGATTGTTGAACCACTCAAAATCAAGAAAGATTGCTCTTAATAATAATAAACTTGAGCAGCTTAAAAGAAATTTTATTTATTCTTCCAATAGAAAAAGAAAATTATTTTTTTGGAAAAGAATTTGCATGAAGTGATCTGAATGAAGACAGTTGAAAGAAGAGAAACTAACTGGAGCATAGAAAAATAGATTCGACCAGTTATCTAATAAATAAGACTTTGAATATTCAACCAAGCACAAAGTGAAAAGACTTTTGTGAATAATTTTTGGTTTTCTTTGACTTAAATCCAGTTAAGGAATTTCAAACTAAAATTTTAATAATCTTAGTCAAGAGTTAGATAGAAAAGAGCGATGGCACTTCAACAACAATCAACAGGTGATAGTTGTGGGAAGTTGGCTGCAAAATTCAACACGCAACAAACTACTTTTGAGTTTAAAGCACCAAATTCAGTCCGAGAAATCAGCTTCATAAATTTAATTTTTAATCCAGCACAAGCATTTGTCACATCTAAAATTCCGATTAAAAACTTGTATCGAATCGTCAATCCAATCTGGTTCAATTACTTCGAGTGATTTAAGTCCACTTAAGCTTGTTTGAACGAGATTTCATTTGCATAGAAAGAGTTGAATTAAACGCTCATGTCACACACGAAATGCCCTCTCAGTGATGAGTATGAGGCAAGGTATGAGGCAAGCAAGACATGAAATGAGAGAAATAAAAACCTTTTTCCTTTCACACAACGTCTAACCTGCAATTTGTTGTTGAAACAATCAAAGCTCCGCATTACTTCACTTCTTAATCTTTTTATGTCTCGAAGAAAAATGCTTTGCAACTGCCTTGTGGTTGATTTCCCCTCGTCACAAATGTTTCTCTGCCATTTGATGCAAACTGAAGGAATAAGAACGATGTTACTTCACCTATAAGTACGATGTAAGAGTAAGAGAGAAGGAAATGGTTTTTGAATGCGGTTTATGTGTTTTATGCAAATGCATGTCATGTCGTTTTATTATTTATTTATTTCACTTCAGTGTCTACTCTGTAAGTTGTTGATTTCTTTATTAGAATTTCCCTTTCATTTATCTTGCCGTCATTTAACCTGGGAGAGTCTTACTCTGTAAGTAGTACGGTGGAGGTGGAGTGCAGAAGAATCTTGTGTTACTAACTATGACGCCATGCTGTGCTTCGCCATTTATTGGAATTCACGATTTACCTTCAGCTTCGATTTTTAATTGAAATATCCATTCACTTAAACGACCATTTAAATAAATATTTTATTTGAAACTTCATGGGTTTCATTATTTAATATTTGACAGCAGCGATTTCTTTCTAAAATTAGATCGTTTAGTTCGTTTAGCGGAAAAAAGGCAAGAAAATGAAATGAAACCAATGAAAATCTTATTACGTCATTTGGCAAGCCACTCAGAAAAGTTTTTGTTTTCAGCGTCAAAACAAAAATGAATTAACCAAAGCTTTCTTTTCTTTCCGAATTGCGTGAAAATTTGAAGCATCGCAAATTCCTTAAAAAACAAAAATTTAATTCAAAGGAAATCGTAACGAAAAAATAAGAAGAAAAACGGTTCGCCTCAAATTGACATCTCTTTGTAAGTAAACAACTTCCGACTTTATTTTCTCGATAAGACTTTAAGAAGATTGATTGATTTCATCGACAGACCCGTGTACAAGATGAAAGCCTTGAAAAGAAAAAATAAACTTTTTTTTTGGGAGAAGTTTGTTTGTATTTTAGAGGCTTTTGAAGGGTCAAAACTTTTCAATGTTGTGGTTCAATATCGTTAGGGACCGGTTTTACTTTTCTTTTGTTTTCCCGGCGATGAAAAATAAGAATTTGTTAAAACCAAGACATCAAAGGAAAGCAAACAACTAAAGCTAAAATCTGCCAAGTTTCGCCTTGACAAATCAATCAATTGAGGTTGTGGAAATATAGGTGAACATGAAGGTGAGTTGAAAGCATGAAAGTTTGAGGTAAAACAAACAATATTGGGAGTTTTGTGAATAAAGTGAACTTGGCAAAGCATATCAATGGCCAAAGATATGCAAAAGGCGAGTTAAATTTACTACTTTGATGTTTCCAATGGCACATTGCGATTGATGTGAAACTCTCGCATGGCAATTTATGATCTCATTTTTGAGTCACCATAAGGTGAAAAGAAACCTCAGTGTATTTGTTTACCTTTTGCTATACATTATGTTGCTTTTTTAGCCGCACATAGCGGTGTTTTGTATGCAAATTTTCTTTTTTTTTGTTACTCGATTCGTTGTAGCATTATGTAGATTGAATAATTTCACTCTTTTTTATATTTTTATTTCATTTCGGAAACGAGAAATTTCACATAATTTAGGCTTAGTTAAAGCTTTATTTTTGCTGAGTATTTTTGTTGACTGACGATAGAATTTGACTTCTTTCTTCTTCTTTTTGTTGATTGAAATAAGAAGCAAAATACAATTCAAGAAGTTCTTGAAGAAGAAAAACGAAATTTTAAGCTCTGCTTATCATTGAATCGCGTTAGTTACGTCCAGGAATTCAACACAATTACACTCCCTTCGCTTAGTGTAGATTAGCACGAACATTCATTTATTGTTGGGCACAAAAAAGCGCTGTCGACAAATAACTAAAAATCTGTTAAGTATTCGGCGTGACACCCGAAAAAAAAATCGGAGGAAACAAGAACAGAAACGCGACCCAAACTAAGCAAGAAACATCGTGAAAACAGAGAAAAAATTAAGCAGCGAAAAATCCTCAATGATTAATTTTGATTTAATCCTTTCTCATTACGCCTCGCGTTTTTATTTCGTTTCTTTCATTCGCCACTTATTTGCATATAAATTTTAATTTCTGCGTGCGAACAAAAGGCGAATGACTGTGCAGGGGGCTTCGAACACCAAGAGCGCGACGCGGGCCAGTAAAAAATCGTTTAAATGAAAATAAATATTGACAAAATTACTTTTTCCTTTATTGGTTGAGCGTTTGTGTAGAGCGACAGAAAATATTTTAAAAATTCTTTGCTCTGCTCTACTCTATTCTGATGTTATTGTTTCGCAAAAAATAAACACTCAGTTTAGCAGATTGTTAAACATTCTGAAATCTCAATGCCCATCCCTCGTTCTCACACTTCACTTCGTAATTCGCATCCATGTTGAATAATTCGAGTAGGGAATAGAGAAAATAGCACATAATTAATAAGTTCAACATGCCATCGAACACTTTTTCGGAAACACAATTGTGCACACATGTTTCAATAATCTTTGCTACTACGAGAATCACGTTCCAAATTCTCATTTTTTTTCAACAATCATCAACCGAGTGTAACTGCCTGCTTCGCTCTATTCAATTACAGGAAGTGCTCAATTGTTGCATAGTGATTGATGTCGTCTCATTAGATTTCTAATTCATGCAATGGATGTCGACGGTTGACTGTAGATTGTATTGGCAAGTGCAGATGTTCAGTGGATAATCTTTTAAGACATGCTGATTAAGTGCACGAGAACGCTACTGCTCGACAGTGTTCAATTCGATGTTAATAATCGCAAGACATTTAACTATGATCGAAGGAAATAATCTACAACTACTAAATGGTAATGTAAATCGATTAAAAGTATAGCAGTAACATGGTAATAACTGGAGATATTGAGAAATAGCTGCAAGCTGTTACGTAATCACAATCACTAAGTCTCGTATTATGTATAAATATCTCAGTATCATGTTGGAAGCATAGATCGTTTCAGCAATCTATGTCATTTCAGTAGTCATATTAGCCAAGCGAACAATGGCGAATGGGATAAAAAAAAATCGAAGAACCACACGTGGCTTGAACATGCACATTGCGAACAATTAATTTTCAAGAGGATTAATCAGAATTTTTTGTACCAAAAACAATTTCTTTGAACTTTAAATTTGAATGCAAAAAATGCATGCAACATGCAATCGGTTCGTTTTTCGGTAAAAGATTTTAATCCTACAAAAGGATCTCGTTTATCTATTCAATTTAATCTCCATTATTATTGTCGAACTCTTGAATCTGTTTGCTGAAATTCTTATACAATAAAGATGGCTAATGACTATTGAAGGTATTCAATAATGCAACACTAAGTAATCTCTTCTGAGAATGAGTTTTGCATGAGATTCACATTCAAAGGAGTTTAAAGAAGTGGAAGAAAAGCTGCTAAAAGCATCCGAGATAAAAGACAAAAATACCACAAACAAAAAGCACTCAAAAATCAAAATAATAATTTAAATAACATGATTAAACTCCTTTTATGTTTGCTCGCCTCTTAGTTTGGTTTGAGCTGTTGCAACTTGCAACCAGTTCCTTAGACTGTGGTCAAACATTACTCATTCAAAGACAGAGAATGCAAGAAACATTTGCGTATAAATATGCCGAGATTGCAAGCATGAAGAAATATCTCGATCACATGTGGAAAACGTTATCGAGCGGAAAGAATAAGAAAGAAAGAATGAAAGAAATTGAATTAGAGGCAGTGATGCCACTGCTTGCTCATGCTCTCAACCAAGCGTAATTTTATTTTCATTCTAATTCACATATGGCATCTCGACAAACGTATTTCAAATTCATTGCATGGATAATATTCCATTTCAGATCAATGTGAAAATAATAATAATAAAATTTGAATAATATCTTCCCGAATGATTTCTCATGAAGTGCATCTAAGATGCTGAAATGAGATTCATTTTTCTTCAATTCATTTGATTCTTCTCTGCTTTTCATTTCTCCCGACCGACCTGAGATTTATTCTCTTGAAAAATAGTTGCGCCGTTTTTATCGTTGGATATCTTACATTTGTTTTCATTTCAATGTGCAATCTTCCTTTGTTAGTTGCATAAGTAAAGAAACACTCTTTGAATTATGAAGCTGATGGGGAGAGAGAACTATAAAATATTCATAAATATATTCGAGGACAGGAGAACAAAAACATTGCAAGAACGCGAACAGAAGATGAAAAAAGAAGGAAAATTAAACATTATGCACTCATATGTGAATTGCATTATCATTCAATTACATAAATCTTGTTTAAGATTTCTTTTTCTTTTAATTCACTCGATGTCGTTTATCATGGGAATTTATTTATTTCATTTTTATTTTAGAATATGGAAGGAAATATTTGCTTTGGTCAATATGGTGATGTTGAGTGTCTTACACATGTATAAATAATATTTACATGGAGTTGGATAAATCACGATGAATTATTGTCATGTCGATGAAGCTTTCTTTCAAGAATGCAAGTTAATCAAATTAAGAAGTTCTTGTCATGAAATCAAAATAGTTTCATGACTTTGCACTAAAATCATTTTACTTTCTTCGACTTCCGGAATATAAAACTGGAAAAGCATGATAACGATGAAAACTCAAAAACAGAAATGATAAAATAAAAGTAAAAATCAGAAAGATTTTATTTGTTGAAGCAATAACTTCGAAATTGGATTTATTAAGAATGATATTTCCTTCTCACAAATCGTTGTCTTTTGTTGTGCGTTTAATTTTGCTTTTCAGTTGCTTTTCGCTTAATAGTAAGTAATAAAAATTCCTTTTGAACCCATTGTTAGTCGAATATTATAATTCAACTGTTTCTCTCTTTAGCTTCATTTCTGAACCACACATTTCTTTTGCGACGACAAAACGGAATATAACTAACATTTATTTATTTATATTTTTTTAACGTTTTTGTCATCATAAATCAATTTAATAGGTTTTTCTTTCATTCTTCGCCTTTTATTTTAAAAGTCTCTCTCGACTTATTTCTTTCTTCTCGAAGTCTTTAAAGTTTGCTTTTTAATGTATTCTGATATAGTTTTTTATTTATTTCTTTGCTCTCCAAATGTCTCTTGAAGTCACTCGATGTCTCAAGTCTGAGATCTAAGTTTTCGAAAGCCCCCCAAAATTGAATATGCCTGAGATATATCTTGATTCCTGGTAATTTTCTTCTATTTGTTATACAGATAAGTCACTTTCGAAATGGCTTTGTCATGAGACTTTAATTTATCTTCATAAACACGTTCTTAGCATTCGTGAAACATCAGATAAAGTTTCGTGTATTAACTTACAGTTTCACTAGTTGTTTATAAGAACGAGTTTGGGGAAAGTGGAAACAATGTTTCATTAAGGATTCTTATCAATGTTTCATTCCATTTTTTTTTGTTTTATTTCTTTGAAAAGACAAAAAACATAAACATGAGAAATTCTAATAAATATTCACTCGATATCTGAATAACAAATTTTGTGTTGTTCCTCAAAATGTCTTTAATTAAAACCTTTTCTTATAATTTCTTTTTCTTTTATACGTTGAGAAATTTAAAAAGAATCCAATTTAATTTAGAAACTAAATAATTTGTCTTCTTTTACATTCATTTAAGTTCCTTGCTTTTTTTTCGGGTTCACATTGAACTCTCTTAGACGTTTTTTTGTTTTGCTTTAACTTCGTTCCGAGTGAATTTATGAGAACGTAGGTTTTAATAAATTATATGCACACCAGAAATTGATAATCAAATGAACATAAATCAATATGTGTGCGAGTTGTTTTCGAAATTGAAAATTAAATTTAATGAAAATGATTTTTTTTCCGCTCGACTTCTTTGTAAACGTTTTTCCAACACTTTAACAGAAAATTTGAATTCCTTAGAGATTTAGTAAAGGCTTTTAATTTGATTGGAGTATTTAAGTAAATACTTTGCCTCATCTCATCAGAAAATGATCAATTTTTATTTTAAATCCTTCAAGTCTTCGTCGTTTTTTTTTCTTTTATTGTTCATCATCAGCTTTGTGTTTTCTTTCATAAGAAAAATTACAATTTGCTTTTCCTTTCTCTTCATCCTTTGTCGCTTTTTTATCAAGGATTAAGGAGAGTAAATTGGGTAAACAAACGATGGCAGAAATTCAGTTTAAGGAGTGAATATTTTGTCATTGTTGATTTAAGATATTACAGTTGAATGGTTGGAAAATCCAAGAATTTGGCTTAAAGTGTCTTTACCGATTGTTTGTCTATTTGCACGATATTTAATATTGATTTGAAAATGATCCATTATAATGGATGTGTGACGAATAACATAAACCAGTATGACTCAATATTAGTTGAAACTAAAGCGATGTTTCTTCAACACAAAAAATCTACAAACTTCATTACCTTACAAGGTCACCTCTGCTGTTTTAGAAAGACATAACTTCATCAAACTTGACACAATTTGTGTCTTTCCCACTAATCCTTATTTGCGTCTTGAACAAACAAATCAAAACCTTAAACGACAGATTTGCTACACAGAACTCTACCAAGGCGTGAACAATTTGCCGATTTGTTGTTTTAGTTTCAGATTAACGAAACTCAGAGAATATTCTTGTGTTTATTCAGGAATCATTTCTACAATGTTCTGTTGCTGTTCATCATCCAATTGAAGAGATTTTATTCGGAATTGTTGAAGATGTTTCTTTCAGACATTTTGCCATCCTTTTCGTTTTATTTTTGTAGATACAAAAAATATTATCCGAAACATAAATAAAGTTGATGATGACAAAAGAGTTTTATGTTGGTTTTTCCAATTAATTGACTACTCGAAGGTGCTTTAAGCTATGAATATTTCGTCTTTCAGTCCTTTCAGCATTATCGTTTAGAATATTATTGTAAGCAGTCGTTTAAAGCTCATTGTGTCAGTGACATTTTGCGCCTGAAATAACATTGTAAAAATGAAAATATCTTTGCTAACGAACGAATAAAAAAATATTTTTTTATTTCTATTTGAATCAAATTAAAAAGGTCTGCATGTTGATACACAATGAGTAAATGTCAGGAGAATTTTTCGGTTCATCTGGTATTCCAATATGGTAATTCAGTCAGCTCCAATGACAACAAACTGCTAAATTGTATTTACATAAAATACTGGCGGGTTGCTGATGTTGAAATCTTCTATTTATTATGCATGTACATTACACTGATATCGCATTGTAAATAGTCTGAAACATTTGTAAAAGTTTACATTTTTGATTGAATCGTTAATGTCATTTAACTTTCTGCTTACCTTCTTAAAACATTGAATATTATTTTATTAAAAGTCTTCTTTGTTGATGTGCTCTGAGATAGTTAAAATAATTAACGATCAAAAGGCTGAGTAAATATTGTACAAGGAGAATGTTTAATAATTCATGGAAATTATATTCTGTTGATTTTATGCTAACAAAACTTTCCATGATGCTCAACATAGATATGTTGTTACAATAAACAAATCGTTTTGTAATTTTACCGAAAACTCCTTCCCACTCTCAATTAAAGTGTTCAACCTCACTCCAATATTGTCTCTAGGAATTCGATTACAAGCAGACAACTGCATAGTTTGACCACGAGAGACATGTTGAGAATGTTTTCTATGAGGCTTTGAATTACATTTCGAATCTAATTTCATTCAATTGATGGAATGAGAGAAATTTCCTAGACATTCTGACATGCGATTCGCAAAAGCTTTTTCAATAATGAGAAATTTATACAAAAGGTAAAAGTTCATTCAACTTTTGATAGAATTTAAGGCTGAACACAAATATTTGAAGATGAAAAAGCTCTACAAAGCACGACATTCATTTCGATAATTAAACTACAAAGAAATATAATTTAGTCATTGAATTATAAAACTGAAAACGAATTCTTCACTTTGACAACCTCCCAAGTGAACGAAACTAAAGCCAGACAACCCAAAAAACTTTTTGTACTTAAAAGAATCTGAACCACAAACAAAAAAAAACTTTCATGAGACTCTTTAACCTGTCGCGTTGTTCATGAAACCAATGAGACATGAAAAGTACCGCCGATTGGCGTTCCATGAATGAACTTGTATCTCGGTAACTTTCTTTGAGGATGAAATGTTGGGGAAGGGAACCATAATTGTCATTGAATAGCATGTTTGGATGCCAAATGGTAAAAAGTTCAAACGTTATTCGAATGATTTATTTCATTTTGTATACATTTTCGTTTTAATTATCTCCAAGCTTTCTTTTACGTGACATTACTTTCCATTAGTTGAATCTATAATTTGTTCTTGCGTTTGATTTACTTCCATAATATTCATAAAGACAAAATGACAATTCAAGCTTACGATTTTGGATCAGTCTGAGTTTGATTTCAAAACCATATAAAACCAGCTTTAAGACATTCCACTTGTGCTATCTGAGCTGTTCAATCTTTTCACCAACAGTCTCATCAGTGATGGTCTCAATTTTCGCCAGCGCACAGAAATTGTTCGAGTTCAAGGAACTTTAAAGCAAGAAAAAAAGTCAAAATCTTTTATAAATGGAAGAGTAAACTGATACTAAATGGGAATTATGGATAAAAAGAAATGAAGGAGGAGAAAAAACTAAAAATTATTTTGTAATAAATAAAAGATTAAGCATTAAGGCATCTCAACCAAGTGAGAGAGAGAAATGGAGAAAAAGTCGAAGTAAGAAAAAATTGTTAAAGTATCTAAAGTCGGGTCATAAAGTAATCGATTGGTGTAATCTGCAGTATTTAATCTTCATATTATTGAAAGGTGGAAACCAGAGGTGTCACGTGAATCAACCTTTGAATGTCTACATAACTTTTCGAATTTATTTCGACTCAATCAATGTCATTGTATCCATTTTATGTAATGTGAATAATAAATTTTTAATCTAATTGTTACTTCTTCAAGCATCGTCTCTGTTTTAAATTTTACAAACATTAATTACGGCATAACTGCGCTAAAAAATATTCAACCATTAAATGTAGAATGTTTTCAAAACATATTTTTGTTCTCTTGCCATGTTTTATCGAAACTCCATCAATGTTCATCGCCTCGATGCAATATTTTTTCTGCTTTGAACAGAGTGTAACAAGAGCCTTAATTAATTAAAGAATTAAATTTCACAAAGAGCTTTTGTGTTGCGGTATCAAAAGCAAGCAAAAATCTAGCAGAAAAAAATAACATCAGCGATGGCGATCAGATGCAAATGAGATTCAGTGAAGCTGCTCTCAAACTGATGTAGATTCTCATTCACTTATCTCTCTTAACTCCAGATCGCATCTATTTAAATTAACTTTTTTCTTCAACGTTCTTCGATAGTGAATCAACGGCCTTTACTCAGACAATATGAACGTGAAAGAGAGACAGAGAGACAGAAAGAAGAAAGCGCAATGTGAATAAATGTTACAGACTATAAGCGGAAATTTATGTAAGCTTATTGTACTTTTCTTGAAGCTGTTCGTGTCTAAAAAGTACAACAAAAAAGAAACATCATAGGGAATTGTGAAAACTTCAACTAAACATGGCACTAAATATTGCCTTAGTGAAGCTTAATGTGCGCTTTGAATATGTTGTAAAATTAATTGGTGCTGTAATAGCTGAAGGAAGAAAGTAGATGTTGGTCATAAATATTCCAGAATTCTTCCACATAATTTATGAAATTGCACATTGTGTATAAAATGCATTAATTATTGTAGATAATGTGCTTCTATTCTCTGCTGACAACAACTTACAATTAAGTTGCATGTTGACGACGACAACCGACATAAAAATAAGATGAAAATTCTTTGACTAATATTTAAGCCATAAAGAAATCACCTTGCTTCCTTCTTAATGTCTTTTAAAGATTTTGAGAACATATTCTTACAATGTTCTTTAAAACCTGTTTTCTTTACAACAAAATCTCGACAGTAAATACGTTTGTCGTTCACATAAGAACAGAATGCGCGAGCAGCAGAAAAATTTATTCAAAAA